AAATTATAGCGATTAGACAGTATTATTGTAGCGCGGGGGGGGGGGGGGGGGGAACGGCACCCGTACCCAGCGTCAGCCGGGTGGGAAAATCAGGCGAGGCCGGAGGCTCTGCACGGTGCTAGGCCTCGACACCCACCACGCGACTCTGAGGTAAATTCATCAAAGTTTCACGTCCTCTAGAGAGTGGTGAGGGACGGAGAGTGGTGAGGGAGGGAGAGTGTATTAACATTGCCACTGGGGAGACAAAGGCGGCCGGGCGTGAGTGGTGAGGGAGGGAGAGTGCTGAGGGAGGGAGAGTGGTGAGGGAGGGAGAGTGGTGAGGGAGGGAGAGTGGTGAGGGAGGGACTCAGCCTCAAAACGAGTAACTGGTGTGGCTTATTAACATCGCCACTGGGGAGACAAAGGCGGCCGGGCGTGGTGGATACAAGTCCCGGGCGAAGCCAGGTAGTACAGCTAGTGATCAATAAATATATTTGCCAGTGGGATGGGAATTTTTATTTTCAAGTGATCAAAAGTCTAAAGCGACCATGAGTTATATTGATCAAACTCTAATCAAAACATAGACCACGTATAAATGCTATCTCTGTAAACGTGACAGTCGTACCGAGTCGTGGATGGTTCACAAAATATTGTTTTTATCGTAAACGTACAACCCCGTGTGTGTGTGTGTCTTTGTGCTTGTCATCATAGACGTGTTTTAATTGGGAGTGGCAGTGTAGTGGTTAGCGCGCTGCGAGCCCGGCGTCCAGAGTTCGATTCCCGCTCAGGGCATCACCAGTGACGAATATCTCAACCGGTCCGGAGCCTCTCCGAGGTCGACTCAACTTCAAATGAGTACCGAGTGCGGTGTGTAAACATCGTCATTCGGGAGACAAAGGCGACCGGGCGTGTTGCTAGCCCACCCACCCTCTCTTGTGTCGTGCCGGCCGGCCTTCATAGGTACTCGCTAAGGGGCCATCCATAAATGACGTCACGCGATTTTGGTCGATTTTTGATCGCCCCCCCTCAAATATGACGTCACAAAGCTCTGCCACCCCCCTCCCAAAAAAGAAAACATGCTTATAATCGCTTTAAACTATTGTCATTGCAGTGCGTATTTAATGTGGCGCTGCACTCTGATGTTGTAGGAGAAAACATTCATTAAATAGTCTATTTAATTAATTAGAACGTGTTGTCTATGTTTATTTAAAGTTGCGCATTTTGATGTGACGTTACATTTCTCAACCCCCCCCCCCCTTCGTCACACATCGTTACAAATGTCTGACCCCCCCCCCCCCGAGGTGCGTGACGTCATTTATGGACGGCCCCTAATAGCACTTGCCCCCAACAATCTGTAAATGGTTAGCGCACTCGACCTTTTCAATCCAGAGGTCTCGGTTGGATTCAGTCTCCACGGGACAAGCGCATTAAGCTTCCCGACCTCTGTCCACCCAGCAGTAGACACCAATGATGATTAACACATTCCTCCTGTGGAGGGAGCTGGTAGCAGAGCCGGCCCTAGACCTTTGGGGCCCTAAGCAAAATTTGGTTGGAGGCCCCTTTGATGTATGATTTTACTGGTAGGAACCTAAGTGGACCAGCCTACAATAGATTAGATAGCTTTTAATTAAAACATTTTAATTAATAAGGCTTTCCTGGCTAAACAAGTGTAACATTCCCTTATAATTCCTGAGATAGCTTTTAATTAAAACTTTTAAATTAAAATTTAACTCACAGCGCCCTAAAGCCTACAGCTAGGCCTAAAGCCTCGAACTACGCCTCAAACTCTCCCTTCGTATCGTACCCCTGCGTGTGTGCAAGGGAGTTAATGTTTTACAATGTTACATTCCCTGATGCTTTTAAATAGAAACATTTAAATTTAAAGCTTTTACATAAATAAAAAAACATTTACATTTCAAATTAACTCACGGCGACCTAAAGCCTACAGCTAGGCCTAAAGCCTAGAACTAGGCCTCAAACTCTCCCTTCGTATCGTACCCCCGCGTGTGTGAAAGGGAGTTAATGTTTAACAATGTTACATTCCCTGATGTTTTTAAATAGAAACATTTACATTTAAAGCTTTTACATAAATAATTAAAACATTTAAATTAAAATTAACTCACAGCGGCCTAACGCCTACAGCTAGGCCTAAAGCCTAGAACTAGGCCTCACACTCTCCCTTCGTATCGTCCGATTCGGAGTAGCAACATCGCCCCCTACTGCAAACACTTGGCAGGACCCTACAAAAACCTTTAGACTCAGTGGGGCTTTCCTGGCTAAACAAGTGTAATAATACATTATGTTTATATTCTTTGGTTATTCGTTCCTACCAGCCCACCCCGCAGGGTCCTGTTTTTCACCCACTAGCTAGCAGTGACTCTAGGGGGCCCTCTGCTGGCCACGGGGCCCTTTGCCATTGCAAGGGTCGCTTAGTGGCTGGGCCGGCTCTGGCTGGTAGGAACGTTGGGTTGCTCGGTCAATGGTCAGGGTCAACGGCGGCGTGGTGTATTCCGCAAATATGCCCAACTGTGAGGGCGGGCACAAGCCGGCGTGAGTAGGTTAAACGTTGAGTTTCATAAGGGCACCACGGGGTGACCAACCCCTCCCCACCAAGCCCCAACCCTCCCACCCCCACCCAGCCCCTCCCCACCCAGCCCCTCCCCACCCTCCCCATCCAGCCCCTCCCCACCCTCCCCTCCCCACCCAGCCCCTCCCTCCCCACCCAGCCCCTCCCTGCACGACGGACGGACGGACACAATAATCCCCTGTGGGCTGGTGTAACCAGGAGGTTCCTACCAGTATTATTCCACCGCTATAGTCGATGCGCAGCGTTCGTGTGGTTGATGCAAAGTGTGGGTAGGCCCGCTTCTTTCAACACGCCTGGCCATCGTGGAGGAGTATAGAACAGATGCCCTCTAGATCTCCCTCTAGTAGAGGACGCAGGCGAGCTATTGCAGGGCGGCGCCTTTGACGCGTTATCTGCAATACTTACGTAACGTGCGCACTTCAGATAACGTGCGGGGGATTGACGTGACCAGCACTCATCTGCTGTCAAACAAAGACACCCGACTATTACAGTCACACGAGGTACCATCCTCATCTTTACAGCTCAGTGTTAAAGTCCAAGATATGAATTACCAGACGTATCGACCTTGAGGATTCTGAAGATACAATGTTTGTTCCCGACACCTCAGGGAACCGGATTGAAGTGATGATTGTCTCTGGTGGCTCATTGTTTCATTAACATTTGAGGCCGCGTATAGTATTTGTAGACAGCTGTATGTAAAAAAGGAATACTATCGTTCTAATAATAATTCCCTGCTTCCCGTAAACGGCGCATTGAGATCTCTGGATGAAAATGCACCTTACAAATAGAACATAGTCGTGACATTGATCGTCACTGCCGGATCGTGCTTGGGGAGGTGATAGATCGTTCGGGTACTTCGCGGAACTGGACTGGGGTCGTGAGGCTGAGCCACGAGACGTGCGTGGGGAGGAGGAGGGGGGCGCGATTCTGTTCGTGTCCACTCCGGGGGGCCGCCGACTCCGCTTGCTGGGTGGATCCAGGCCGTGCCAAGCCGACCATGGGGCATCCCCTACTGACCGCCCAAAGGGGTGACAGCCGTCAAGTCGAAGGCTCGTTCGAGACAAACTTGCGGCTGCGAAAGCTTCCAGCAGAAAAAGCACGACGTTTTGCTTGCACACCGAGACGCATTGCTTTTGCTGGTTCGGGGCTGGCATCTAAGTTTGGGCCAGTGACAGAGTAAATGTGCTTACTGCCTTGCAAGGCTGCTGTCGGTATAAGTGTGGTTATCTGCGAACGTTTGCGTGATTAGTTCAATACATGCTTTATTGGTTCTCGTTACACACAAGTAAACGAGTGTAACGCGATTATTTCACACACACGCACCCCGCCCACCACCAACAACAGCCGCAGTTCGCCACTAAGTGGTGGTGACGAAGACCCCGGCGCCTGTTAGGCAAGGTGCACTTTTAATGTGCACATTGCCCAACACGCAGACGCTGCGTCATAAGCAAACAAATAACATGTGGCGTAAAACCAACACCTGCAACTTAAAAAAAAATTACAAGATGCACTTTGCATTTTCACATCATGACTTAAAGCTTTCGTGACTGCAGGAATTAATATTCTTTCGGTAAAGTCACGTAGATATGTTCAAAGAATATAACAAAACAATTACAAATTGTTATTTTTTGTTATTTTCTTATAACAAATTGTATTTTTTTTCGTTATTTTCTTTGAAACTATCTACGTGACCGAAAGACCTAAGAATATTTTAATATCAATTAAAAACAATCCGACAAGCCAACCCAGTCAGGGAGAGGCAGCCTACATTTTGCTATGGGCTTTTGTACAAATAATTGGGAGCACGGACACATGGAATCGCCGACACAGACACACGCAAAAGATGTCCGCTAACAGCCACACACTCGAGTTAAAATGACATGTTCGTTCTAATTACACGTTCATGCAAATCAATTGTCATTCTTGCCGATAAACAATGAACATCCTGCAGTGTGTTATTTGGTGACGCTGCGTATTCAGTGTTGTACAAGCACAATTAACAAAAACGCTACATATACGTCAACAGGGGCGGTTTCTTCATTAGGGCGATTGGGCGACGCACCACCAATGTCATTCAACCACAGAGTCACGCTAGCCGTCACTGTGCCTCTGGATATAGTCCAATCAGCGTCATGTCACGTTCTGTGGAGTACCGCCTCTTTTTGGGCGATTTCCCTCCGGCTGAGAATCGCCCAGAGTGGCCCCATAGACTTACATTCCAAGATGTTTTTTTTCGAACGGCGGGCGCTCCAATGCATTCTCTATGGCTTCCGGGAGGGCATGCACTAACGTGCTTACGTCATCATACGTGCTAACGTCATCATACGTAAGCACGTTTCATCCAACAATATAATTTATCGCCACCTAGTGGAATCTTTAATAAAATAAACTTGAGTGGTTTGTTTTAATAGTGAGTATATAAACAAACAAGATGTATTGTAAGAGTCACTTTATTTTTTATTAATATTAAAGAAGTGAAGTTGCCTTTACATGCTTAAGCTGTTAATTTATCCATTGCATGGGTGGACCTTATCCTTATCAATCATCCAGACATTTGCCCCCCCTTAGAGATTTTGCAGGAGCCGCCACTGTACGTCAATGACAGTGGACTTAAATGAAAAAAGGTTTATATACACTGTATACTGTCATAGGTTACCCTTCTGGAAATGACCCTTCGTTATAGCACTTAGAGGCCAGACAGACAGAGTTAATAAAGGTTAGAGTCTACACTTAGCACCATGGAGTCTTGTGAATTTGTAAAATATTGTGCACTCGACACACACTTCAATAATGAAAAGTATTCGTAAATAAACAGATTTATATTAAAAGTTAAATGTTAATGTTGCCGGAACAATGCATTGCGAAAAGGTTTGTTCTTGTTTTGATGACAATGCGCAATACATCTTGCAGTGCATTATTGGGCCCAATGACCATTTCAATGAAACATTTAACTGCCCTACATTTCGAATATCCTAACAGTGATATAATTCAGGTTTATAGCATTTGTTTCAGGGGTTTTAGAAATTTCATTCAATAATTATACTTTCATAATGTATGGCTTTCTATTAACAGATGGATGAAACAGTACAGTATTTCCCAGGTAAAGCAATAAGTACTGTAACCATCTGGTTCCCACAGTTAACTGCCATTGCATATGGAGTTAAATAAGGCTAGCAAACAAAAGATAAAAATGAATCAATTTGGTTTTTAACAATATGCTCATTCGGGTGAATTTTAGCAGAGTTGAGTACAGCGGTCATGTCCCATGCATCAATGAATGCCACATTCATGGTTTTAAACAGTTCCAAGAGGACTTGGTTAAGCTTAAATGTGTTCCAGTTATTAAAGATCGCCACTCCGCTGTTTTCTCTCACGTTGGATAATTTAACGATGACCTTCGTTTCAGGGCTTCGAATCAGGAGTTTCTCCACTGCCGCTTTAATGTTGTGCATTCTCGTTTGAAACACGTGCAGAGGGAAAGGCGTGAAATGAGCGCCGAGGGAGATGGCTACGACCGTATCGCTCCCACCGGTAATGTTATCAATTCGATTCGCTACGTATCTGAAGTCTTTTGTGTAAGTTCCTTTCGTGGCAATAAAAGGATAGTTGTGACAATACCAATTCAATGTAATGTTGTTGTCTTCATTAATGGCAACATTTGGCATATGTTTTCCAGGAATGTAACGATCTACAAGTCTGAAACCTGCAGAAAAGGCAACACACACACTCACTATTATTGCTCTGCAACGGTACAAATATATATTATTAAGAAGTTATGCAGTTGTTAGATTTTTATATAATGAAAACTTTCTCTAGAATTTTATAGGATTTACCATGAGGACCAATCTGTATATGACAATGTTATATTTGTAGAAAATGGCATGAAAATATGTCACCACAAAATAATAGATGCTTTATAACTCAATGTTGAAAAACTAACAATCTGCGATGGTTTTCATGTGCCTCTAGAAAACGTACACACAATGCTTTAAGCTGTGCGTCGGCATAAAAGTGTGCACATTCAGTGCATCTTGCATGAATGCATTGGCATGCATTTAAATCAGAAAAATGTTTGAGAGGTTTACTGTTAAGAGCAGTGGTTCATAAATACAAGTGAATGAGTATCGTGATTCCTTACCATTGGTGAAATGAACAAGATAGTTGAACCACTGTCCTATCGTCGAATCACCAAGGAGAAATATGTTTTTCCCCTTCAAACAGCCCAGAACCAATGATGGCGAAGAGAAATAGTTCATTTTGCAATATGACGAACACCACGCATTGTTGATGTAATATCCACTTGGACTTGGGTTCCCCATCCCCATGATGCAATTGGGCAAACTGCTTTCCAACAAGTCTATAACAAGAACATACAGCATTTGTTTATTATTACGTGTATAATGTATAAAATATCATCTATTTAAAGCATTGTTGATTGGCATGATATGTTGTTTGTACACCATTCTCATAGGGGTTATGGATGTTGGCAAAGAGGCCAAGAAGCAAAAAAATGAAATGCCATTTGACAACTTGAAGGAAGGATGTCCGTGTAAGGAAATGGAGAAGAGAATTCACAATCGGATAGCTCAAGACTTGCCATTGGGCAGACTACTTCACATAGAATGTGAAGCCCATTGCATATAGAAAAAACACAATCTAAAATCCGGGACAACTTCGATAAAAACAAGTATCAGCGTTTAATGCAACATTGCAGAAGCCCTTTTATCCATATATTGGTACATGGTTAGTTATACTTACGCAATCTAACCAAAAACCTTTATTATGATTTGTACATTTACAGCCATTTATAAATACAATGCAGTTAAAGTTAGTAACGTTACATTATCTATTATATTGCTCTTTGAGGGATTTTGGTAATCGTTTAGCCTTCCCACCCCGACCTATTGTAGCCGCCCACCACTTCCCTGACTGCCCCAACCCACTGCTGCTGATGACCCCTCCCCCCACCACTACCAAAACCAACAGGGCACTGAATGCCAAAACCAAATCAAATAACACGACCGTTAAAACTGACGAAATAATTCAACGATCAAAATACCCTACTTTGCGGGCGTAACTGATAAACTAGCCAGATGTTTGGAAAAACAAACATCCGAGTCAGATTTGGCGCAGTACATAAAATACAGAAATTTATATCTGCTACAAAAGATGTATTACTGAAGCTATCAACAGAAGGTGTGTACTGGACTAATTGCACGTGTGGAAAATGCTATGTGGGGAACAAGGGACGAATGATCAGCACGAGAGTAAAATAACACCAAATAAATATTAAATACTCCCAAATACAACTATCGGCAGTGGCAGAACACGTGTGCCAACAAGGACAATCAATTGATTTTGATAATGTTGAAGTTCTGTGCAAAACTAGTTACTAATGGCCAAGACTAATTAGAGAATTTATCGAAATTGAGTAATAAAAATTATTTTAACCATTCGGATAGCTACAGACTTAGTGCTGATTGGAAGCTAATCATCAAGTAATACAATGTTTACATGCATGCCTATACAGGTCACCATACTTCATTAGGGATTACCATTGAACAAGAATGAGTATGGCTATTTTAGTATACAAAATCGACAGGAGCTAAACGAACAATGGGCTTGCATAATGCACATGCATAATGTACGTTGATTACCATACAAATAACCACACCGGCAATAGATACCCAATGTCATTTAAACACATTCATTAATCCCCCCCCCCTCCCACTTCACGCAAGAATCCGTGCTCATAAGGGACGTCATCACATCTACCACTCTCTTTAAGGAACGAAACAGGAGGATTTCTCCACAAATCTGGCTGTCGCCCGATGAAGCTAGTTGTAATTACTGGCGAAACGTTGTAATCAGATTTTAAATGTTGTGGCTTTGCTCACCAACACACGGATGTGCTGTACTAGTAACGAATTGGCATGTTCTGCTTACGTGACAAACCTTACTAATTGGCTGTGTCGGGTGATGGCAGGTTTAATGACACATTAATATATTTATGCAATCTAACCCAAAAAAACCTGTATTATGGATATTAGTCGCGAAACCCTATGTGTTAAACTAAACCAGCCCAATCCTGTGTCTGGAGGAAGGGGTACGGCCTAAACAGAAAGAGGTGGGGCCTAAATAAGACGGGGCGGGACTTAAAAAGGAAAGGTGCAGAGCCTGAACGAGGAAACGACCGGGCCTGAATAAGGTGTACAGGGGCGGGGAATAAAGAGGACGGTGGGACTAAAGCAGAAGGGCCGGGTCCTACAGAGGAAGGGGTAGAGCTTACAGAGATTGAACTTCCCTGTTGATTTAAGGCAGTAAACACATGGAATCGTCATACCTTTTCAATTAAAGCATGAGCACCCAACCTGTGCTGCAGCACCAGTGAAGAATGGATGCTGTTTTTAATATAATGTAAATGTAAACTTTCCAGAAACACTGACATGGGGTTATATCAATGTACAGTTAGACAGTACTCAAATAAATGTTAGTATTTCTTATATCGGAAATAAAGTGTTGTCTAACATAGTTTTACAATTAGGTTCCAATTTAATTATGCTGCCAGCCAATAACATTCAAACTGTTTAGAATCAGAATCCAAAAATGAATATTACACTAAATGTAATGTGAAAATATTTTAAACATACGTTACAAATACTAACCTAACATTTCCCAGTACTGTATATTTATATTCTTTAAAGTTTTAAATGCATGTTTAACTATATTCAAGTTACATTGAGAAGTTGATGTCAGGCATTGACTGGCATGGCGCTGTTCTATTCCCTAGTTTATATATTTACAATGTTTTTGATCGTATGTTTGCAAAAGCAAAAATACCAGTATATATTTCTTCATTCGTGACATTTGTAACGCATACAAATTGAACTTCAAAAGTACATTCAGAGGTGCCTAAATATGTGTATTAGTAAATAAACAGTTTATGAGCAATAGCTGACAAGAACGTGGATAATATAACTACAGTACTTGATACACTAAATCCAGTTTAAGAGCTTATAAAAGTATATATATTTTGGTATTCCTTTTGAATTTGTAGTGAATTTTGGGGAAAATTCTGAGATATCTCCAAGTGGTTAGATATTCATCTTGGGATCACGCATCACATTTAATATAGAGTGCATACAATAATTGTTATATGATTGTAACTATACAAAGTCTCACTTGGAAATGAATCTCAGTGGGCCTTTAGAGGAATAAAGTATAACATGGCAAGTAAGAGATCTAAGCAGTGTTTGATAACACTGTGTAAAAAATAAATATTCCTGGGTAATAAGTGCTATTTCCTAATTGCTTATGCCTCAAAAGTACAGAAAATTGCTATTATTCCCCACAAACTTTGCTTTTGTGACCAGGACAGTGATATTTTGAAATTTACCTATTTTACAGAAGATTCCAGATAGATTAAGTGCTGAGTAAACTTGGAGTAACTTCTAGAACATTCTAGAACTTTCCAGTAATATAAATAGTAGTTCAGTTTAGTTCCAGCTGCCTAAGTGGATACATGTCTGCATTTTTCTGAGATGGCATCAAGAGGCTGCAAGCATCCGGCAGATGCATTTTGCTATGTCTGCGGCCAAGTTATCAAGAAAAGAGCGAAAAAGTACTCTGTGGAAGCATCTGCTAAGATGTGTGAGGCCTACAAGGCGTATTTCGGCATGCCTGTCGGGGATCAAGACAAACCCTGGGCACCTCATTTCACCTGCGAGCAATGCAAAAACACTCTGGAAGGTAAGATGGACAATTGTTGCTCGGAATTTTATGTTATAAAATTTGTTAAAATGTAAAAAATTGTAAAAGTTTTTAATTTTAATGTTTTACAATTTTCAATCTTATTGAAAACATATATTATATATGAAAAATGTTGCGAGAATCTCTTACACATTAGTCATGGGTGAAATAAATGTATTTTTGTAGGATGGTACAGAGGGGAAAAGAGAGCCATGAAGTTCGCTATCCCAAGAATTTGTCGGGAACCCACTGACCACTCAAGCAACTGCTACTTCTGCATGGTGGACCCTTCCAAACGTCGAACTGGCAAGAATGCACCTGCTATCATGTATCCGGACCTTCCTTCATCCATCGCCCCGGTGCCACACTGCCATGAGCTCCCCGTACCCACTCCTCCAAAGAGAGAGCAACCGTCTTTAGAAGAGAGCAGCAAGTCAGAGAGCGAGGAAGACGTTATAGATCCAGATGACAATTTCAGAGGTGGAGCTGAGGAGGGAAACGCATACTACCCCAACCAAAAAGACCTCAACGACTTGATCAGAGATCTTGGTCTCACCAAGTCCAATGCTAAGCTTTTGACGTCAGCTTAAGCAGTGGAACTTGTTGGATGAAAGTGTGCAAGTAGCAGATCAGAGGAAGCGTCACCAACCTTTTTGCAGCTTCTTCACCCGTAAAGATGGGCTCTGCTTCTGACACAATGTGACCAGTCTGTTCGAGGCAATCAGAATCGCCTGTTACCAGAATGAGTAGCGCCTCTTCATTGACAGCGTATACAGGAGCCTCAAAGTCATGCTGCTCCATAATGGTAACAAGTAACCGTCTCTTCCCCTGGCTCACTCAGTGCACCTCAAAGAAGATTACAACAGCATCAAGACCTTGCTGGATGCCGTGAAGTATGATGAGTATGGCTGGGAGGTCATCGGAGACTTCAAAATGGTGGCATTCCTGATGGGTCTCCATGGCGGTTTTACCAAGTTTCCCTATCTTTGCCTTTGGGACAGCAGGGACACCAAAGCGCACTACCGCAGACAGGACTGGCCATAGCGGACCGAGTTCTCTGTGGGGAGGGAGCAACGTCAAGTGGGAGCCACTGGTGGACTCCCGGAAGGTGCTGGTGCCACCACTGCACATCAAATTGGGCCCTCCGAAACAATTTGTCAGAGCTGTAAATAAGGAGTCGACAGCCTTCAAGTACCTTCAAGACTTCTTCCCTAAGCTGTCAGATGCAAAGGTCAAAGCCGGTGTCTTCGTCGGACCACAGATAAAGGAGATCCTGGAGGGCAATGAATTTCCCAAGAAGCTCACTCGCAAGGAGAAAGCGGCTTGGAACAGCTTTGTCGCAGTGGTTCGTGGCTTCCTGGGCACTCACGAGGTCGAAAACTATGTGGAGCTGGTTGAGACTCTGGTGAAGAACTACGGCACAATGGGCTGTAGGATGTCCCTCAAAGTCCATATCCTTGATGCTCATCTTCATAAATTCAAGGAGAACATGGGAGCGTACTCAGAGGAGCAAGGCGAGCGCTTCCACCAGGATATACTGGACTTTGAACGCCACTACCAAGGACAGTATAACGAGAACATGATGGGGGCTGATTCGTCGTGATTTACAGTATAATCGTAAATCTCGAAAAACTACTCACTTATCAATCTTTTGTAGTCATTTTTTATTACTTTAGTATAAATACATGTTAATTTGTAATCCCATGTTGTTTTTTTCTGACTTTGTGAACAAAAATACTCTAATTTGCCTGTTTTCTCATTGAAAATAGGTAAATTAAAAATATCATTGTACTGGTCACAAAAGCAAAGTTTGTGGGGAATAATAGACATTTTCTATACTTTTTAGGTGTAAACAATTAGAAAATAACACTACCCAGGAACAAAAATTGTGTTACATAGTGTAATAGATGCCAACACCTCCTGCCCAACAGCTTTTTTTTGCACTATACAAGCAGTCTGTTCACATTTATAAACATTTAAAATATTTTTTCTTATATCTACTTACCAGTTACTGGAGCAACATCTATTTTGTATGCAGATGGAATTGGCTTCCATATCTTTTCTCTGCAAGAGAAAGTGCAAACAATGTATCATTGTTCCTGACATCAGGAAACATTTGGTTCTAGAAATATCTTGAAATAAATACAAGAATACTGTATATATTGTAGGTCAAAGGAAACAATTGCAGTATTTTCCTCTACCCTATGGCAAATAGGTGTAAATTATATGTCCAGTTTAAAGTTTGTAAGCCATGTGATAGCTTTGGGAGTAGCACGACAGAATTAACTTGTTTGTAATATGGTCCATTGTGTGGTTCGGGTGGCCGCAGTCACTCTGCCGTGGGTCATCTTTAATTCCCCACGTGTGGAAGAGGTGCGCACAGTGAGCGCAGTATTCTTAGAATAAACCCGTGCAGAGCAGTGGTGGGGCACTCGATGAGGTTTTTATTAGGAACACCATAGTCATGAAGAAATGATCAGATGTTTATTTACCTTGTAAAAAAACGACCTTCCTCTTGACTAAATATGTTCCTGTTGCGTGATTTGATAGTGAGGAGAGACGAACAAGGAAGCGTACTTGGTTTTTCACACATCCACGGTTCACGTAAATGTGGATCGGTGAAATCGCAGACTTGCTCGGCATTGTTGAGAAAAATGTGGCATGGAGTTACTTCTTTAGACTTCCCACTGACAAATGTCCCCAGGAAAGTGACTTTATCTGGAATGGTTTCTCGGACTCTGTCCAGCACGCTCACGGCCTCACTGGAGTGCACGAGCGTGAAGGCCAGCCTGCTGTCTCCTGGCCAGAAGAGCGTGAACCTCACATCGTACACACCATTGCCAAGGTCAGTCACCACGCCAGAAGACGCAGCCCCAAGGCGTGGGCTGAAAATCCGAGCGAGGAGGAAATCCCCACCGTAGAGCTTCCTTCTGTTGCCATAGTCATACATTACCACTTGAACATGGAGTGTGTCTCCAACGGTGTGACGTTCTCCTCCGTTTAGTATTGTGATTCGACTGTTCTTTGCAAATGTAGAGCAAGTGATGTTGGTTGAAATTGGTATTTTATGTTTTGTTGAAGGATATGTCATTGTACCACTGATTGTATCGTTTGTTTGAAGTAATAATGCATTTTGGTAGTGAACTTTTGGTGGTAATGATTTGAGGTTCCATGTGTTCTGAAAAAAAATAGTTTTTTTTTAGCATTTTACAAAAAGCTGTATCATATAACTTATATAGGGCACCGAATGTCAGGCTGTAAATGACAACATTGTTAAGGTTGTGTATCAAAGAAAATCACAAGATGGTTGGTTTCACCACGCATAGTATTACAATGCTCGGAGGAATTTTGGTGGTTGTGAAGCCGCCCGACCTCTACTGTCCCCGCCCAGCAATGCCACTGCCACACGCCCACGCTCACCCCCACCACTACCGAAATTAGCCAAACCCTGTGACCGAGGCAGGGCTTAAAGAGAAAGAGGGGACGAATGAATAATAGGCGGGGCCTAAATAGGTAAGGATATAAAGGTGGCGCCTTATCAGGAAGGAGTGGGGGCCAAAGGGGTAAAAAGGTAGTAATAAAAGCATATAATAAAATATGTGCAGAAGGCAGCGTAGCTTCTGTGTGGCAGATGTGGCCACATGCCAACTAGTACAAATTAGATGACATATTTGACCACCACTCTAAAGCCCTGAATTACTTGTTTTACCGCAGAATTTCTATGAACAGACAAAAAATGGACTGCATTTGACTTTGAGTGTCGGTAGCATCGCTTGTAACTTTAAACAAAATAGTGTAAGTTTTAGTATTCGATATGTTTCTATACGTAAAAATGAAATAATATAAAATTTCAGGCAACCTAGCAACATACCTGACTGATGAGATTCATAACGTTGACACCAGTCCACTTTTTTTTAAGGATGTGTACATTTCTATGGCCGACGTATAGTAACAAATGTCTGCACATAGTTACGGTATCTTGATAAAAAAAAGCATTGTACGGGTGATGAAATATATAATAGCTCGACTTCCACACATCTTACAACTTCAAAGGGTGGCAGTGCTTACCTTAAAACTTACCTTAAAATATCCTTTTGAACAATATATGAGGAGTACAGCTGCAAGTAATGTGATGAAAACTATTATATTGGAGACCGTAATTTGACTTCTAAATGTCTTGGAATTCATTTTTCCTGCAAAAAAAGGTTGGTATTATTGGTCGTTTGAATACTCATTTCATTGAAAATGTTCACAGTGTATGACTTCAACAACAAAATGCTCAAATTCTACAATGTTTTATTTTTATTTATGATTCACTTGTAATGAACAGAAAAAGTATATGATAAATTAAACATCAGTTTTTATAAGTCACAAACAAATCATGAACGTAAACGTAATTAATTATAGATAGATAAATAATTAGACAATATACACCTCTGTCCGATATCTGTTCCTCCACGTAACAAATACAAGTATTTTTTGACACAACCCATCAGCCACACTGTCTTTTGGGAGCGCATCATTTCAGCAGCATTGGTTGAATAGAAGAAAACTCTGAACCGTTTTGGATACTCATTGTCTCACGAGTAGAGTCAGGCTTGCTTGATTGCACCAATGCTGGTGAACTACCAGGTGTTGATAGGCAAGTAACCTCGCTCTCTGTTTGATATGGGTCCAAGTTCGACGCGAAACTGTTTAATACACAACACCAAGTGCAGGGACAGGCAGGGGAAGCAAGCAAGCGTGTTGTCTGCTTATTTATCGAGTTACTTTACTTTCATTCCTAATGACTATAAGTGACTAGAATCCTGGTGACCATAATTCTGGTCACTTGTACGTATGTATGTTGAATTTCTTTCGCACCATACGTAACCAACCGTGCTCATCGGAGATACGAGGAAGGACAACAAACTAAACACACAAAAAAACAGTTCTAAATAAATTAGTTTTCAATCTGGATTTAAAAGTGCATAGCTCCGGTGGCTTCCTAATATCGGAAGGAAGAGGAGCGATCCAGACGGCCGCAGAAGCGCACCTGTGTTGATCGTCTCATCTCTCGCGCTGCTGCTGCAGCGGGGACTGTCAGCAGTTGATGCTCGACCGAAGGCTCCGCCGAAGACGACCGCACGTGGGTTGTAAGCGGCTGCCACAGCTTACCGTGTTACACGATGCGGTATTACACGTATAGACATGTTTAACATTCACGTGCGTGTTTAATCTTCTGGTGATCCTTAACCACGGTATATTTAACTCCACACCCTGAACTGAAGATGACTTTATTTTGTAAGCGGATGGTGTTCGACCCAGTCTGCAAAAACTGCACCCATATATATAATTATATAAAAATGATGCTAGGTGTATCCGTATTCACGTCAAACAATACAAAGGTCATGTGTTTCAACACTCAACCCAAAGTAGATGATTAACCCCTTTGTCATTTCACATGATGGGAAATCACGTACCGCAATAGATGTTAACCTTCACTTTCTTGAGCAGATTGATTCAACCTTCATGTTAAGCTTCAAGCTAATTACGGAGAGAGTTGGAACGGCAACTCGCGGGATACGTCCGCACGTTGAACTTCTTTCGCATCGCACGTAGCCAACCGTGGTAATCGGAGGTGCGACAGAGATGACGGCGGAGGAGACGTTACGCGGAGCTCGACAGCAAAGTAAAACAAAATCATCGAAGCCATCAGCCAACGCGATCATGGGAGCCCCGCTGCCAGGTACGCGACCTCCGTGACGGAGACTTCTCACTCGGGGCAAACAAAGGGCGCGGCGTGCTTGTGCTGCGCGTCATCGATCCCCGCGCGTGACGTCATCCCCTCTGTGATGTCCAGAAAGAGCAAAGTGCTGACCGCACGCACGCCTTGCCACGGAATACTCGTGCCCCGTAAACGCCACGGTCAGCCATGGTCTATCCACTGCTGGTCGGACTCCCGACGTCGTCGCTCTCGTTACCGATTGCCGCAAGAACAAAAATAAGTAATATAAAAAAAAAATGTTAAACACGATTTAATGAAATGTACTGCACTCGTAATGGCAAAAGTCCACGACTCCTGGAAGTGGCCCCGAAGCTTGCCATAATGTAAGGGGCAGTGGTGATTTATAGCCAACGTTAGTTGAGCATGGACAATTAGACCCAAGCCGAAACATAACATGTAAAAAATAATGTGTTTTATGATAGAATATAGTATTGTCACCAGTATGACATAAGTATACCAAGTTTGCAGTCGATACCACATTGGGAAGTGGGTTAAAATTGAGTTACAAGATTTGAGGATACGACAACAACAGACAGTGAGTTAAATAAAATCGTGTAAAATAAAAAAAAAATCATCTCCCTCATGCGCCCGAGCTACGTATACTCCACACATTGGTCAATCATACAATGGGATGAAAAAAAGATATAGATTAAATTGGGTCTTCTTCATAGTACATATAATTAGGGACCATAGAGAGAGGTAAAACATCAACTGCACTTAACACCATGGGGGCTAACAAGAATTACATTTCAAAATATTTTCTGAATTTCAGTTTTTATGTTTATAGGCATATGACTAGGTAGGTACCTAACACTTTTTTATTACCAGAAACTTCAACATTTAAAACAATGTTACAAAATTCATAATCAACGTTTTTGGGTTTAGATCGCGTTATTTATTAATGTGTCGTAACCCTCCACAACCCGACACGGCCAATCAGTAAAAATTGTCACGTTGACAAAAGACAAATAGTTTACTGCTTTAGCCCACCGGTGTGTTGAAGCGTGAAACCACAACATTTACAATCTTTTTTTTTGTAAATATTGTGGTTTCACGCTTCAACACACCGGTGGGCTAAAGCAGTGAACTATTTGTCTTTTGTCAACGTGACACTTTTTACTGATTGGCCGTGTCGGGTGGTGGAGGGTTACAACACATTTATAAATAACGCGATCCAAACCCAAAAACGTTGATTATGAATAATATTGGTCGCGAAGCCTACGTGTTAAATGTTACAAAATAAACGCATTTATATGAAACGTTAAATGAGAAAAAATGTTGCTGCCGATGCATTGTGTGACGGTTTGCTCTCGTGAAGGCGAGGCGTGACCGCCCCGAACAAAGAGCATTCCTTGGTCCAACGTTTTAACAAAAACAGGAATGTAATTGCCACGCGGCATGGGCCACTCCCTGGGTAGAATCGTGGGCGGTCGTAGACGTGGCAAACACCTTCATTGGAAGGTCCGACTGTAAGAAGCACCGGGCTCTCTCCCTCTCTCTCTCACAACGACGACGTACCTCGCTAAACCCGTGCTCGATCGCGACGTGTGAGATGCGCGTGACGCCTCGCACACGTTGAAGATCAAAGAAACGCCGAACTACGCCTGTGGTCCATAACATCAAACCCAAAGCGCCGCCCGCATGCGACATCCACACAACATCCCGGTCTACTGCAAGTTAACCAATTGTGTTTCATATTTATGTTTTTATTTAGGGCCCCGCACTAGCTTAACCCGGTACTGGCCGAATCGCATTCCGAGCCCAATTGCCGCAACAGCGAGCATCTGCGGGCTTATGGACGAGTCAGGTGCGCCCGGAGCAAGAGTTGGCCGTATGACTCAAGTTTGTCCCACACGCACAGATCTGTATGACAAGTTTATTTTTGTTTCAAATCAACTCAATGAGGCAGCAGTCGACGTCGGAATGTTGCGTAGATGGTGCATTTGGTCGGCGGTTTGTGAAAATAAAAACATTTGTAAACGGTACCTCATTGCCTGGGTTGTTAATGCGGCTTTGGATGAGACGGGGAAACGCAATGGAAATATTGGCAGATGAAGATTATTATTATTTAGCATGATGGTGACTTTGGCGGCATGTTCTGTGCTTATACAATAGCCACACCAAGTAATATCCACTTTCCCAGATTGAGTAAATTGAGACTTCGAGATACCTGATAGAACCATCCCATGGGGGTGGTCGTGGGTTATTTTACTCTAAAGTCACGTAGAAGGGAAATTATAAAATAATAAAAAATATAACATGATAAAATAAAAATTATCGCGACGTTTCGGCCACAACACAAGCAGCCGTCCTCAAGTGAAGAAACAGAACTGTCGGAAAGAGAGCGTCCCAATGACGCTATCTTTCCGACATTTTATTATTGCCCTTCTATGTGACTTTACCGAAAGAACCAAGAAGATGAATCCCTGAAGTTAGGAAAGCTTTAAATCGGAATTTATTTTACTCTAATCACATGAATTCACCTTGTCCAATCAATGAACACAAGACGGCCAACCACCACTTACCTCGGCATGAACTAGTCACATTAAACTAGAGTACACACACAACCAAGTACACCTTTATTTTTTATTAACAGCATGATAGGACAGTAGTACCACTAATCACCTTGGGTTACTCTTCCAGTCCTTCATTTACATCTCCATCATACACGTCTCCCTCCTTCCTTCAATCCTGCCGACGCCCACTCTTAACCCCCGGCCCCTCACCCAGCCCCCCCTCTCCTTATCCCTGTCACCGTATGTCGCAAACCGTGCTAATCAGAGGTGCGGGGAAGGACAACAAACGAAACACAAAATATTCTTAGGTTTTTTCGGTAAAGTCACGTAGGTAAAAAATTTAAATTAATAAAAGTAAAATAAAATAAAATACCTACGTGACTTTACCGAAAAAACCTAAGAATATGAATCCTTGCAGTCACGAAAGCTTAAAATCTAGAAACACAAAATGCAGCTCATGTGGAGGTAATTATGTATAAGTCGTGCGGATAGAGTTTTTTTTTATAATTAACATTACCTCTTGAGATGAAGGCTTAACAAAAGATGCATGGCTTTGGCCACTTTACAGCCGAGTCTTTCCTTATATTCTATGTTAACATATAAAATCTTGTTCTAGATCTGGAGGTGAATAATGAGTCTTGGAAACCACGAAGAAAATTGAGTGCTATCAAGTTCAATGCATTTCCAGTTTATTCCTTTGTTGACATTAGTTTGACAATTTTTTTATTCATATTCTTTGGGTCTTTCGGTAAAGCCACGTAGATAGAAAAAAAGAATACAAATGTCACAACGTTTCGATTGCAACACAAGCAATCGTCATCAGGTGAAATAACAGTGGGAAAGCTGCTGAGGCAGGCTGTTTATGAAGGTTTAGAGATGGGCGGGGCAGCTAATGTTAATGTGGGAGAGGTCTCCGTAACCGGCAGTAGGTCTACACCAATCAAAGAGCTGTTTACAAAGGTTTACTATTTTATTTCACCAGATAAGGTCCACGGAGCTATATAGCTCGTTTTCTGAAGCGACCTGGCCACAAATGATCGCTCAACGAAGTGTCTTATCATCCGGATAAAAGTCCACACGACCACGGGGAGAACATGCAAACTCAAAATACACAGGCGTTAGGGTCAGAATCGAACCCACAACTTCCTGCATACCAGGCGAGGTATTTAACATCTCGCCACCGTTTATAGCTGGAATTCTAGGGAGCAGAATGGGATTGAGTTGAAGTTCGTTGGATGTCGGACGTTTTAGTCTGCACTAGAACACCCACCAGAACAAAAGTTATTACACGATTATATACATCATAGTGAATGTTGTGTCCGAAACCTTAAGTGTCAGCGTCACCAAGAAAAAAAACATTCAGTGGTGCTCTTCTGCATTGCCATCTCTGAGTCAGTGGTGAAATTTCCACGTAGCGATAGCATGTATCAACCTAACGAGGAGGCAAAACCATTTAAGAATACTGGACATATAGGGGGATAAGTCCATCCCTCGTAAAAAAATAAATACGTAATTTGAACCATCCTCCTGCATCTTAGTCAAGCACTCTGCCACAGACACACCCGGATGGATACCAAAACCTCTAAAAGTTATTCAAAACAGTGGTTTGAGCAATGAACAAGATACATATTTTAAGAAATGCTCATTTTCACGTCGTGAGAATTGTATTTTATAATGTTTTATTTTATTATTTCCCTTCTACGTGACTTTACCGAAAGAACCAAGAATTGAAATGCTTATTTGCTACATATTATGTAAACATTGTATGTAATATATTTGCATTATATTTTAAGTAGGATCATCATTATGTGTCAATGAACCAGGGCCAGAACGATTCCGTTATGGATCTCGTAGGAATGACCCAATATTAGCAAATAAAAGAAAAAAAAGTATTTATTTGATTTTTTACGATTAAAGGATTCGGGTGAATCTGAGCAGAATTAAGCACAGCTGTCATATCCCACGCATCTACAAATGCAACCTTCATGTTTTTAAACACTTCCAAAAGGATTTGATTTATTCTAAATGTGCCCCAGTTGTTTAATATTTCCACGCCATAATTTTCTCGTGTGTTCGCTAATTTAACGATGACCTTCGTTTCAGGACTTCGAATCAGGAGTTTTTCTACCGCCGCTTTAATGTTGCGCATTCTCGTTTCAAACACATGCAGAGGGAAGGGCGTGTAATGAGCGCCGAGGCAGATTCCTAGGACAGTGTCGCTCCCACCGGTGATGTTATCAATTCGATTCGCGACATATTTGAGGTCTTCTGGATAAGTGTCTGCCGATGCAATGAACGGGTAGCTGTGGCAAAACCATTGCCATGTGACGTCGTAGCTTTCATTGACAGCTTTTTTTGGTTGATGCTTTCCAGGTTTGTGAAGATCGATAACGTGTAAATCTGTATATGAGAGACAGGACACGTGTACGTTAAAATTAAATTAAGTGAAACGGTTTCTGTTTTTCATGTTTCCATTAATAAGCACAATCCAAATAGTCAATTGGATAAATAAATACATATATAGAATGAATGTATTTTTCAATACAGTAATTAGAAAACATTTATGTAATGTCGTGCATTATGCATTAAACCCTTAGCAATTCCTGAAGTGCATTGTGGTCTTCTCATCTTGTGTGACCATAAAAATTAATTGAAGCAAATGTGACAGCACCAAAGCCCACGCCTGTAAAATCTGCTTCTGGGAACCATATATGTCTAGCCCTCAGTTTTAAGATTAATGCGATGTTTGACATTTATCAATAACCACATGTACACAAGCACAAATAATATTAAGTGCCGTTACCTTTGATGAAACTAACTAGATATTCCCACCACTGCCTTATGGTAGAATCGCCAAGTAGAATTACGTTTTTCCCTTTCAAGCAGTTCAATACAGATAATGGCGAATTGAACTGCTTCGTTTTGCAATACGTAGATTGCCACGTATTTCTCAGGTAATACCCACTGGGGTTTGGATTTCCAAAACCCATAGCGCAATCTTCAAAACTGCTTTCAAATGAACCTTGTAAGAAGTAAAAAAAACAATTATTAAAAACATGTTGAAAATCATTTCATGAAGGTTGAACAGCATGCTTAATCATTCACTTTCATTGGGGCTTAAATTCACGTATTGTGCACGCGAAAAAGTATATGTAAAGGCAAAGATCTCCGTAAAGTCTTTAACATACTCTTTGGGGCAAGTGCTGTTATTGAGCTCCTATTAAGGCTGGTACAACACGCGAGGGGTGGGTGGCCAATACCACACCCACCAGCCTTTATTTCCCCAGTGCTGGTGTTTACACAAAGACAAAGATCCACCGTATAGCCTTAACAGACTGTAGGGGCAAGTGCTGTTAGCGAGCACCTATGAAGGCCGGAAAGGTACACGAGGGGGTTGGTAGCCAGCACCACGCCCGACCGCCTTTGTCTCCCCAGTGGCGATGTTTACACACCGCACCAGGTACTCATTTCAGGCTGAGTCGACCTAGGGGAGGCCCATGACCGGTTCAGATAATCGTCACTGGTGTTGGCCGTGAGCGGGAATCGAACCCGGGTCGCCAGGTTCATAGCGCAGCGCGCGAACCGCTACACTACACAAGCACATTACGACAGACATTTTGGGCTCAATCAAATTATTTGCAAGGTCTAATTTACAAAATATATTATTGAAAAAGCAAAGACTGTAAGGTTAAATGTGCAACACAACGTTTTAAAATGTTCTTTAGTGCAAGCTTACACGATAAACGTTAGTTAAACGTAGTTTATTTGTGATGGTCTTTGTGAACAATGTTGCTCTGTTTTTGAGAAGCGAATGAATGCGACCTGTCGCTATAGTCAGTTGTATCATCCTTTCTGAAAAGAATTATGCACTTGTATACAAGTTTGATTGTGCCATATCATACTGCCCCCATTTTCGCTGGCATTTTAGAATTACAGCCAATAATTCTTGCTGAATGTCATTACTAGATTTACATGTTGGCGAAATGTTAAGATTTCACCAATGTTACTCCTGCACGACTGTCGGCAGGTGGAAAGTAAAAACCCGGACCATTTAAGCAAAAAAAGTAGGCAGAGCTTACTAAGCTCTCCACAGGACCCTCCCGCAGCCAAAAGAGTAAGGTGGGGCTCGGGGCGTGATAAGTCTAACGTTCTGACCCGCCCCGAATGGACATCTATGAAAAATAGCTTTATAGCTCATCGTATTCCTCCAATATAAATATATTATAATTCTGAAGTGAAGAGGTGGCACCCCTATCAAATTCTCAAAAGAGTATTGCCCTTGGAGAAAATTTCCACGTGAACATTCAGTGCAGCCTGGGACTGGCAAATAGTGATGCTGTAGCGCATTTGTCTGGGCTAACATCACACGTAAATACCACGTGCAGTAAACCATTGTAGTCTGCGCTCCTTGAATGGAGGCACAGCAAAGCTAAACACACTTTCTCACGTCCTTTCGTGGCTAGCAGACATTGAAACCGAGCTCCTGAACACGTTGCCATTCGCACGAATAGAATAGTAACGCACTGTGTGGTTGCCATTGTTGACACGCGGCATGATCGTCAATCTGCACAAACCAGCACGGTCAAACAACTCCCATGTGGAGTGATCACGGGCTGTGCTTTAATCACCCCTGGTAATGATTTCAATGTATCAGACGAAATGTATTTAAACGGGGGGGGGGGGGGGGGCGTTGGATGGAAGCTATAGGATGGGAATTCGTAATTGAGGGAGGGCAAGACCTCCAGTCGACGAAAATAATGGTATTTATTCATTCAAAATGAAAAATTGTTGTTGCATCTAAAATATACAGTACTTACCATTTGCTGGAGCAACTCGTACATTGTACGCAAGTTGTTTCGATACCCATATGCGATCACTGTGATGAAAAAAAATCACTTGAAATTAAGCATTGATAATATGATTTATTAAGCAAGCCTTGCATCTGTTATTACTGTAAATTGTTATCGTGTATTAATTTATTTAATTCCACGTTTACACAGAATGTTGATACACTCAAAAACATGACACGGCACGAAAATATTTCAAGGTGTATTCGTTGCCACAACACCGTGGGGCATTCCACGTCACACACGGATTACAGTATGTAACTCCTAGAAATTCATGAACGCACGCATGGACAGTCTATTATCCAACATCTATTGTAATTTTATTATTTAAAGCTTTCGTGACTGCAGGGATTATTATTCTTGGTTCTTTCGGTAAAGTCACGTAGAAGGGAAATTATAAAATAATAAAAATATAAAACAATATATTGTCATGTTAACTGTAAATAACTAATGTGTGCTATTTTCTTAATTTCCACATTACATTCATAGGTATATGCCGTATATTCTAACTTAGAACGTGTCTTAGTAAATTGTAAATGAGTTCTGGGTTTACTCTCCCGAAATACTGGTAGTACTGAAATAGTAACCATTTGGCACGTTTTGTTTACGTAATGAACCTTACTAAATCGGCTGTGTCGGGTGGACGTGGGTTTACGACACATTTCCGTTTACGCGATCTCACCGAAAATAAGTAATATTTAAAAAAAAATGTTTCAACACACTTTAATGAAATGTACCCTACTCGTAATGGCAGAAGTCCACGGCTCCAGGAAGTGGCTTACATGATTTGAGGATACGACAACAACAAACAGAGTGAGTTAAATAAAAGCGTGTAAAAACGTTATCGACGTGAGAAGATGTGATCGCGTTATTTAAGCCAGGTGGCTCAGTGGTGCAGCGAGTGGCGTTGCGAGTTCAAACCCTGGTGGGATGGGGGGGGGGGACTGTTTGTTTCTATGTGGAGGCACTAATATGAAGATGTATTGTCTGCTTGTTTAATCATTAAGGTGCACGTTTTCATCGTCTTATACCCACCGGCTGCCCCGGTTATTGTAAGCATAATACTACATTTTACATGATACATTTTAATGCAAAAGTGCCTATTAAAACACAAACTGACGATAATCAAGGCAAATTGATCCACTCAGTGTTGTGCGTACACGTGCTTACCTTGTAAAGAACTTCGATTCCTCTTCATTAAATACGTTTCGGTACTTGTTATACGACTTAATAGTGAGAAGAGCTGAACAAGGAAGTTCACTTGGCTTTTCACACTTCCATGGTTCATTTAAATGCGTGTCCGTATAATCACAGACCTGCTTCGTTGTGTTGAGAAAAGTGTGGCATGAAGTTACTTCTCTTGACTTCCCACTGACAAAAGTCCCCAGGAAAGTGACTTTATCTGGAATGGTATCTCGGACTCTGTCCAGCACGCTCACGGCCTCACTGGAGTGCACGAGCGTGAAGGCCAGACTGCTGTCTCCTGGCCAGAAGAACGTGAACCTCACATCGTACACACCATTGCCAAGGTCAGTCACCACGCCAGAAGACGCAGCCCCAAGGCTTGGGCTGAAAATCCGAGCGAGGAGGAAATCCCCACCGTAGAGCTTCCTTCTGTTCGCAAAGTCATACATTGCCACTTCAACATGGAGTGTGTCTCCAACGGTGTGAGGTTCTCCTCCGTTTAATATTGTGATTCGGCTGTTCTTAAAAGACGTAGAACAAGTGATGTTGGTTGAAATGAGAATTGGGCGCTTTGTTGTTATAGGGATATTCGTCGTTGGGCTGCTGTTAATTTCATCTTTATTGGGGAGAAATTGTAATTTATTATTTTGGTAGTGAAGTTTTGGTGGTACATTTTTAATGGTCGATGTCTGAAAAAAAGTGGTTGATTTCACATTTACTAAAACGCCAAAATACAAAGTAAGCCATTAATCAAGCACACTCTGAAATCATACTTTGTCAATTTAACTGCATTATTACGCGATGTAGTTTAATGCAACAAACTCTCACTGCATAGCCAACAAAGCAGGGGAGTCGAGGTTAAAAATAAACTATTGCTTTCACACAACATTCTATGTTATCATTCTGGAATGACTATAACTAGATTTGTTTCTGCAGTATTTGTAATGAAAATAAGTAGTACCGATCCCAGTTATTTTCATTATATATTGGATTCACTGAATTTTTTTTCTCCGATTGAATTAAAGGCATTGAGTAAAGGTGCAAGCAGACACACATCCAATCTTGTTCCGTCGTCTTATCAAGGATATACCGCTTGCTGCGAGTGCTAATTAAACGAGTGTTGTAAAGTATTAGAGAATCCACGCATATACCTGATTGTTCTTCCTCGTTATATTTAGGGGATTGGTTGGTGAGAGCAGTCAATTACCTTTTATCGTCTACAAAAGATAAGCATAATAGTCATTGGTATTCATTCGTATTTTACAAATATCTGCTTGATAGCATGTACGAGGTCGATGATATAAAAATGTATCCTAATCCAAGCTTGCTCATGTGGGTGGTTACAGGTAAAAATAAGACCGTTAACATCTAATATCTATTGGTCAAAAAGTGGATATCTCTCAGCAACACATTCAAATGCCTAAAGGAGCAAAATTATTAAATGGATATCACCACTTAAAATAATTAAATAACTTCTAGACTTGAAGCTTTCGTGACTGCAAGGAATCATATTCTAAGAATTAAATAACTAGCTGTTATTTTTATTTGAAAGGCAAATTGAGCTTAAAATCAAGTTACACCGGGGCATCTCAAGACAATTTGCACTTAGACAATAAGCATCTCACCATATTTTACAAGACTCCCCTCGTGACACCTATTTCTGTGGGCACAAAGTGATTTCTATCTCCTTGCCAGCAATCTGATATGTGCCTGCCAGTACAGTGCGATGATTGTGTGTCATCTCAAATTAGTAATTTGCAAGTAAATTATTGAATTAGGAAAAATTAGGCCATGATGTTGGCACAGTGGCCTTCTCGTTTCGAATTGTTCGCTATATGTAACACACACTGTAAAGCAGACGGCGCGTCGTATTTTATGGTTAATATATACCCCTGGTATATAGCCAGGGCTGCCTGCTAGGTTAGAACCATGAAACTCTTGCAACAATCCGCAAACATGCTACAACTGAGCCAAGTTATGTTTGTGATGATGTAATACGTTAAATATGAAACTTTATACAAAAAACATGTATTTATTATCTCAACGTAGAGCTAAATTAACCATAATTACAACCACCCCTTCATATTGATGATGGTGCATGTGAGAACTTACCTTATAGAGTTTAAACCAAGTGGTTAATATTGCACAGATGACAAAACTTATTGTAAGATTTGCTTTTAAAGAAGGCATTTTTTACTTCCAAAATGTATGTGGTTTTAAATCGTTTCTGTAAAACAAATAAAATACAAATGCATGTTAAAAAGATAATTGCAAATTGTGAATGTAAAAAGGCATTGGAAACAATCTTACTGAACTGGAGGGTACTTGTTTACACGTGACTATTTTCGTATTTTCACAAAGTTCATCGATAAGTTTGGCATTGTGCAATGGTCCAAAGTGGTGAGATTCGGCCAAACCAATCAGATCGTAATTTAATGCAGACTTGATGCCTTACGATAGCGTTCTATTTAATGTTTGAATATCTTAACGCCTGTATTATTGCAGGCAAGGGTTAAGCCTATGTTTTAATCAATGATCATGACTTACTTGCTCAACTGATTAACACAATCTTCCTCTACATAGGACTTCTTTCACACTGTACATAGCCAACCGTGATAATCGAAGGTGCAGGGGAAAGACAAACTAAACGCGAAAAGTAGTTAAAGAAATTAGTTTTCAATCTGGATTTAAAAGTGCATAGCTCCAGTTGTTTCCCAATCTAAAAGTGCACGACACAGTGACCGTCTTTATTCGATGCTTAGTATCATGTAGCAGTCATTCCCAAACCTCCTCAATCCGAGGACCACTCATGTAGCACTAATGTAGTATATAAGGAGTAGCTAGCGTGAGTGTTGTAGTGCAGGAACACAATATCACTACTCCAGGCTACATTAATGTTTAGCCTATCAATTTCCCCCGAGGTCAGGATTTGAATTTGACAAGGGCTATATTTTTGCTGCTATGCCCATAGCCCTATATTAAGTTAAGATATTTTTTGTAAAACAAGAGCCACAATTTAATCACAGACGAGCATGGACAATAGTTTGTAGAAATCTGACGAATCGTGCTTTGTCAAGATCTCTGTCAGTCCAATTTGCCCAACCAGTTTTGGATTTCGCTGCAAAAAAATCTGATTGATACGATTCTAAACGTTAACTTCACCTTGGTAATGCATCTATTGATGATGTATGTCTAGTTCATCGACCTCGGCATAGCTGATCAGTGATATTTTTCATGAGAGCTGAATGAAGTCATTCCTGAAGTGAATCGATCAGTTCAAAATAATAATTAAATGATGCTGGCCTATGTGCACGGTCTAGAATATAGAAACCCTATCAGATTAACACGATCGTCTTGTCTTTGTGTGGTGGCAACTTATATGATCCTAGACGGATTTACTGACCTTGGCGGCGTTATGAACATCAATGGAAGTTCATGGTCTTTTCCCTACCCAGAGTTCACTGCATTGTAGACATTTGAGCAGAGGCGAATCCGCTGCATGGTAATACGGGTTTCAGTTATACTGAATGGACTCGACACGGTTGAGTGTCTCGCCTGTGCGGTTCACTGAAGTTAATTCCGGCTGTGAAGCACCCCCTGACGACCCTCGTCGATGTCCCGAGTGCTCTCGCCCCTGGCACCAAGAGAGCACATGCTCACTTAATTATTCGTTGACATAAGAGCTGGTCAAACATACCAATAAAGGACATTGAGGCGAATCGTTATTTACACGTGTTTTGTTACAGCTCCTGTTGTTACGTACTGTTAAATTTCGATTTAAAGCTTCTTTCGTGACTGCAGGGATTCATCCTCTTGGTTCTTTCGGTCAAGTCACGTAGAAGGGGAATAATAAAATAATAAAAATGAAACATAATACAGTAAGAATTATTATGTTTTATTATTATTTTATTATTTCCCTTCTACGTGACTTTACCGAACGAACCAAGAAGATTTACGTACCGTTGTCGACTCGAGCTGTTATTACCATTGTGCAAGCCCAAAAAAATAATCTGCGACACGCGTCTGATTGTCTATTAAATTTGCACGCCAACATTTGGATCAAACGCGTTTAATGTAGCTGCCACAAAATTTTAGAACCACCTAATTTCTTGGCATCTCCATTCTGCCATGATTTATTAAAATAACTGAAATGTGTGAATATAATTTTACAACATAATTTATATTATTACGTTTGTTTGCTTTTTTAATCTGCAATTGTAGAATGCTTTGACGTTGTCTAACGGCCGAGTCACCATTGACGAGCTTCTTCGCTCTATGGGCTTTACTTGGGAAATAAACTTCTGATGCTGAAGCTCTTGTTGCGATGGATATGCTTATAGTCCCCTGTATCACAACCGGTTTCCCGGCATTATCATTCCCATTGTGAGTTGTAATGTCAGTAACATTATTAAAAGCACTGTAATATAAAAAAAATTGACAGTAAGCGTATTGAACTATATACAAGGACGGATTAAGGTTATGCGGGGCCAAAGGCCAATAGAGGGGAAGGGCCTAAGTGTCAAACGTTCATTTATCTCTGTACAAAAAACTATTTAATTCGACTACAGGTGCATTAACTGCAAATATAAAAATCACTTCCTTTCTGGTCTGTCGCCCCGCACCAAGCTTCGGGTCTTCTCGACCACAGTCATGCCCTCCCTTCATGCTTGTGAAACGTGGGCCCCTCTAAATGGAACATCTGCGCCGGTTAGAAACATTCAGGCTGGCCTGCCTACAATCCATAATGGGTTTAACCAGGCTGGATTGCGTGAGGAGCTCACAAATCCTTGAAAGATCTGGACGCATTCCCATGAGCGAGCTCCACCGGCAGGCAAGACTGCGTTGGCTGGGTTATGTCGTCCGCATGCCCAGCCACTGCATGCCCAAGCAGCTTCTGATTGGCCACAGAGGGGGCTAAACGGGCACATGGGCTGAAGATATGTACTGATGTGGTACGGGAGGATGTGGAGCTGAGTTGACTTATCAATGACTGCTACCAGCGGTGTTAAGATCGGCCTCTCTGGAGGACGCTCGTGAAGGACGCTGCTACTAATGGGCAGCTGGAGGCAGTCGCCCTCCAACAACGGAGGGCAGAGGAGCGACGCTTACAACGACGAGCCGAACCGCCAGGCGGATACAATGCAGCAATTTGGCACAGTAGGGGGGTACAACTGGTGTGCGTCTACTAGTCAGCTCAGCCAACCCATGGCACCTCCTGTCTGTCCCGAGACCTCCTGCCAGCGAGACTTCGACACTTCACGTGGCCTCAAAGTGCACCTGGCCTGGCACCGTGGTGCTACACTATGAACCAGGCGACCTGAGTTCGAGTCACGCTCATGGCCAATAGCAGTGACGATTATTGGAACCAGTGCTGGGCCTCCCCTAGGTCGACTCCACCTCAATTAAAGTAGCTGCTGCAGTGTGAACATCGCCACTGGGGAGACTGTTCAGGCAGCATGATATGCCGCCTGCCTCTGTTAAAGCTAAACCGGGTGATCTTGGTCTTTGTGCCTTATACTGTAACATATGCTGGCCACCCACCACCTCCTCGTGTGCCGTGCCAGCCTTCATTAGATGCTCGCTAACAGCACTTGCCCCAAAAGTCTGTCAAGGCTATAAGGGTTTACAATGGCCAGCAATATCGAGAGTATTTTTTGTGCCAGAGGTCAGGAACTTTAGATTTGAAGTTTTCGTGACTGCAGGGATCAATACTCTGTGGTTCTTTCGGTAAAGTCACCGAAAAAAAGGTACCTACGTGGCTTTACCGAAATAACCAAAGCGTAGAGGTCAGGCAGTTCCAAGACCTCCGCTGACACATCAGAGATTGACCGCGGGCACATCGTTCAGCTAAGAATGTTCCTCCACTCTGTACACACACTACTCAGGTATAATTGAGTGGCTAATAACATAAGGGCCCGCCGCACGCTTCAGGTTAAGAAAGTTTATCAAACGCCCTTGAGAGTGCGCACACTATGTAACACGATTTTTGTTCTGGGTAATACGTGTTATTTTCTCATTGCTTATGCCTCAAAAGGTATAGAAAATGGCTATTATTCCCCACAAACTTTGCATACATGGTTAACCTCTTCTTGGTTCTTTCGGTAAAGTCACGTAGAAGGGAGGTAATATAATAATAAAAATAAAACATAATAAAATAATTCTCACAACGTTTCGGCCACAACGCAAGCAGCCGTCCTCAGGTGAAGACTTCAGACGCTGTCTCCTCGACAGACCTGGTCCCTAGTATGGATTCACAGCATACCATTGTGGAAACATTGATTTGCCATACACACTGTAATCAAGTTATTTTGATGTTGCAGTTTGAGAAAGATTCACGGAAGATTACGTAGTGCGATCCATAAAAATTTAAATGTTGCTTTTCCAACCTTCCATTTTATACTGTACATAAAAATGACTTCATTTCAAGAAAATATAAAGAGCAAAAAGCTAACACAGCAGTGCGTCTTCCTTATTGAATTATAATTGATAAATTATTGTGGCAATGTTGAAGGGGCCAAATGCCAATGTTGAGGCCTGAGAGCCACGAGGGTTTCGTGAAAGTTGGGTGTAGTTTTGCCGTTCCTCCATCGAAGGAGTGCAGACTACACCGGTTCCCTGTATGGGACATAGTTTGTGTTACATGGCCAGTCGCCTTGTCCTGAATGTTCTGTTTATGTATTAAGTGAGCAGCAGCCTGTTGGTGTTCAGGTGGATTTAATGTGGTGCGATGTTTGTGTGTTTAATGAATAATCTCTGATATACCACCGTTTCACTCTACGGTGATATTAAAAAGACAGGTCTGATATATAGCATATTGACATTTGAGTACATCTTAGTAAGATACCGTATGCATTGGTATTCAGTGTAAAGATTTAAGCAATGTCGCACGGTACATGAGTGTATTCGTCCGATAATGAATGCTACTTATTTTCTTCGCTCGCAAAGCATTAGGCAATGTTACAATCCTGCCGGTCATAACCTCGGGTTCAGTTTCCACAATTCGATATGTCGCTATTCCCTTTCAACGGTCTACATGTTTCTATGTATTGGTCAATAGGCCAATGTAAAGAACCACATTACCGTGATACAGCCATTGGTGACAAGAGGGGGGACACTTGCAACACGAGAACATGTGGCCAGTATCAAAGCACCCCATTGATATTAAAGTTTGATTATATTAGGTGAAAATAATAATTGGCATCACACCCAAACAATAGCGTACACACGCAGTCTTTAACCTACTGGACATCTGTGAAAGAGCTGCATAGCTCATCGGATTCCTCCAGCCTCAATAAACATTTTGATTAACCCGTCCACTCCGTCCAACAGTGCGCTTTGAAGGGGTCAATGCCTCAAAAACATCACTTCAATCTCCTTGAAAAAGGCAGTGTTATTTGACAAATGGTGTCGAGTACTCTTTATACACACACACGAGACCATTACGGAGGAAGTCTTACCCAAGTACAGGAACCGCTCCAGTGTGACAGCAACCATCGTTACGCGTTCGTCACGGCTCCCAACCTTGCTACCGGGAATCATCCGTCCGATTGCCACTGCTTTGGTTACCTTTTGCCGAATTCATTGAAAAAATTAAACAAACCTTTAGGTTTGGCCAAGCCGACGATGCCACGACGCAACAACATATTCGCGAAACACATTGCCACACCAACCTGCTTGCTGTAACGTTGTCTTGTTGACGCGAAATCAATCAAATGTCCCATGCACGGTCTTGTCCAAGCTGCGTACAACCTCCGCTCTTCTGGGGGTTGTTCGTGGCGTCTTACCCTTTTGATAATGCGATACAAAGGAAACTGGTTTGACTACAAAAAATGTGTACAATTTTCAGACAGTTAGAAATTGTATTTTCACCCATGTATACGTAACCAGAACTCAATCGGAACACTTCAAGGGAGCTTACAAATTAATTTGGCAAAACTAAAATTATAAGAACAGTTTGGGACTTTACCTTTTAGCCGAGACATCACCTGGTCTCTGTAACAGAACATTAAATCGTCACGTTAAGACTTCGGTGGCGTTTAAAAAAGAAAGCACTCCAAGAGGAATGGGGTGGGGCATAGTAGTGGCTCATTAAGGTTTAACAGCAGGTGTGTAATGTTGTGAAGTCAGCATGGACAAGAAAACTAATTTGGCAAGCTTCTGCAGAGCCAATTGCAGTTTTTTTAATCCATTCTGCAAGTGCAACAAATCTGGTGTGAACAAGATGCGAAATTACAATTTCTGTAAGCGTGCGCTGGAGATGGTGAAAACATGTCAAGTTCTTTAAAATCACTTTTATCATTCCCAACATTTGAATTTGGTTCCTCTGCACGCAAGGGTTTAAAAAATTGGAGATATTTAAACTCTTTTCGTAGTCACGGCGCAAGATCGCTATGAACCAGCCTCCGATATACGCATTCGTCCAGTTTATGGATGATGTACTTAAAACGGCAAGTTAACACCTATTAAAAAGACAGTGCGATGGTGCATCATCGGTCAGGATTTATTCATCGCTCTTTGAAGGCTTCTTCGGAAGGCGATAACCTAGTGCCCCTCCGCTATAGCAGCACCACAACACCTTAATGACCACTTATTTAATTGGTTTGGACGTATACGACTACATCAACATGGTTACCGTAAATATCCATCAGTAACAACGAGGATTAAAATACGTTATAACGTCATTATTACCTTATATCCAAAAGGCAAATATTTGGAAACTGCCTTGGAGACCACGTCAAAAGAAAAGTGCACGACTATACAACGCCACCATGGCAAGTCATTGTAATTTAAGATTTGCACACTACACAATGCCGTACTATCCATTCTCAAATATAATTAAGCGGGGTTTGGAACTGACGCAAACAGAGACCCGTTGTGAAAGACATCTTTAAATAAATATTTGTTCAATACGATGTGCTTTATAATCCCTACAGGTAGGTCTTCAACGTTGCCCGTGCACATGGGGCGCTCTGCATGTCACGAGGAATTTGAATTAAAACGGTCAGGACCGTAGTCTAAAAGAAACCCTGGATTTTAGTCATTGTAGTTGCAAGGAGCTTTTTTTGTTGCGTGTTACTGGAAGGGTGTCACCCTCCACTATAGGAGGCGCTACCGCTAGTGGCGGCGTTTTAAGACCTCGTTATCTAGGGTGCATCCAGGCCGGGAGTGCACGGACGAGGTGGCCACCCGTTCGTCGATCGGAGTTACCTGGTACCAAGTGGGAGGACATGAATGGGGAAGCTCCGTCTCCTCCTCGCCGCAAAATTACCAAAGCCCCAGAAAGTCATCCTCATCCCCTTTGCAACCCCTCAAAACCTCCCCGCAGCCAAGCTGGCCAGTTCGTTCTACCAGTGAACACCCGTATCACAGAGTCTGACCCAGCCGATCGGCGTCTCGTTATCCCATCTCGACCACGAATGACGCGATGCCCACGCGCGCACGGACGAGGAGATGAACGATCCACGGATGTCATCATCACGGGCGGCATTGCTCGTTCCAGGAGCGAGGGGTCGAAGTCTTTGGGATTAACACCAGCTGCCGGACGAGGTGAGGTGGGGGGGGGGGGAACGCGCTCCTACACGGGGGTGCCGACTTATTCCGCAGCCTCTCGGGAAAAAGGTAGAGACGCGGTGGTGAGGAGGGCGGTGCGATCCTTACTTGCAGCCCACACCTGGAAAAAAATAATATAGCTAAAATGAACCCTTCCCTCCCCTGCCGATTTTGTGTATGATCTCACGTTCCCAATTGCCAATTAGAGAGATAATTGATATCTGGACAGGTGGGCACGTGCGGCAATTGCGAGAGTATAGTTAATCAGATCATGACCATGGTGATGGGTGAGGAAGAGCATGCACTGTATATTAGCTTATGTAAGATGATGATGAATCGTATACAATAATCGCAAATGGAACAATTAAACGATATTGAAAATATAGAGCGTATAATCGAGAGCTTAAAAATTTAAATAAAATCGTCACGAATGTACTGTGCCCTTACCTTGCGATTTCCACTAATACCTTGAGTAACCGGGCCTCGCGGTTCGGTGGTGGGTCACTGCATCGCGCGCTTTCAGCTCCACTCCTGCGGCCGTCTGGAACGCTCTTCCTTCCGATATCAGGAAGCCACCGGAGCTATGCACTTTAACATCTAGATTTTTAATTCATTTCTTTAGAAACTGCTTTCCGTGTTTAGTTTATTGTTCCTCCCCCGCACCTCCGATAAACGCGGTTGGTTACGTACAGTGCAAAATAAGTTCAACATATATACATACATATCAACAACACTGTTCAGATTTAATGATTTCACCTTAAACCATTTCTCGCCTACGTCGAATTATTTCAATGTCCACTGCCCAGAAACGTATACATGCTTTTGTTTCCTCGCGGATTGATTACTGCAATCGCTTGCGATCAGGAGTTCCAGCCAAGTTGCTTTGCAGGCTGCACCGCCGATTATGGTAGTATGGTTGACTACGTACGGTGCGAAAGACGTTCAACATACATGTTCAGAATCCTGCGGCTAGAATTCTTACACGCACCCCTTTTAGTGGTCACATTATCCCTGGTCCACCGTAGTAGAGCGACTCACTTCACCAGGGTTTTAAAACATTGATCTCGAGTAGCAATTGATGGTCTTAGTTATGAAGTTGGAAACCTTTGGGTTAAGATTTCAGTTTGAAAATGTTCTGTCGTATTACAAAACTTTGGTATATTTTAGACATGTATTACTTTTGTAAAATGTTTCATGATAAAAAAATGTAATTTTACAATTGAACCACAGCCCTACTGACCACCACCCCCTTGTCGAGTGATACCGCAGTGACACATTTTCTGGTTTCACCTGCTCTAGAGTTGTTTGCGTTGGTTCTTAGTTTTCTGAATAAGAGACTCGGAACTCGCTATTTGTTGTTGTTTTACGGTTTAAATAAAGTGTAGTTGATGTTAAACACCACGAAAGTTTTACAATTAGAATTCAGTGCACAGTCTTGGTTACGTCTAAGGCAAGGCAAAGGTCACAAACTTAAAATTCCTTAATTTCAGGTTAGTCTCTTGATATTCTTGGGTCTTTTGGTAACGTCACGTAGAAGGGAAACAATAAAATAATAAAAATATAAAACATAAAAATTCTCACGACGTTTTGATTGCAACACAAGCAATCATCATCAGGTGTGAAAACCACAGCAAGAAATTTTGAACAAAAATGGCATTTTTTTCTTAACGCAATTATGTTTAAGAAAAAACCGCCACTCTTTTCAAATTTTCTTGCTGTGGTTTTCACACCTGATGATGATTGCTTGTGTTGCAGTTGAAACGTCGTGAGAATTTGTATTGTTTTATATTTGTATTATTGTATTATCTCCCTTCTACGTCACTTTACCGAAAGAACCAAGAATACGAATCCCAGCAGTCACGAAAGCTTTAAAGCTAAATTTAGTCTCCTGATGATATATATTTTTCAGATCTTTCTGTGCAGTTTTCAGATTGTTTTCGTGCACATGCATGGGTTACAGTATAATTAGTTGTCTTTGAAAGTAGTCAAACCGGTTTCTTTTCAACTGGATACCAAGATAAGAGATAGGTGACACCACAAATGCCTGTGAAGGGCGGAGGCTGTGCACAGCTTAGACGAGAGCATGCATGCTGCATGGGGCATTTTTGTTCTCGCTTCAACAAGGTTGGTGTGGCATGTTCTACGTGTATGTTGAACTTCGTTCGCACAGTATGTTGCCAACCGTACTTATCGGAGGTGCATATGCGGTTGTTCTAATGTGTATAGCGGATATGTTGAGTAATCTTCGTCGTCAGATTAATACATGCTCCATAATAGAGGTATTTTGGGTTAGATCGCGTAAATATAAATGTTAAACCCGCCACCATCCGACACAGCCAATAAGTAAGGGTTTGTCATGTAACCAAAACATGCTAGAATTATGTCTGTCGCCTGATGAGGCTGCTTGTAATTACCGGTGAAATGTCGTTCTCGAATTGTAAATGTTGTGGGGTTACTCTTCAACACACCGGTGTGCTGAACTAGCAACTTTTTGGCACATTTTGTTTACTTGACAAACCTTACTAATTGGCTGTCGGGTGGTGGCGGGTTTCACGACACATTTATATTTACGTGATCGAGCACAAAAAAAAAACCTAATGGATAATTTTGGTTACGAAATCCTATACGTGTTAAACTAAATAGACGCTATTATTCGGTTGCACTTAAAAACATTCTAACACGTTCAACAAACGTTGCTAACATTCTGAATAACATTCCTCTGGCTGCTGCAAAACAAGGTGGCGTAATTACATTACTTACTCAAAAAACACTCAATTATGATTAACAAGTGAATTGTGTACAGCTGGATTAAACAGCGTGTACATTACACGAAGGTTGTAACATAATGAGATTATGATAACGACGAACTACGATCAATTATATAAAGCAGAATGTATAAAAGTACATACATTGGGTTTAACTTTCTGAAAACATATACTGTATTATATATTTGTCAATCCACTGCTAGATGAAGGCCTGCTTACGCCGTATTGATCATGGGGATTGTTTTAACCATATTTCACCACGCTGCTCCACGCGGGTTTGTTGAAGGGATTGCAACCGCTGCGCCACCGCTCACCCGGTATTTTGCTGCTGTCCTGTACGATGTAACTAACATTCCAAACGTGCCTTTCCACACGCCTATAGAAGATGGGCAAATCGTGGTGATACGGTGTGCAAGTTGTGGTTAAACATAATTGCGTGTAAAAGGCCCCCCCCCCCCCCCGGGTGAACGGCAACCACAACACCAAGCGTCTGGCTCGCCGCTCGTGTGATTGCGGGGCATCGCGACAGGCTAGAGGGGGGACCATTCATTTAGTGCGTGCGCATGGAGGGGGAAGCGGGGTTAACCCAAATGCGTACGCTTGCGTATTGGGGGGGGGGGGGGGTCTGCTGACAATATACGTAGGAAACAGGGGGGGGGGGTGAAGACTCAATACTAATTTGTCTACATTCGCCTTTAAATGAGCCACAGTTCAGTTTCTTCAGCTGTCAGACAACAAGTACTACCGGGAGAAGTGGGTCTGTGGGAGAGGTGTCACTTGCATGCCCCCGACTGCAGCTGTCACGCAGCTCAGCAAAATAAGTGGCCAAGGTACGCAACGTAATTCTTTAATGCAGCCGGCAGTGGACTGTTTGTTTGCTAAAAACGCGTTTATATTATTAATCCTTGATCGTTTCTGCGTGGATTAAATATCGGCCGTTCTATAGAATTCGGGGGGGGGGGGGGGGGGTGCGTCAGGCGTACGCACGCAGGTGGGGGGGGGGGGGGTGTAAAAAGTCCGCGTGCGTACAGGGAGGGGGGGTAAAGTTGACAGATTTTTGCGTAACTACTAAATGGATGGCCCCTAACGGCGTCAACAACACGCAAACAACGGCCCACCACCGGTGTGGCCAAACATCTCTCAGCCGTTAGGCATTATGCAGAACCACCCGTTTGAACAAACACCGTGCAATGAAAATATCGTGACCGAGCATCTATAGACAACACACGTCATGGCACTGTTACGAAAGGGTGCACAAATAGACGGCGAAAGAGGAGGCTTTCCTATATTATAGATTGAATGGCATACACAGAGAATACAATTATATACTTTAATGTATACAGCATGACATACTGTATTGACGAATTGTTAAAAAGGAATACAATCGGAATCTTAATTATACTGGAGGAATCCGATGAGCTATAAAGCTTTTTTTCACTCAAAGCGTTCCCATGCAGCGCCCTCCTGAAAAGTGTTTTTGGACCCATTGGGGTTTTCTTGAGTAGTTAGAGGCCGCTTTTTTGTTATCAGCCATCACACTACAAAATAGATACCATAAATAAAACAGCTGCGTGTGCGAAGTCTATGGAATGCATGTAAAGTGCCGATGCTGTGGCAGGTGAAGAGAATGTTTGGAATGCATTTCCCAACTATCACAAGTGCTCAACAAATGCTCAGAAGTTCTCACCGACACTCACTTTACAATGAACACCAACACTCGCAAGCACTATTACTTACCAACATCACTCACTCATACAACCATTCACTGTCACCAGCTGTTACACAAACCCATTTGCCATTAAACAAATCGAAACCCAAAATAACACATCAACAATAAAAAGGAAAAGAGATTTATTTAAGAACCACAATGACCAGTGGGACTTCAGGTAGTCGTATCTAAGTTCTCTAGCCAATGTTTAAAGGCAAACAAACCACGTACCGGTTTAGATTCACTGAATGAAACATATTCCTCTGCTTCTTTGTATGCGATTAACCACACATGCACTGTTGTGATACGGCCCAGTCATAACGCGTTCCATAGTTGCACGGTTTGAATGTGATAGGCCACCCTGGATAATACTGTGGCTGTGTTAACCATCACAGCGGACATTACATGATCCATGACGTCATTCAAAAATAATAAGCGTCACGGTCCAATTGGTCAGTTTTGAAATATGACTTGCATATTACTCAATTGGGATTACACATAGCAACATCACCCCAACTGAAAAATGATTGCAGACAGGTATGACAGACAGACAGACAGACCGGTCTCTGATAGGGTCACTACACAAACCAGATGCTCAAGAACCTGAGGGTTGATATCGCTTGCGGTACGTGATTTCCATCATTAAGTGAATGACAAAGGGGTAAATACTTGGGGCTGAGCGTTGTAACATATGACTGTTGTATTGTTTGACATGTACACGGATACACGCAGTAACCATTGTAATAATTGTTTGACTTAAAACGTTCGTGACTGCAGTAATTCATATTCTTTGGTTCTTTCGGTAAAGTCATGTAGAAAAAAAGAAAGTGAATAAAAATATCACGTTTCGTCATATTTTAAACAGTTTGCCTTTAGAGGCTAACTCCTTTTCTTGATGACGACCGCTTGTGTTGCAATCGAAAAGTCGTGATATTTGTATTCACTTAATTTTTTTTGCTATCTACGTGACTTTACCGAAAGAACCAAAGAACATTGTTTTAATTATATATATATGGGTGTAGTTTGTGCAGACTGGGTCGAATACCATTCGCTCGTAAAATAAAGTTATTATTAGTTCTAGTTGTGGAGTTAAATATACTGAGGTTAGTGATTACCATTAGAATACGCCCGTGAATGGTACGAACGTTGTACGTGCAATATAGCATCTGGTAACACGGTAAGTTGTAGCTGCCACTTATATTCACGTGGGTACTAATGAGTTTAATAATTGTCGGTTAATCTGCATTGAGAATGGTGTAAACCATTGGACCGGGTGTGTTTGTGCTATATTGCTACAGAAGGGCGTTGCATGTATATGTAGTGTCAATGATTCGAAGACGAGGTTTGTAGGAGGCACCTTCTTTATTAACAACGTTCACGGCCTCGCCCACACTCTCCACAGTCGCTTAGCCTAGCCTGTACACAACACTAGCCGCCTACCACTGACGGCGCTGCCTGAGACGGCCAACGACTCTCCTGCAGCGCAATATCTAGCGAAGACTGCAACAACGACGGCGACGAGACGACAGCAACGACGAGACGAGTCCAATCCCAGAACCGGCAGCCTCGAGCCCCTGCTCTCGGCTCCTTTTATGCTCCCAGCGTGGCCTGGCTCCGCCCTCAACGTGCCTCCTTCCTTCTCGAAACCGACAAAGGCAAATAACGAGTCAGGGAGTGGGAATGTACCAGGGTAGTGGATGTCACCAGGATCGCGACTAAAACCCGCATGATGTTGACTGGTAAGTTGGTGGCGTGTGTAGTGCAGCAGCAGCAGCGACCATGCAACAGCTGTATCAGCAGCTATGTAACGGCAGCAGCCAGATCCGCTTGAGAAGCTTCAGGCTTCTTTAGACCTCGTGGAGCTTTGGTGTCAATGGAGAGCGTGTGTGTGTGTGACTCGAACATATAAATACATACTTATAGACTCTGTAAGTGACCAGGATTCCGGTTTAAGTGACTACGATTGGCTACGTATGGTACTAAAAAAGTAAAAAAAGCATATATACATACAGATGACCATGATTAGATGACCATGATTATATGACTACAGGCGCCCCCCACAACCATTTATGGCCTTCGGCCAGGAATGTCACGAAAAAAATTGCACCCAAACGACATATTCACGCAAGCACCCGATGCTCCATTTTGAAGTTTTAAAATTAAACATTTTGAATTGTATTATGTTTTGAATTAGATAATTGTATCTCTTCATTAAAAGCTTATCATTTTACATCTGGAATACTTAATTGAAAACGACATTTCGTGTGAATTTCCTCTCGTCGTTAAGTAGATGGCCTTGCTGGGGGTTTGGTTCGATGCGGACTTTCACCTGCCCCTCTATAGCCCCCGCCAAGCGTTGGTTGGCTGCTTGGTCCCGGTCACGTGACGCACTTAAACCAATCCGTGCCTGCGTTAGTCACAATGTCGCACAATGACACAGAATGACAAGAGCTGGGTGTTTATATATATTGATAAGTCACCAGGATTCTGGTCACCAGGATTCTGGCTACTTAGAGAATGTACGTAACACGATAAATAAGCAGACAACACGCCTGCTTCCTATACCTGTCCCTGCACTTCGTGTTGTGTATTAAATAGTTTCGCGTCGAACTTGGACCCATATCTAACAGAGAGCGAGGTTACTTGCCTATCAACACCTGGTAGTTCACCAGCATTGGTGCAATCAAGCATCCTGACTCTACTCGTGAGACAATGATTGAAACCGGTTCAAAGTTGTCCTCTGTTCAACTAATGCTGCTGAAATGATGCACTCCCAAAAGGCAGTGTGGTTGATGAGATGTGTAAAACATATTTTTTATTTGCTTATGTGGAGGGACAGATATGGGAAGGTGTATTGTCGAATTATTTATCTATCATTAACGACGTTAACGGCGTTGATTATTTTGGGACTTATTCAGCTTAAATTTATTTTCTCAAGAAGCTCACATGTTGATGAAAACTGCTGCTCTTGCATGTTACAGTCCATTGAGGGATGTATTTTTATATACTTGCATATAAATTATATGTTTATTGCAAGTTAATCAGAAAAAAAATCAAACAATGTAGAATTTGAGCATTTTGTTGTTGAGGTCATACACTGTGAACATTTTAAATTCATTGAGTATTCAAACGACAAATAATACCTTTTTTTGCAGGAAAAATGAATTCCAAGACATTTAGAAAAAAAATGGTCTCCAATAAAATAGTTTTCATCACATCACTTGCAGCAGTTCTTCTTATATATTGTTCAACTAAATATTTTAAGGTAAGCACTGCCACCTATTGACGTTGGAAGATGTCTGCGTTATGTCTTTCGTGCGACTATTCAATCACCTATGCAATACTTTTTCTTTTCAAGGTCACGTAACTATGTCAACATTATGTTCTATTATGCATTCACCATACAAATGCACACCTTTAAAAAAAATGTTAACTATTGCTACAATGAACACGTTGACTGGTTTCAGCGGTCGGAATCTCATCAGCAGTCAGGTCTGCTGCTGGGTTTTCTGAAGGCATAATACAGAAAAACTCTACAAAATGTATTATGTGCAGCCTTATAGCGGTTTGCTGGCAATAATTTAACACAATTATAAAATAGTAGACAAAGCACAAGTGCAATAAATAAAATACTTGTAGGTTGCTCACCAAAATGTTATTTAATTTTTACATGTAGAAACATACTGAATAGTAAAACTTGTACTATTTTTTTTAAAGGTCCACACTATGCTATCGGCCCTCAAAAAATCAAATGCAGTCCATAGTTTGTCCTGTTCGTAGAAATGCTGCTGGAAAAAAAACATAGATTGAGGGCCATAGAGTGATGGTCAAATATATCATCTCATATTTACGAGTTGGCCTGTGGCCGCATTTGTCACACTAAAGGAAGTTACACTACCTGCTGCACATAATTGATTCGATGCTTTTATCACCTTAACTCAATAGTTCACCCTCTGTAGACTCTGACCCTTCTTCTGACGTCCCTTCCTCCTTCATCTGTATGCCCCACCTCCTTATTCATTAGGCACCACCTTTTTATCTTTCAGATCTGCACCTTTCCTATTTAGGCCCCGCCTTTCTTTCGTCCCCTCCTCTTTCTGTTTAAGCCCCACCCCGTCCCATCAATCACAGGGTTGGGTTGGTTAGGTAATGATGTGGGTTGTCGCAGGCAGGAGGTGGGGGGTGGGCGCGTGGCAGTGGCATTGCTGGGCGGGGACCGTAGAGGTAGGGAGACCTCACGACCACCAAAATCTCCCAGAGCAGTGTAATATACGTGGTGAAACAAAACCTTCTGTGATTGTCTTTGATACACAATCTTCACAACAGCGCATTAAATACCTTACTTAATTTAGTAATGTATAACATGTCAATGCCCTAAATAAATCGTATTTGCTATAGCTTTGTTTGAAATACGAAAAAATCCCTCTCTTCAGAAAACATGGAACCTCAAAGTAATACCACCAAAAGCTCACTACCAAAATGCATCATTACGTCCAATAAAAGGTACAATCAGTGGCACATTGACATATCCTAAAACAAAACGTAATAATGCAATTTATAACGCGCGCAAATTTGCGGACGTAACGGCCGCAACTCAGAGGCGCGGAGCCAAGCTCAGAGTCACTCGAAAACATGGTTATAAAATACCCATTTCAACCAACATCACTTGTTCTACATCTGCCAAGAACAGTCGAATCACAATACTAAACGGAGGAGAACGTCACACCGTTGGAGGCACACTCCATGTGCAAGTGGCAATGTATGACTTTGCGAACAGAAGGAAGCTCTACGGTGGGGATTTCCTCCTCGCTCGGATTTTCAGCCCACGCCTTGGGGCTGCGTCTTCTGGCGTGGTGACTGACCTTGGCAATGGTGTGTACGATGTGAGGTTCACGCTCTTCTGGCCAGGAGACAGCAGTCTGGCCTTCACGCTCGTGCACTCCAGTGAGGCCGTGAGCGTGCTGGACAGAGTCCGAGAAGCCATTCCAGATAAAGTCACTTTCCTGGGGACTTTTGTCAGTGGGGAGTCAAGAGAAGTAACCAAATGTCACAGTTTTTCTAAACACTACCAAGCAAGTCTGTGATTTCACTGATGCACATTTGCGTGAACCATGGATGTGTGAAAAACCAAGAATGCTTCCTTGTTCATCTCTTCTCACTATGAAATCACTAAGTAACTATAAGAATGTTTTTAACGAAGAGGAAACGAAGTTTTTTGCAAGGTAAGAACATGTACACTCAGATTATTGCATTGATATTTTACCTCCAAGGTATAGCCATGTTTACAGTAAGCATTCTAAAAATAAAGACATCGATTATGAAAAGCCACATGATGCACGAAAAGTTATTTTCACACTAATGTATAACAACCTTCAAGTTTGCAAATAAAGACACACCTGAAACGACCAGGCAGACATGATTTTGTTGAATTCTCACCATAATGTAGTATAGTGGCTCTGAATGCCTCGTCAATAGCACTGAGAACAATGCCATGCTCAGTACAAACCCAGTTTATATGGCCTCATCTCCAAGATCGCCAAACCGTGATTCAATTTGTTTTGTAGGAAAACTCACGAATTGTATGAAACTATTTTATAGTCCCACCCCAAACTCAACCTCGGTCCCTCCAAATGTCCACCATGGGCACCTAGAGGCGGTGAAGTGTGCTACCATAGTGGAACAAAGCAAAACACCTGCAATTGCCAATGGCATATTTAGGTCCAATGTGCAAAATTAGGCCACTGTTATGTTCATTGTTGGTGGAATAATTTGCCGCAATCAATTCACTGTTGTATAGCTTCAAGCCGTCTCTACCTTTCACAATCCTGTTGGGCAGCAATACACCTCCAACCTGCGCATGAACTGATCTCATTGCCACATGCCCTCGGTGGATGTCCTCTTGCATGCGTTCCCATGGTAGAATAGCAGACACTAAGTATAATGCACTTGATATTTTCTAGCATTTATTTACTGAACTTTTTGCGAGTACATGTTATGTTGAATGTATACACAATACTGGTTCTTAATGTCTCATTATTCTTTGAACAGTACATTTAAAAACCACTTAGCAGTGTATTTTGATACTAGTTCATAAAGGCTGTCTTCGCCAGGAAAAAGTTTTAAATAAATATAATAAATAAACTGATATGAATTTTTTACAATTTTTATCTTCGATCAGACACTAACTGCTCCAAAAAATATTTTCCACAAAAAAAATGGTTGACGACTTGATTCAACTTCTTATGTTGAAAATTGTACCCATTGGAAACCGCTCCATTTAAATATTAAGTTTTTTTTATTAGAAAGAATAAAAATGTATGAACTTAATACTCTAGGAGGGGAAGCTCCTACATTTTACCTTTTTATAATTATTCAATTTGAACACCATAAAATGCGTATTTTTTCGTTCAATACCGCTTTAATCCGAAATATAAAAAAACAATAAAAGATAGAACAATGACTCACTTTAATTGCATTTGCTTATTAACGCTCAATCAAACGAAAAAACCCACAATCTTATATTTTGAATGGTTTCTGAATGACACGCGCAAACATGTCTATGCGGCACCTAAAATCAGGATTTAGGGGCCCTAAAATGAAAAATCTTGGATTTCAGATTGTTCATGTTGTGCGTGTCCCAAAAGCTACCTATTAACCACATTTCAGCTTTCTACCTTGTCGGGAAGTATCCTCGAGGTTTTTGAGTCATACAGATTAAGGTATTAATTTATATAGACACTGTTCAAACAACGGTGGCACAATAAATATAAAATACTTTTTGGAATTTCTATTGCAGGGATCGTATATGGGTGACAATTCCAATGTCATACAAAATACATGTTGCACCATCAACTGGTAAGAATGCATATATGCACCATAATTTACTACTGTATAATTATGAAATGGACTAGTTTATACCGGCTTTCGCAGAATAATGTTTAAATGTCTGTGATATCGCGCTCGATACCCTGGGGGTGTCTCAGCTTTTTACATCGCATCTCATTTCAAACATATGACACCCCCAGTGGCAGCTGTCCCAATGGGCACAATATGCCTTAGCACCTGGCAGAGATGCCCTCTGCCGGTATTGGACAATGATTACTCTTCGGGTAATTTTCAAATTTGCGAATGGCAGGTAATCTTTAACGTCCACAGTGAAGCAGATGACATGTATTATGGTTATTATGCGCACATCAATCATTAATCAGGGCAGTCGCTGGCAGTGACGCTTAACAACGTCACTGCCCAGAGTTGCCCCAATTAATTTAAATTACCTACTCTTGTGCCAGTGACGAGTAGAGGACCGGCTCCAGGTCCTCTTAATTGGGGGGGCGTGGGGGCGGTAGAACTGTCGTGTGAGCCACCATTGCAGGGATATCTACTGCTAATAAGAGGGAACTTTGGCACTGGCCTTGTGTGGTATCATATGCATTGCATGTATGATAGAAAACAAATTATACCTCGAAAGTGCATGGGCCCTGCACATATGGAAACATTGCTCACATCAATTAGTATGATCCAACAGGGAACTCATCTTACTTACAAAATTTTTGTATTCAATGACCCACATTTTGGGATAAATTCTAGTAATTTTTATGTAGTTTGTTGTTTGGTAAAATATGCTTTTTTTAATGTTCTAACATGACTGTCACCAGTGTTGTGGAATAATACATGATAAACATCGTGTTCTTGTAGTTTGTTTCCCCATTTTAGTTTAATGGATTTTGCACTGGTTAAAAAAGAGTTCCTGACATAAATCATTCTTTACTTACAATTATGTAAGTAAATAACTGTTGAGCAAAATATAGTCAATGTCAATATTTTTCTTTAAACTGTTACTCTTTTTATAGGTTTACTTCAGAGAAATACACATTGTGTTATGGGATTAGGGAATCCAAGTCCAACTGGATATTATTTTAAAAACACATGGAAATCTTCTTACTGCAACAATGCATATTTTGGTTCGCCATCATCTGTCAAGAACTGCTTGAAGGGGAAACAAATATTTCTCTTTGGTGATTCAACAATTGGGCAGTGGTTCAAATATTTTCAACGTTTCACCAAAGGTAAGGATGCTTATTTACTTGTAATTATAAGAAAATGTATTGTGTTCATGCCCAGGCTGATGGTACGGCCCCACCTCCAAGTGGCATGCTGGTTCTACAGAAGAGTCACCCAACTCCTCAGAGTGAGCAGCAATTACTAGACTAGCAAACAGCATACTTGGCCAGTAGGAAGCCATTGCTTGGCTGCACCTAGCCATCGATGAGCCTCCCATTGTGTCTGTACCAGATGGACGTTTATTTTGAAGAGTCATGGAAAGCTTTGACCCCCAATTAATTGACCCCAATTTTTTCCCCTTTTCATATTCATTTATGTTTTCGACAAACATTACTTTAACAATATTCCGTTTTATAGAATTAAATTGGGGTCACAAGACATCTGGACGACCCAAGGTGAACAGGAAACGGTTGTGATTACTGGCCAAGTAGCATTGCCCGGGCCTGGCTCCCAATCGTTAACGTCTCTAAATGATTGCGAAAAGCGGGCATGGCCTAGCAGTCGGCGTGGTCTTGGCGGTGTCTAAGAGACCTGCAGCCTTCACAGGAAGCGCTACCTGATGGATAGATTTAAAATGATGTGTGTTGCTTTTCTTACAGGTTTCGGGATTGTAGATCGTGACCTACCTGGAAAAGATGTGCAAAATATTGCCGTTGATGAATACAACATTACATTAAATTGGTATTATCACAACTACCCTTTTATTGCCACGAGAATAACCTCAAAAAAAGACTTCAGATACATAGCTCATCGAATTGATAACATCACCGGTGGGAGCGATACGGTCATAGCAATCTCCCTCGGCGCTCATTTCACACCCTTCCCTCTGCACGTGTTTCAAACGAGAATGCACAACATTAAAGCGGCAGTGGAGAAACTCCTGATTCGAAGCCCTCAAACGAAGGTCATTGTTAAATTATCCAACGTGAGAGAAAACAGCGGAGTGGCGATCTTTAATAACTGGAACACATTTAAGCTTAACCAAGTCCTCTTGGAAGTGTTTAAAACCATGAATGTGGCATTTATTGATGCGTGGGATATGACTGCTGTACTTAACTCTGCTAAAATTCACCCAAATGAGCATATTGTAAAAAACCAAATTGATTCGTTTTTATCTTTTGTTTGCTAATCTTTTTCTTTTAACGTCTTGTATATCTAACTTGCGAATTACAATCAAAGACGATACGTACATTTTGTTTTTATGTATATAAATATCATTATGAAGTGAAATGTTTTCATGTGAAATAAATAAATACCTCTCTGATTTAAAGATTTTCAACATGACATGCCTTTTTCTCAGCTATCACGAGGGACTTAAGGATATGGGCACATTCGTTTCCTGACCCAATTGCATGACCTTCCCGATATCAGCATAACTACAGTACATGTGTAGTGACTGACTCAGAGACACTAAGAGTAGGAGGCACTCTAAAAAGGCTTTTAAGTCAACAATTGGTAGCTACGGTTCCCAGTCAGGACAGCTAGTAGACTGCCTGACTGGCGACGCTGAGATGGAGACGATGGTGAAGACTTCAGCAGCACGACGGAATCCCACTCCAAACGACAGCCCCGAGGTCCCCTCCCGGGGCCCTTCTTATACTGTCAGCGTGGCCTGGCTCCGCCCCCAGCCACGCCCCCTTCTGGAACCTACTAGCGGGTTCTCGATGTGCCCTTTCCGTGACCTTTCCCCTACATGCCTCTCTGGTCTATCACGTGACCTGCTGTCAGTCAGGGCTGCTGTAAGCTGCAGATCCCCTTCCCTGCCAGCAGCCAGCGCTATGCTGCTACGTGACCGATTCTATGTCACGACACATGCATAACGCACAGGGGCTCACCTCATAACACTGCACACAAGCAACCTGTTTAATCAGCGTCCTTACACCTACTGGCTATACTTCACCTGTAAATGAAATCTCGAGTACATTTGGTTTTCGTGCCATTCCTATAGCGCAAGACTGTCATGAGAGTGCTATTGTCTCACATAGTCTGCAGCTGTTTCGGAGTAAACGTGAGCATTTTCATGGAAAATTTTCAAATTTAACACACAATGACCTAATTTTTTAATGACGTCAAGCCGTTCTTTAATGCCCATTGAATCAGACGGCAACGTAGTTTTCAGTTAATACGTCTGCAATTATAACCAGGACTGGCCTCTGGGATTCCAATCACGAACCTCTTCAATAATTAATTAATCGGTAAACGTGCTACCGCCTGGACGTTACCTCTCCAGGAGTGTGAAGATGGTGGAGACGTGTATCATCTTGGCAAAGGGGTTTTGGTGGTTCGTGGAGGTGTGGCTCGAGAAATGCGTGATGATGGCGATGGGTGGTGGTAGAGTGGTGTGGTTGGACGTACGATTGACATCCTCGGAATGGTACGCGATCCGACCGAAACGAAGCCAACACAATTACCCGTGTGTAGGTGTGGTGCAGCTGGCACAACGAGTGGTGAATCAAAGGTGGCGTGTGTAGAGTTGGTATCAGTTGAGCATGAACATTGCATGTTTAGACTCCCAATTGTAAATATGACTAATAATGTCAATATACGTGTTCTTAAAAAATAATTCATAAATGTTATCTGGGGTTTCACTAACAAATGCACACACGCATTAGTCACAAGAGCTTGTATACCCCTAAGTTATTTCTCATGCACTCGCACTAACCAAAGTGATGAACTGACTAACATAATTTTAATCGAACCACGGAGATTTTCGCAGTCAACATATGATTTGTAATTTTGACTAAACCATATTATGATCTGGATACATTTGTATCATTTGTAATTCCTGGAGTTTTATTGGGACTTTAGGGATCTTGCCCTGATGATGTTTGACGTAGTGTCAAAATAACCTTCGTATTCAATTGCTAGATTTGCTTAAAGAAGAAAAGCTGCCTTCTCATATTCATCCCTCCCATACTAATGAATCACGAAACAGACTAAACCTGCTTTATCCTTCTGCTCTTCGATTTGCACAGGATGTATCATACAGGGTGGTATAAAAAGATGGACCCGATTTGAAATCGCTGTAGCTCTGCAACCACTAACCGCCCTTGAATGAAACTCTTACCACTTGAAAGGGCGGGGAATAGAGTTTCAAATGATTACCGCTAGGTGCCACTCCCAGTGCACAAACAGCACTTAGCCTCAGTCATTCGCAAGATGGTGACCCCGCAACACAAGGCGTTTTGCGTTCTGCAGTTCAGCAAGAGTGAATCCGTAATTGTGGTGCAGCGTGCGTTTCAACGGCGTTTTGGCATTTATCCGCCAATGTCAAAGAGCATTCGTCGTTGGTACCGACAATTTGAGGAAACAGGCTGTTTATGTAAGGGGAAGGGCACAGGGCGACCACACACCTCAGAGGAAAACGTGAGAAGAGGCGTTTGGGACGAATTCAACTATCGTCTCGATGCTGTCTGTACAGCAGGTGGAGGGCACATAGAGCATTTATAAAATGGTTAATAAAACTCGATAACTCATTAAACCGTTTGTAACTTTTTGTGTAATTGTAACATGTTGCCATCGTGAAATATACTGCTTTGAAATTGGGTCCATCTATTTGAAACACCCTGTACAGGACCCAACATTGTGACCTCCGCTTAAAATCCAATCTCACATTACTTGATGCAAGTGTCGTGAGTCCAACTGAGTCGCAGACGTTCTTTTTAGAGGCAACACATTTATTTGTAACACGTAACACAAAGGGGTAACTGGCCCTTCACGAGATACAGCCTAGGGTGGTAACCACCCAGCTAACTACTCTATACAGAGGGGTTACTGCTACGCAGGGTTGGGTCCCTTCTCGGGTCCGCGACCATGTATTTGCCTCGAAGACGTAGAGCTTCCAGCTTGAGATGTAGGCTTCAGCTGGTGGACGTGGAACTTCAGCTTGAAGAATGCAGCGACCCCGGTCCCCCTACGGTCGGGGCCGCTCCGCCCTTGGCCCCGCCCGCCTTCTGGAGCCTTCTATCTCCCGCTCAAGAGCTTTCCCTAGACACGTTATCACCCCCTAGTCCCCCGACCTGGGGGCCTCTCTATGGACACTCTAGATCACGTGTCTGCAGGGTCAACCAGAGTGCCATGGCCCGGGGCAACACTGCCCTTGGGCTGATACTCCCCCGCTCCCCTTCGTGGGAGTCCCCACCACACGCTATGCGCGGTGCCCGCGCGATCCAGCGCTCACCAAGCCCCGCTAGGGCTGGCACTACACCCGCCCACAGGGTGTATGTGATGACAAGTGCATCGCGTGCCCTGGCCCTCTCAGGCCGGCACCATGCAGTGACATCCCCGATGTCACTGCATCCCCGATGTCACTACACAAGAATTCATCTACATTGGACCATGTTCATCCACAAAATCCTGATATGCAAATCTGCACTATGCTTAGCTAATAAACCCAATTGTCAAAGCCATGAAATCTAAGACGTCCATCTAAATTGTATTTTAACTATCCCAAGAACAAGAATTGTAATAGGTGACATTTTCCGTTGCAGCACCAACGTTTTGGAAAAACCTTGTTTCCTCTCATCATAAATCTTCCTTTAAAAGCATATTCTGAAGCAGAAGGTTAGTGCCGGGCACAACCACATTTGTAAATGTGCTTTGGAGCTGTGTTGTCTTGGTGTAATCCGGGACTGTTTTTGTTTTGCTGCCTTGCCAAAGATTGCATTTGGTGTTGAAAAATCAGCATGAATCGATGTCCTTATGCAATTTGTACTGATGATGACGTCACCCTGCTGCTGCTCTATTTAAGACTGGGAGCAAGTGCAGAGCCTCACCATTCTGGCGAATTGCCGGATGATGCTGGATGCAATTACCAACGAAACTCGTACCCAAAAATTGTAAATGTTGTGGTTTCACTCTTCAACACACCGGTGGGCTAAAGTAGTGAACTATTTGTCTTTTGTCAACGTGACACTTTTTTTGCTGATTGGCCGTGTCGGGTGGTGGAGGGTTACGACACATTTATAAATAACGCGATCTAATTCTAGATTTGAAGCTTTCGTGACTGCAAGGATTCATACTCTTAGGTTTTTTCGGTAAAGTCACGTAGGTAAAAATAAATAAAAATAATAGAAATACAATAATGTAATAAAATAAATGTGTTTACCAACGCGATCTAACCCAAAAACGTTATTATTTACTGACTTGCTTCGCTTTCCTTTCCTGTGCACTCCACTCGTATTTTTGTTTTGTTTGTTGTTGTAGCTCTCTGACCCGCCCCTTACTGGACATCTGCGAAAAAAAGGAACTTCACAGCTCATCAGATTCTTCCAGTCAACATAAAGATTCCTGACAAATAACACAAAAAAGATAAATGCATCGTGTCGCTCCCAGCGAATCCATGGTTCGGGGCCGCTGCTCGTCGCATCACGTGACCCCAACCCGGATTAGAGGATTAAGAACTGCCCGTAGCCAATCAGCGCGAGGAATCGAAATCGGATTCGCCCCTCGGAAAGGAATCGATATCCCAGCCGAATTTCCGCTCCGGCCGCGCGTACGAATCGAATCGTACACGGTATCGATGACTATAGAATCGATACACTGGCGATTCCGAATCGCGCGTCCGCAAAGCGTGCAACGCGCCTCTCTCGCGTCTCCCTCCTTCTCTGCGTCTCCCTCGCCCTCCTTCTCGCCCTCCTTCCCTTCTGCCTCTGCCCTTCGCACGCCGCCTCCCCCTCCTCCTGTCCCCAGTCTCCCTCGCCCCTCACCCTCGCTCGTTCCCGACTCGAGGACATGACGTTGTGCCGTCGTGCTCGCACGTGACGTCACCTCGGCGGCTGTGTGACGTCACGCTGCGACGTCACCCGGTGAGTGTCGTAAATGGCGCCGGCGTTGCCACTTCGAACGTGCGCACGTGGACGTTCAAGCGACGTAACGTCCAAGCGTTAATGCGCGTCTCAAGGGCGCGCAACTCTTAACTCGTCCACCCTTCGACGTGTGTCTGTCCACGCTGTGCGGGAGGGTGGGGGGGGAGGTGTTTCGACCGTGATTCATTGTCGCCGCGCGACATAACTTTAAACGAAACCACGGTCCCATGGAAATTCATCAATGATCATTCTCATCATCGCTTGCCTCGAGCTGTGGCCAACGAGGATGGACCAAAGTGTTGGTTGGAGATCAGCTGCCACAGCCAGGGACCTTGCACTCAACACTTAGGTGGGTTCCGTGGGATCAGGCAGAGGGGTTCAAGCAAAGCATGGCTCTGCTGATGAAACACGGAGCATCGAAACCGGTGTCCAAAGTTTGCGTTGAACCGATGTTGCTGGAATTATTCGCGACCTCCCGCCTGCCGAATTAATCTCGGACGAATTGCAGGATCCAATAAGTTTGTTCTTGAAGGTATTTGATCATATTGAACCGTAACACATTTAACTTTGAACAACCCGTTGCTCAGTTTGGCTGGTTTCTATAGTTCCTGAATAATAACACGACTTTATACTAAAGTTGAGTTGATTTTGGATCACATTTGCGAGGGTTATTTTGTCTCCGCGTTAGAAACAAACGAGCAGACTGGACCAGACGGTGATCGGAGTATCACAAAGCTCTCTCCTGAAGTCCTCTCGTCGTGGCTGGCAGACCTCGACACTGGGTGTTTAGCTCCTGAACACATTGTCATCACACGCAAAAATGTAACGAAGAGAATACATTCATCCTTTTAACTTTTTTTTTGAAAGAGGTAAATAGGAAGTGACCAAAATATCTTGTGCAGCATCCTTTTAAAAATTCTGTAGTCTTGAGACTTGTTGAGGTTTTCTGGATAAATTCGTGAAATTGAGGTTAACACTCGATTATCTGTGTGGTTGGATTTTCCGGGTCAGGTGGATTAACCATGCTTGTGAAAAAGATTCACGTTAATACGGGTTCAATGTCCTTGTGTCCGCAAACATGTGGGCAAGTAAAATGATTAAGCAGCAATACAGACAGATGACATTTCTTAACCCCCATTCCACATGGAAAATGTATACATATTTTTATAGACTATTTACATGTTTTGCATTATATGTGTTTTGGTCTTAACCTAGCCACCGCTACCAGATTATTAAGAGTTATCATTACTGAAACGTGTTATCTTTTTTATGGACTTTTGCTAGCTGCTATGAAATAAAAGGTATTTAACTAAAAATTTCTACTCTTTGGTTCTTTCGGTCAAGTCACGCAAGTAGAAAAATTAAATAAAAATAGCAAAATTTCACGACGTTTCGATCGCAACACAATTTATATTGGTTACGTAAGCGCTATTTTTTCCCCCCGCAGACATGGAGGCCTGGACTCCTGGTGCTTTTCTGTGCACAGAGCCATTCGTGAAACAGGAGTGTGACGACAACCCTGGCTGTGAGATGTGGATGGAAGCGAATGTGAAGCAAGAAGAGTTGAGTGACACCGGTGAGATAGTGTTCACGCATTATGTGCATGTGTGCGCTTGTGTGTGAACTCGTAATCCTGAGTTTTCAGTAAAGAACCAAACATTGGGACTTGTTAGTGCGCCAACAATTATTGAATCAATTAAATTACAGTGGAACCCTGTTTTTTCTTGGTGCTGCTAATCCATTCTACGGATTGACTTTGCCGGTAGCCAGACTGTTATTAACAAACGAATCTGAAAGCACGTAAGCTCGGATTCAGTGAAGCATAACATAACATCCTGGCACAGCATTCATTTGTGAATCCTGGAGCCTAACCTTAGATGGATCTGGGTGCCATTTTCAGTTTTATAGGTATTATGGAAGAGGCTGCATTGAGGAATATTTCTTGAATAAAATTCTACAGTTGACTGTTGTCCTTGGGCAGATCCTCTTTGCGGATTAATCAAACATACCACCAAATTAACCATTTAATTTAATTAATAAACACAGGGCCATATTATACATAGGTAAATAATATACATCGCATAAGTTGCCATTTAATTCGATATATTTGTTTTATCTGAGTCATGTCACCCTCATTGCTAAAGTAGATTGATAGTTTTCGATTTAAAGCTTTCGTGACTGCAGGGATTCATCTTCTTGTTTCTTTCGGTAAAGTCACGTAGAAGGGAAGTAATAAAATAATAAAAATAAAACATAATAAAACAATTCTCACGACGTTTCGGCTACAACGCAAGCAGCCGTCTTCAGGTGAAGAATGAGACACTACCAAACTAGGAGCTTATATATAAGCTGCATTGGGGGTTGAAGAGCGCCTTAACAAAAAGAATGTGCATGTGAAGAGGGATTTAGCATATTCATGGAAAATGCGTAGGCGTTGGGCGGGGGGGTGTCAAAGTCATATTATGCCCATGCATTATGCAGGATCAGCAGCAACCAAGGGGGGTGCAGGGATTAGCAGTAACAAAGGAAAGGAATGTTAATGATATGTAGCTGCAGTTACTCAACAACACGTAGAAAACTAAAGTATAAACTACATAAAAAACTAAAGTATAAACTGCATCGCACCATCAGTATACTTACTATACTCTATAATAAGCTGAGTTACTAACAGCAAGTAATACATTACAATTTTACCTCGTAAAAATTCTATAAGCATATTATAGAATTTTTACGAGGTAAAATTGTAATGTATTACTTGCTGTTAGTAACTCAGCTTATTATAGAGTATAGTAAGTATACTGATGGTGCGATGCAGTTTATACTTTAGTTTTTTATGTAGTTTATACTTTAGTTTTCTACGTGTTGTTGAGTAACTGCAGCTACATATCATTAACATTCCTTTCCTTTGTTACTGCTAATCCCTGCACCCCCCTTGGTTGCTGCTGATCCTGCATAATGCATGGGCATAATATGACTTTGACACCCCCCCGCCCAACGCCTACGCATTTTCCATGAATATGCTAAATCCCTCTTCACATGCACATTCTTTTTGTTAAGGCGCTCTTCAACCCCCAATGCAGCTTATATATAAGCTCCTAGTTTGGTAGTGTCTCATTCTTCACCTGAAGACGGCTGCTTGCGTTGTAGCCGAAACGTCGTGAGAATTGTTTTATTATGTTTTATTTTTATTATTTTATTACTTCCCTTCTACGTGACTTTACCGAAAGAAACAAGAAGATAGATTGATAGTCTACAGTAAACGTATCTCTGCTGCCCACTTTGAAAGGTTTCCCCATTACTTTTTCTGTGGGTGTTTTTTGTTAAGTCAGTAATGTCAGGAGGTCACTTTTTCCATTAGCCTTGATGATTGTCGTCTTTCCTGACTGGGCCATGCTGGTGCGATAATGTGTCCATTGCTTGTGTAGCTGTGCGAGACTGGGAGACAAGAGCGCCGCTCATCAAATCAGAGCATGGAGAAGAGAGCACCGGCTGTGAGTGTGAACGTGTGAATTAACAGGACGCCTGTATGTCAATGCCTATTGTTTGTATGTTGTATGTAAGCATGTTAAACTTATTTCTCACTGTGTATAGCCAACCATGCTCATCGGAGGTGCACTGCACCGTGATTCCAGGGATCCAGGTTCGATTTCTGATAATGTGCACCATTTGTCGTTGATATTTTCAATTGGCATGGCCTCCCATAGGTAGACTCAGGCTAAAAAGGGTATCTGGTGTGGCTGATTGCATGTTAACATCAGCACTGGAAAGATGAATGCAACCTGGTGTGGTGATTGCGACACGACCCCCTCAAGTGCCTTGTTGGCCTTAAGAGGTAGTCACTATCACCACTTGCCTCCACAGTCTTTAAGTGATATGTCTTGGTTAGAGGCATGACATTTTACATTAAATGAGATTTTTGATAAAAGTTTGTAGAATGTAATGATAATGTCTTTTCAAAGATTATGCAACCCAAAAATGCAAACAGTTCTGTATAATAATAATTCAGTAGTGGTGTTTGCACCATTTTTATAGTTCAAGGCTGTCATAAAGATGCTATTTTTCACAGACAGTCTGCATTAGTTTCACAGTAGGAGGCAAAGTTGCTGTCTTTCAAATTAAATAATTGCTGTTAACGTTTCAAATTTGGAAAATTAGCACAATTTTGCTTGTACACAATGGTCTAACACTTCTTGAAGGACGTCACGGAATCTTTGCGACCACTATAAAGCAGACGGAGTGTATTTCAGTTTCAACACCTGCAGTATTAACCGTGGCAGCCTGCCAGATTCGAACCGTGAACTTCAGCAACACCGGCGAATGCGCTACCGCTGGGCCATGTCACTGCTCAGAAAATATACACACACCAAGGCTGTGTGCGTGAGCTGTCTGACGCGTGTTTGAATAGTCGCCTTGTAAAACATGGCTTACGTGTCGATTTTAAGCTTTCGTGACTGCATGGATTCATATTCTCCGTTCTTTCGGTAAAGTCACGTAGAAGGGAAATAATAAAATAAAAATAATAAACAAAAATTAAACATAATAAGATATTATGTTTTATTTTTATAATTTTATTATTTCCCTTCTACGTGACTTTACCGAAAGAACCAAGAATATGGCTTACGTGATTCAGTGATATTAACATATTTAACATTGTTTATCACCTCAGTCTCAGAAGACGACTTTCAGGCCGAGAGAGAGGATCTTCAGACTAAAAGGGAACAGCTGAGGGCTTATCATTCTTCCTTGAGGCCTGCAGTGACGTGTGACCCACAGGGAGACCATGCAGTGATGGGGAGCTGTGCCGAGGTGGAGGTGGAACTGGGAGACATGAATGAAGGTGCTGTGTCTTGCATTATTTTTCCTATTATGCTTGTCACTGAGTGACTACAGTAAAACCTCGGCAATTCAGATTTCACATTGAAGTCACACCAGGTCGGATAAATAATAAAATAATTGCGTGCAGTATCCATATAGTCCTCACTTTCCCCTAGAGTGCATGTGTAGTAAGTATTCAGGAGGCTTGACGACGGGGTCGGAGGCACACTTATTTATTAACACCAACGTGTGCACAGTAACGGGTACACACAGTACTTAAGGGGGTATCGTCCCCTTCACTCGGCTACAGGGAGACACAACATCTAACCCCGCTAACCTACGCCCAAGTCCTCCACTACGGAGCTAGGGGAGGCTACCTATCCCAGCCCTGGTCAAGCTGGGATCCCGGCACCCTGAGTCTCCAGACCGGCTCTTATAAGAACGTCAGTCTGGGCTCTCGGGTACACGCCACCGGCTTGCCCTGGTCGGCCCTGACAAGGACAGCGAGCCAGGGGAGCTCCGGGGCCTATTCTAGCTGGTCTTCAGTCTTCGCTGGTTTAAGCTAATACTCGACCTCGAGCCCTCCGGCTCACCACCTTTTATAGCACTCGGCCCCCGGGAGGGGCCCGTGGGGGATGCAGGTGCGGACGTCGGTGTGAGCACCTCCTCTGTGTACGGCCCTAACCACGCCCCTTGTGTTTGTTAGCCATCCGTGCCCATACACAATTACACCTCTACACTTGGAAGCAGTCCCTGTCCCACCACTGTACCTGCCATGTGTTACCAGCCTATTCTTATATTAGTGACAGTGTTATAATTTCAAGCTCTACGGTGTGTTTTTATTACTCCGTGGTCATGTTTACTCCACTGCTAAAAAGAACACTTGGGCAGGACACGTCATCACACAGGATGATGGCCGGTGAGCGAGACTAATGATGAAGTGGCATCCAAAGGAGCGAACACGCCTAAGAGGATGCCAACTACGGAGATGGAGCAATAATATCAGCGCGTGTGCAGGGGCTAGATGGATTGTGGCATCGCAAGACCATGAGAGATAGTGATGGTTTGGGGAGGCCTTCCTCCTGCAGTCGATAGATAATGGCTGATGATGATTTTCGTTGCAATGAGCACCGTCAAAGGTATGCAGCAGTAGCGGCCGTGCCTCCTGGAGTGGCGAGTCGATAGCAACGTTCTGTGGGTGCAGCAGGGAGCGGCAGGCTGGCATGCGGCATCTGCGGGCGGAGGTTTATGAACCGGAACTCGCTGCGGCGACACATGCTGCTGCACGAGGGAGACGTGGGCACCAAGAAGCACCAGTGCCGGCTGTGCCTGTACGCCACGGAGCTTGCCACTGAGCTGCACCAACACGAGAAGGCACACGCCGTGGGACGCGTGCATGCATGCGGAGAGTGTGGCAGGGATTTCGTGATGGCCTCGCAGCTCAGGGCTCACCTCAGAGTTCACGCAGAGGGTATGCGCAGCAGGTGAGAACGCCCATTTTTTGCTTTTGTTAATGTTATTAACAAGGAATTCAAATGCTGTCGGGGTAATTGTCTGAAAGACTAAATCTGGTGTCTCACTCACCGGGGGCTAATAATCGCCATGCTGGAGCACTGAACCAAATCTAAATAATAATCATGCAGGAAAAGCTCTGTTATTCGGCACTTTACCATCCGGAATGCTCTATTAATTGGCATCCGTCATAGATGGCAATACAAATCTTCCTTCGCGTATCTTGAAAAATTCCGATTGCTATCTGGCTTCTTGGAAGCTCTCAGGAAGCTGCCGAGTGGTGTCGCTAGCGGAAGACTCAATTGTAAACATCCTCCATTGTGATGGTGATGTGCTTGTGTTGTATCCTGACTTTATCACTGAATATATCTCGCCCATCCTGCAACTATGGCTACCAATACTGCCATCAAAGAGCAGAGGACAGAACCGAAAGTGTGTTGTGTTGACGATTATGCATAAATAAGATGTAATTAAGCGCCTGGAGAGAGGAGAGAACACGAACCGGTTGATGCAGGAATTCAATGTCGGCTCGTCTACGATCTACAATATCAAGGCGCAGAAGGCAGAGTTAATCCAGTTCGTGACAAATTTTAAGACAAGTAAAGCAATTGAACAATGCCCCGTGCTCTGCACAAACTAAAATTGAAACAATTCGACAAGGTATTGTTTGAATGGTTTGCCTTAAAACGCTCGGAGGGAGCTCCAATTTCTGGCCCAATGCTGACAAATGGAAATGACCGAGGCCTGTGTTTGCTCAGATGGATGATTGTTTTGCTTCAAACTTTGTCATGGTATCAGAAGGCTTCATGTGTCTGGAGAAAAAAGAAATCTTCTGATCATAATGTAAAATTTTCTAGAAATTGATTGAGAAGCACAGCGTAACCCCAGAGCAGATCTCCAATGCTGATGAAATTGGCCTTTTTTGGCATTGTTTGCCAACTTTTACCCTGGCTGGTACAGGTGAGGTTGGTGCAGCTGGTTTTAAGTAGAACAAGGGCCACCTGACTGTACCTGTGTGTGCAAATGCAGCGGACACACATATAATGAAGCTATTAATGGTGGGAAAATGCACGAAACCAAGAGCATTGAGGACAAGGCACAACGTAATGCATGGATGAGGAAATATTTTTGTACTGGTTTTTAGCAGTGAAAGAGCATCTGATGAAACTTGGAAAGCCAAAAGACACAAACGTTCTTCTAATTTTAGATAACTGTTGAGCTCGCCCTCCTGACAAGTTTAATAAGTATTAACTCTGATCACAAGCATGTTTGATTAACCGGCACCCTCCATTCCCCATGGATGTTGGACAACAGCTTTTCCTGTAGAATAGTAATGCAAATTATTCACCCAGGCAAGTTTCACTCGGTCTGAAGGCTTTATTTTTGCAGGGCCTTGCATTGCAGTGTTTGGTCACTTCCATTATTGTACAAACGAGGCTTAACTCTGCTTAGCTTCCGGGATCTGACAGTTGGGCACTTTAAGGGTGGTTTGTTCATAGGCAAGCTTGCTATCCTCTAAAGGTATCAGAACAATTTTGTGCATTGCCCGGACAAGTAATTTTGTAAGACAGATTTAAAAAGTTGATAATATAGCTTTCATGCCTAAATCTTTGTACTTATCTCAAACATGTATGTTTTATTTATGCTTGCAAGAACCCACTGAGTGGTAAATATTTGAACAACGTCGCCGATAGTTAAAGCTCCTGAAGGGAGAGTGATCAGTGGTGGTGCGGTGATGGATGGCGTGTGCATAGGTGTGACGATGGAGTGAAGACGACTACGCTGTCACCAAACCCTGACAGCCCCGTGCACATCGACCTCGCAGGCGACGGAGCACAGGTAGTGAGATCTGCCTTTCCCACCTCATCTCAATCTGTTACGGCTCGTGCAAGGAGACACTTTCCAATAGGCTTTGTGTTGTTTCACACAAAGGTGAAAAGGGACAGCAGCAAACAGTACTGTTAAAGTTGCAACAGATCAAGAGAGAGTTAACGCGTTTCCTGAATTGCACGCAGTTATTATAAAAGCTTGGGAAAGAGAAGTGTTTTGTACTGCAGATAGATTCACCCCAAGACGATAAAACAATAGTTATTAATGCAGCATATACACAGTTTGGGACTATGCATGCGTCTTTGAATTGGAATTTAAACATATCTTGCACAAATGCATACATATTCCATGTGGTTGGCAGCTGTTGCAATGACTGTCATACAGTCCTGTACGTGCAGACCCACTCTGCAAAGTAGTACACACAGCTGTAGAGCATCAGCTAAGAGGGTCACAGGAGATGAGTTATTCATTATGTTATACTGCCCTCAGATACTCGTAAGCGCCATTAAGGAGGGATTTAACATGTAGGAAGAAATTGCAATGTACAGATAGAAAGCTAAGAATGTGAACGGATAACAACTCAGCACCCAACGAAAATTCAACGCAAAGAGAGATTGAATCCTTTAGATACACAAAATGCAAATTCAATTCAAACATACATTCAATCCTTTGCTAGATACAACATTTTGTATCGATGTATCTGAATTTGCAGGTAACCTTTCAAATTTGTAATATTACAGAATATGAAAGAATGCAAACATTGGCCTACTCTTACGAAATATGATGTCACGACAGTTTTCGTCCACTGTGAATCGGACGCATCACACTATTATGGTCATTATACCCTCCGTTACAATCTGGCCGGCTGTTGCGTTCAAACTGTGCGCCTCTGAAAGAGTCAGTGAACGTGCCAAGGCTTGGTCCTGTAATATACGACCCTGTTATCCGTGACTTCTATGTTATGATACATGAGTCCTAACCGATGTCACGGATCTTACCATAACCCATATTATTAATGTTATTGTTATTATTATGTACAATTTGCTCATATTAGTTAAAAAGCAAATGTAGTCATGGGCAGTGACTTAATTTGCCTATTAGTCGTGGAATTCTCAGGTATTTTCAGATAAGCATCGGGAGGACAAGGAACAGCCTTAGATGGAAGGCTACAATGCATGTCTGCGATGCTGCGGACAGAATTTGGAGTTAAGGTCACCCAACTTTGATCTCAAACCTGTTTTCTTTTATTGTTTAACTTAATTTTAATTTCACAACATAGTGCTAACATGTGCTGTGTTGTGCGTAACAACCAAACATTTGAATTGTATATTTAAATTTTGCTTGTAATTACGCTTCAATATTTTTTTATATCATGTACTTTTTTCTCATTTGCAGTTTTTTCCCATCCACCACTGAATTTATCCTGTTTTTCACCTTATCTCTTTTTATGTTTTGCAGCTAAATTCCTATTTTCTTTTGCGTTCATTTACATTTTAAATTTGTTCAAAATACTTGCTTTGTTGTTGACTGCATATGACTAAATGTACGTAAACATACAATTATGTACTTGATAACTGCAAATACAAGTTGACACACACATCCTTAAAGCATGTGATAATATACACAAACATTAACACATTACTCTCGAAAGGGTTTCCATATTTCACCACCATAGGTAATTTGCGCAGTACAGTGTCGCAAATCCAAACTTACAATTTCTGACTAATCTGCACTGAGTTATTTTCTTTATAGTGGTCTGCGGGGATGGATATAATAACATTCATAAATCTACATTGTTCACAGCTTCAGTAAAGATGTTTCACTTCCTATTTAGTTAATCTCAGCCTACTCTAGAATAAAAGAGGAGCAGCTGCTAGACGTCCCATGATAATTCTATAACTAAGCTACAGTGTAATGTGTTTTTTTATTTGTTATCTTCCCATTTGTGATCCACAATAATTCCTATTTTATGTTAATCTCCAAAATTTTTGCAACAATTTAAGATTTCGATTTTTAAAGCTTTCGTGACTGTAGGGAATCATATTCTTGGTTATTTCGGTAAAGTCACGTAGAAGGGAAATAATAAAATAAGAAAAATAGAAAAAAAATTCTCACGACTTTTCGACTGCAGCACAAGCAATCATTATTAGGTGTGAAATCCACAGCAAATTTTCTTGCTGTGGATTTCACACCTGATGAAATTTTTTTATTGTTTTATATGTTTATTATTTTATTATTTCCCTTCTACGTGACTTTACCGAAAGAACCAAGAATAACAATTTAAGAGTTCAAGAGATGTATTTGAGCCGCGATTTTGTGGTCCTATCGGCGCGATTTTAGTCAGCGTTTTTTTGTCATCTGGGGTACAAATAAAATCGTCACATGAGTGATTCCCGTGACACAGCACATGGCATTACTACGCTAAAATCAGATTGATCAGGGCAGACTTCAGAGAAGTTGCCATTCAAAAAAACATAGATTATTTCATATACATGTCTCGTGACATTGACGGTGCAGAGATCACACCACCGCGATGCGGTTAAGCCACTGTCAACTTTCGTCTCATTTTCTCGCAATCAACGTCTCAACCTCATGTCAGCCTCAGACACAGTCAATGTGCATATCTGCAAAGAAGGGGTGTTTGTTTTTTTGGTTACATTTTCCTTTCACAGCAGTTGTACCAAGGCAGTGATGCTTGGTCACATTTGCTTCTTCTCTCCCATGGAGAGACATGGGCATTATTGTTCAGCTCTTAAACGTCCACTAGTTATATATATAGAGAGGCATTTATAGGCAGAGGGAAAAAGGAGAGTCTAGATTTGAATAGGAGCAACAGCATGGATGGTTGGGGAAAGGAGTCCAATATTAGAGGGCAGCATTGTATAGAGCATGTAAAGCACTCGGAGATGCCCTGACGTTAAGGACACTGACATATACATAATGAACAATTAGATTTGAATAGAAATCCTTGGCTATTGGAGTGGAGAATGTGTGGAAGGGAGTGGAGTCAGATGAGAGGATAAAATTAGGCCATGGAAAATCCATGGAGGATCTTGAAAATGGTGAGCATGATCTTGAAATGTATCTGGAATTTAATTTGGAGCCAGTGAGGGGATTAGAGGAATTTGCAGGTAATATTTAAATATTGGGATATTTGGCCAAAATTGCTTGATGTGATTGGTTGTCAGATTTGACTCTCCAAAACATTGAGATTTCAATCCAATCCAGATGTCGACAGACACTGTGATTATATCAGGGAAAATAATTTAGATGAATAGCAGAGTCGATAACCCATGCCAATGCTGCATTATATTTTACTAAAGCTTGAATGTAGTTGAGAAACTCTGAGGCTGAGGAAACTCACTGTGCTTGTGGTGTGTCATTCTTTTGATGTTATCCTTGATTGTTACAAGTTGTCTTCAAGCGGCAAGCGGAGGAATCCCATGCCCACTTTGGACAAGAAGGTGCAGGTTATCAAGAGGTTCAACAATGTTGATATTGCATCTCACCTTGCTGCTGAGCATGGATGCGGTAAAAATACTGCCCATCACCTTCACCCCAGCAGGGACAAAATCCTGTCGCACGTGTCAGCATCCAACAACACAGAAATGCCCTTGCGAAGGAATAGCACAAAGACTACTGTCGTGCAGCAGTTGGACTCGGCACTTTTCTCCTGGTTCAAGCAGAGACAAGCCGCGGGCAAGTCCATCTCAAGCCGTGCGGTTGTCGAGCAGGCCCAGCAGTTGCACCGTGACCTTGGAATAATTGAGCCCCTCAATGTTGGTTGTGGGTGGCTGCACCGGTTTATGCACCGACATGGCATTCATGGCCTTAATCCTCAACCAGAAAGATTCTCCACTGAAGATTGTGCCACGTCCGCCTTTTGTAGGCGGTTCCTTAGGCTAGTAGATGCACACGCCCTGGTGCCGGATCAGTTGTATGGAGCCACAGAGTTGGAATTGCACTGGAAGGGTGTCTCAGTGGCTGGCACGGCAATGGCTGCTCCTGACTTTATTGATGATGAGGAGCCGATTGCTGTGTTATGCTGTGCAAATGCAGCTGGAACTCATCGGCTCCCTCTGGCGTTTATTGGTCGAGCTAGCAAGAGTAGGGTCCTTAATGGTCTGAACGAGGGGTTCCTACCAGCTGTCTACTTCCAGCAGAACCCTACGCAGTCTTACAGTGACATCTGCATGACTTGGTTTCACCACAACTTCATCCCTGCCGTGAAAGACCACCTTAGTACCCAGGGCTTGGCCCACAAAGCTGTCCTGGTCCTGGCAGATACACCATCCCACCCTGAAGCACGCCCCCTGCATTCAGTATCAAATAACTGCCATATTTTCGCAGTGTACATGCCTCCAAGCGCAGCACTGAAGCTTCAGCCCATGGAACAGGGTGTTGTACAGAGCCTCCATCAACATTTTATGCGCGGCCGGCTTAGCAAGCACTCGGAAGATGCGTTAACCTCCCCAAAGGAGCACGTAGTGATGGACGTGCTGCTTGGAGCCGTGGCCGCATGGACGCAGATAGAAACAGCGACGCTCATGGCCTCCTGGCATGAGCTCTGGCCCAGCGGTGAGAAGCTCACAACTTTCAGTCCGGCGCAACCTGAGAATGGACATCGACATGAGGCAACGAACATGGCACTTCTCCATTGGCAGACAGGGAAGACACTCGGGTGCAGAGATGGATATGAGGAAAACATGCAGACTGGGTGCACCTGGGATGACAATCAGCCCAGCTACAAACTTCCCAAAGATGAGGACGGAGCAGGGGAAAATTATGGCCATACAGATTATAGTGCTAGTTGCTTTCAAAATAAAACTAGTGGCATTGTGCTAGATGGGCATTGTATGGCTAACATTACTGGAGAAAATCATGAGCATGTAGCAGAGCAGAATCGTGTCGAGGATGTCGATGGGGATGATGAGGTTAACGAAGATGATGACCCTCCTGCCCAGAATGAAATCAGTGCAAGGAGTGCCCTTATGGCTCTGGAAACAGTGATGCAGTTTCTGGAGCAACAGCCAGACACGGACCACCAGGAGATGGTGCAGCTCCTCGGCACCCGCCGTAAGATCAAATCCAAACTCTCCGTGTCTTTACGCAAGGAAGCCATCAGGCATTTGCTTCATGGTCATGGACACCTACGCTCAGGAAAGTCTCCTCGTTCTGGCCCGCATTGCTCGACTACGATGAGCTTATAGAGGCCAAACATCCAATTACATGGCTATCTCACTAATGTTGCAGTATCCCTTTGCCCGACTCCCATTTCGAATCATAGATTCCTGATCGTATATCGTCTCAATGAAACAGTGTTTCATTGTGAACAGTTGTATATATATTAATTATGACCTTGGTATAACAGCTTGGATAACTGGCTCACTTTTGACTGAATAACATGCAATTCCATTGTGAAATACAAATATGGCTTTTGATAAAGGGCACAAATCATAGAGAAATGCAAGTTGAAAGTTATAGTGAGTGACAAAAAGAGGAGCAGTTGGATCATGGAATAAAAATAAATTTGAGACATCAGATGCACTATTCAGACAAATATTTGGATTTGGGCACAACAAAATTAAGATGCAATGCTGACTGATGGATGAGACGCGTGACGGAATAGCAAGGAAGGGAAACGTGCCCGAGAAGAAGACTACTGTGGAGATGGAGCATTGAGAAGGCTGGTGATGATGGAATCACTCTTATTGGTTGAAGCATATAAGTTAGCTTTTTAAAAGTAATAAATAATCAATTATATATGAATCGGCAAAAATGTGGCGGACTTAATAAGAATCTTATTCTTAGGTTTTTTCGGTAAAGTCACGTAGGTAAAAAATTTAAATTAATAAAAGTAAAATAAATAAATAAAATCACGACGTTTCGGAGGCAACACAAGCCTCCGTCTTCAGGTGGAACCGTCACAGCACGATAGCTGTATCAAGTAAGAGAAATTCCAAGAATTATTTTATTTTACTTTTATTAATTTAAATTTTTTTGAAGCTTTCACGAAAGCTTCAATTATAGAATTAATAAGAATCTATAGATTTCGATTTAAAGCTTTCGTGACTGCAGGGATTCATCTTCTTGGTTCTTTCGGTAAAGTCACGTAGAAGGGAAATAATAAAAGAATAAAAAGAAGACAATAATATAACATTCCCCAACTCATTGGGACGCTGTCTTTCCGACAGCCCTGTTCTTCACCTGAGGACGGCTGCTTGCGTTATGGTCGAAACGTCGTGAGAATTTTATTTTAATATGTTTTATTTTAATTATTTTATTATTTCCCTTCTACGTGACTTTACCGAAAGAACCAAGAAGAACAATCTATAGCTTAAAGCTGTTCAATCAAGGAGACTCTTGAAGTCACTTTGAGCATTAGTTACATAATCAGAGCTTTGTATGGATCATTCAGTGGTATTCCACTCTTTAATCAAACCATCGAGTTTGTCATGTCGGTGAGAGATTTTCATTGGCAGTACAAGGTGAACAACGCAGCATGTGGGGTTTTTTTCGTTAAAGTTGTCTCCTGCTGAATTGAGCATGGGTGGCACTGCACTAGTCTCCTGTTTACAGCCCTGAGCCAGTGGTGTGATTCTACATTTCTATGGTGGGTGTAACTAGAATTTTCCTAGGCCAACTGTTTATGAATTCCCCACAATTATAAATGGGAGAGGTGAGATGGCCAAGTAGTGGTTGGGTTCGATTGTTGCAACGGTTTTCGGTAATACTGAAGGCATTGACCAAAAATACGCACCGTCTACTTTACAGTGGACGTAGAGTGAAAGCTATGTGCGCCAGTGTGGTGCTCTAAACTTTCCAGAGTTGAATAATTAATCACATTTTTAATTGGAATTACAGTACCAACAGCAACATTGCCTCCGACCGGCAGACGAATGCCCACTTGCAGGCTGGTGCTGCGTCACCTTGTGCCGCACAGGGACCGCTGTCTTCAGGGGGGTTCTCCCCAAGGCTAAAAAAGAAAACTACCTCTGGGCATTGGAATGGTTGAGATGAGACATTGTGTCACGTGCATTTAGATGTTGGGTCAAGCACCCAAAAAATGTGAATCTTTATTCTATGTAGGTAAATAATACATACATTGGTATACCCTCATGCGTTTTTCTTTCATCTGACCCGCCCAATTGCCTCAGAAAATTGAGAGTTGACGATGTATCTGTATTCAAACATGATTTAATTGTACGTGTGCTTTTTCCCCAAAATTTCTACTTTTTAAATGTTATTTTAGCTTTTGTTATAGTTGTATTGGGTTTTCATAGACTGTATTTCACCAGGTTACAATAAGATGATACCAAAATTGTAATGTAACAGATGCAAACTAACAGAGATGTGCATACTAATGAATACGTGCATCACTCATAAATTATTTACTTAAATCAATTTAACTGCATTGATTTCTTTCATTTTCAAATCCTTAGTTCTAAGGGTTAATTCTTGAGTAACCAATAAAGTAATTCCGGATGTATGTGTTGGTGCCTATAACATTGGATAGTGTTAAATATTCTGCTGGTTTGTGCATCCACACCTTTAGGACTGGATTCTAATGAGTTTTGCATATTAAACGTATATTTCAGTAATGTGTAGTTGAGTATATCTCTTGCATTTTTTTAATATACAAGCATGCTGGGGCGAAAGACCTATAAAAGCTTCTCACTCTGCACCTTCGATTAGCACGGATGGCTATGTACGGTGCGAAAGAAGTTCAAGATACATACCCACATGTTATTTTTATTCATGTAGTTGGTGTTGTTGTAGTGAGATAATGTCCTTTCTCCAGGAAAGCCTCCCTAATTCCCAAGACCCTTTTTCAGAAGGATCCTGCTTTCAGCTTTATGGCCAAATCTATTAATGAGCCGTGTACCCTCACGCATATAAGCAGCTTATATTTAAGTATCTGCACAAATGGATTGTTGATTAAATCAAGTTACTGCAATTTGGCAACCTCACAGCCCGTTTTGGTTTGAAAATGTATAAATCTTCATGATCCACCAATCCTCTTTCAAGTGCCTGGATTGGGTGTCAACCTATTCTGGTAAATGGGCTTTACTCGGGAAGTAATCTGATATCCGAATTGGTGTGGTAGAGTATATACAAATGAACCTTATGGCGGTACCCCGGGTTACCATAGTAGCCCGGCTCTCGCATAATGTCTGTGATGCAGTCATTTTTAGTCTGTTGATGGTCGGCGATGCGGCAATCGACTCATCTCGACGAGCTGTACACGATGCACCGCTATGGTGCATTACGAGCGTTCGTCCTCGCTGCGTTTCAACATCGCGGAGTAGCACTGATTTCGGATTGATTGGTACCCCAGTTGCAGAGTTAAGTACACCCCTGGAAAAAATAGTGTCTCAGAAATAATATATTTAATTGCCTTGGCCATTTTTTATTATTTGGTACCCTGGGGTACCGCCATAAGGATCAAATAAAGATTGGATTTATAACAAATATATAATTCACCCTTTGTCAATGAAGACCTCCCCCATACCCTGCCAGTCATGGGGGTGGGGGGGGGGGTTGCACCATTTTTCACCATCCTGTGATGTTACTCAAATACAGGAGGCCATTGTGTGCCAACATCAGTCAAAATTTGCCAATTAAAAACATTGGGATTACACATAGCAACATTTCCTGTCACTATGAAATCACTCTGAGGGAGTGGCATCCTCAGAGCAAAGCTCCTAATACACAAAGCCCCAAAGTGATAAAGTTTCCTCACACCTCGGTTGTCTCGTGCACGTGTGTATAATGTTACTGACAATGTAACTGAAAAGCAAACAACCCCAACAGTTGTTTTCTTTTTGTGCTTACAACCTATCAAGATTGACCGCAGGGGCATCTATAAGCTGCTGACCATTGAGCAGAAGGTCGAGCTAATCAGAAGGCTGCGTCAAGGCGAGACGGTGTCCTCGCTCGTGGCCGAGTACGGCGTTGGCACGTCGACGGTCTACGACATCAGGCGCATGGCGGACAAGATCCTGGGGTACGTGGCGGGTGTGGACAGGCTAGCTGAACCTGCCAAGTGCAAACGCATGACCAAGGCAACCCTGGCCGATCTTGATGATGCCATCTTCGAATGGTTCCGCCAGATGCGGGCGTGCAGCGTGAACATAGATGGCCCTGCGCTCTGCTCGAATGCCTTACGACTGCACGAACAAATGGAAGTTGAAGAGCCTTTCGCGGCGAGCTCAGACTGGCTCAAAGACTTCAGCAGCCGCCACGGCATCCAACTATTGCCGCCACTGTCTGGGCCTATGGAAATGGATCCGCTCAGGGTGGCACTGGAGGAGGCAAAGCATGCAGGTCTGACACGCGAGCAGGTCTACAATGCGGTTGACATGGGGATCTTCTGGAAGCGCTTGCCCTCAAAGAGCATGGTGTCACGCAGCGCCGAGACCTCTCCAGACAGCGGAGCTGCTGGGTACAGAGTCATGGTGCTCTTATGTGCCAATGCTAGCGGGACGCACCGTCTTAAGCTCGCCGTGGTGGGCAAGGCGAAGTGGCTGAGGGTCTTCAAAGGCCTGGAAGCGTTGCCAGTGGACTACAACACGCGTTACAGCGCACGTGGGGTGGAAGCTGCGATGCTGCAAAGATGGTTCAAGCAAAGGTTTGTGCCAGCCATCCGGCAGCACTTGCGTGCCAAAAAATTGCCCGAGCGAGCTGTCCTCTTCCTAGACCACGTGCATTGGCGCACACAAGCCAGCATTGAGAGCGACTGTGGAGACATCAGGTTGGTGTGGCTGCCGGCTGGCTCCGTCTCTCCCCTGCGTCCAATGTGGTCGAGTGCCATCCATGCCTTCAAGACGCACTACCGCTGGAGGCTGTTAGGGCGGATGCTGCGACCGCCAACTTTACCCGACGTCCAAGTCGAGCGTGCTTTAAGATCGTGGGGGCAGCACTCTATTAACGACGCCCTTGTCGACACTGCCTCTGCCTGGGAGGATGTACGGCCAGAGAGTCTGCAGAAGTGTTTTACGAAGCTTTGGAAGTTTGGGGAGTTGGAGGAAGCAAGCGGAGCAGAAAAAACACATGGATCAGAGGAGGCTGAGGAGCCTTCGACTGTAGCATTCTTGGAGAGGATGAAGCAACTGCCCCTTTTGTGTGATGTGGATAAAGCTGATGTTGAAAAGTGGCTGACTCATAATGATGAGGTGGAGGAGGAAATGTTTGATAACCCTCGCAATCCTTCGTCATGTAACGAGCAAACTAAACATAGGAACTTAATTGTGCCAAATGAGGATGGCGACAGTGGGGAGGAGCACATGGAAAAGGATGGAGAAAGGTTTGGGGTGGTTGAAGCAGCCGACGCGAAGTCTGCAGCTTACGCAGTGCTGAAGTACATGGAGCAATGTGGAGACTTTAATCCGGAGATGTGCAAGCAGATGCAAAGCATTGCAGAGCTCGTGGGCAAGCGAGCATGTGCAGGTCAAAATAAGAGTCCGTAGTTTCTTCATGGCAAAAACATCGTTTATTACACAGTTTATGTAGAGACTTTCAGGATTGCATAATTCGCCATAAAATGCAACGTTTGTTTTACATTCAGCCACCAGGTGCATCATTTGACCATTTATTCAACAAAGTGCACTTTAAGTGCACGTGAAACAACATAACTTCAACAAAAATGTATTGTCAATCTATGCCCTCAGTCGACAATGCGGATGTCAAAAATATAAAACATTCGAAAGTCTGCGCCATTCGTGTCTTGGTCATCAGGGGGCGTGATAGTCCACGAGTTGCCAGCACGCACCCTGTACTGTATTCCCTCGTGGTCTTTAGTCTTCTGCACAATGTCGGATACTTGGCTCAAACTCCCTCCAGCCTGTCTAAAGCTTAAGCTGCTTAAATTTCACTGTAATGCCCGGCTTCGAGTTGTGAAGCAGGATATTCCCTTGGACCTCGTTCCCAATATACTAAATGCAGTAGCAGGCCGTGTATTTTACACCGAGGCCTTCAGTGCTATCTTCCCGCAATTAAACCGCCTTCGAATAACCTCACCATGACACTAGGGCTATAGGCTATTGTCATTCAACGTAACCACCCCATATTCACAGTGACAGTAACCTTTATCGAGTGAAATAAAGTGATTTAACACGAGGCTCAACACCTATGAGAGTTACAATCCACTAATTGCAGAGACATGAATACATGGTGACTGAAACCATCAAGGATGTACCACTATTACGCAGGATGACAGGATGCTGCATCACAAATATACATTGCATAGCCCAAATCAATGTCATTACCAAAGAAACAGGAACAAACTCACAACAACTCATACGACCACCACGCAAGCAATAATGCCGTAAAACACAAATAACACAATCAGGATTCAACAGGCTTCCCCACAGAAAGATAACAAAATCTAAAGCACTACATCTAAAAATCTAAACGTTACGAAAGTTTAAATAAATCATAGATGACTAGGGCCTTCGGCCAGGAAAGTCATAAGAAATTGCACACGAACGACGCATTCACGCAGGCACCCGATGCTCCGTTTTGAAGTTTTTAAATTAAACATCTTTGAATTGTATTGTTTTGAATTAGATCATTTTACATCTGGAAGATTTAATTGAAAACGACATTTCGTGTGAATTCTCTCGTCGTTAAGTAGATGGCCTTGCTGGGGGTTCGGTTCGATGCGGACTTTCACCTGTTTGGGATTGCGGGATCAAGATAAGGCGACATAGAGCTGCTGGCCGTGCGAAAAACCGCCATCTGCAGATCGATCCCAACGTAATCAAACGTCTGTCCCTGCGCCTCCGTCGTTCATACAGGGGGTGCGTAGGTTTACAGCGCTCCCTGCATGAAAACGACGGAAAGTGCAGCGTTCATCACAGATAAAGTTGTGCGCTTATTTATAGAAATGCTACGTTACGTGCTAGCTAGTTTTCAGTTAGCTAACTGGCTCTCTGATCACGCCACACGAAAAATGCTAACGTAGGCAGTTAGGCCAGCTAGAAGGCTCCAGCGTGTCAAAGAATACGCCCAACATGGCTAACTCGAAATCTGATTGGTTAAAGAATGACAACCAACAACATCGTCCCCATTTGCTTCAACATCAAAGGGGATTCACTCGACATTCTGAAGGCCTCAGGGTAGATTTTTCACCAGGAGAGGTGGAGAGCACAGGTAAAAAATCTAATTAGATAAAAGCTCTAATTTATGAGCTGCACTGGGAGCAGTGCAACTGAGGGAGAGAGTAGCAATGAAATCACCTTAATATACTGATGGGAACGAACTTCGTAAAATACATATAGCATTAATGAAAATATATATTAAATTATAAAAATATTATTGTCTGATTCTGACAATCTCTAGGCCAGCAGAGACGGCCTTGCTGGCCCACCTCTGACTCAATGTGTGGCCACAAATGTTGGTCTTTTCTCGATTGATCTAATAAGACTTCTCCCCCTGAATCTCCGATATAACTTCTTTGTTACTCTTTCCATCAAACAGTTTCTGTATTTGACACCATTACCCATATCTCAACTCTCAAGCCATCCCATCTCTTCCTTTTCCACTTTCCCTTCTATCTCCATCATTGCCGGAGTCTCGTGTTTTTGTGAATCCTCAACCTACACCAGTGGGCTTCGACGTACTCTTTCCCATCTGGAGTTTCTTTTGCCAACACTTTTTCTACAACTTCAACTTGTCTCCACATTCACCTTTCAGGAGCTCAAAGCTCCACATTCTCATGCTCAATTCCCCGAGTGTTATTCAATTTATTTTTCACAATAAAATACTTACATTTATCTCCAATTTATCAAGAGTGGTGGCGTAGCCTCATTTGCCACCTGTCGTTAGGAGTCCTCTGGTCAACCCTTTTCTGAGGTTGGTACTTTGCAAAGCCAGAAAATTAGTGTCCAGATCAGATGAGGTCCCCTCTCTATCATGAATACAGCAAAGCTGGTTAGAGGACTATATTTGAATTAGTTGTGCGGAGGTTAAGTTCAGTCATTACGTGATTGTGAAAATGTACAGATATCGTGCTTCTTCGCAATTTCATTGACTGATTACGCAATCGTATTTATGGTTACATCCACAATGTGCATTCAAATTAATTAAGCATTCAAATTTGAATGGCCCATTTTTTTCCTGATCGTGAAAGCTACCCCATATCAAGACAACTTCTTCCTCCTGTGTGAGGTATTGCATGCTTCCACATTTAAAGAATTGTAACGATTTGGGGTTGCGATTCAATTGGAGAATATATTCTGCTTATAGTCTCGTTTATATTGTCCCGTCTACATTGCCTTGTTTGTATGGCCTGCCTTGGTTGTGTAGTATATCTCGTATCTCTTTTGTATTGTTCACTCCATTTCTACCATCTTGTCTCATTCTTAGTTTCTCGCGTGTGTTCTATGAATTTCATTTTCAATCCAATGTTCCAGCAAAATAAATATAAACTAAGCATTCGCACTGCATTACGAATGCTTCACTTATGCGGATGTATTGAGGCCCCACACTCTTAATTATTGGTGCTGAACCATGAACCTGTAGTGTCCATAAAGGTTTTGCTAATTATGAGCGGTGGTGGCTATGCACACCTGCAATCCAGCGCTGTGGACGCGAGGGTTGGTGCACCACACAAATTCGTAAAACTCCCTCTCTGCCCATGGGTGTCATGGTCACCATGGTCCTGGCTTGCCAGGGTGTGGCAGTACAGCAAGTGGATTCATTTCTATTTTACGGGGATCGAGTGTTACCCCCCCCTCCCTCACACATGTGGATTTTGTCACGTATATAAACCCTCATGAATTGAGTTGGCCAAACATCCCAAAATAGGACCACAGAGCCAGGCCAATTGTTGGTGCTGGTTCTGGCAGCCGTGCCATTTGTTTGTTCTGAGATGCGATTTGCATGAATTATGCGATATTCGACACAATCAAGAATGTAAATGTGGAGAGCTTATGAAAGTATGAGTCAGTATAAATCCGCCCTGTATTTTCAAAATTACGGTTACAGCAGGGAAATGTTGCAAGTTCATTGTAAGATGCATTTTTTGCCGATCGGTACAAGAACACTGCAACATTTCAAGGTGTTTTTTGTCATGTATTTTTTACGTTTTACATGTCCAGGGAGATGCCATGGTCAACCAAACCTATATTTTGTTAAAAAGTGTTTTTATTATAGCATACGGTTATATTGAGCTTTGTACAAAATGAATGCAATGCCAAATAAATGCTATAAATAAACACGAAAATTGAAATCACATTTACTGATGGGTTACATATTACTTTCGGTGAAGAGTCCTTCAGAATAATGCATAGGGAGCTGACACTGTCTAACGGTTAGCTTACTGGACTTGCAATCCCACCAGCATAAATGAGTACGTCACAGTTGACCGACAGGTCGTTTGTGGTGGGGTAAAGTGTGCATGGGCCAAAAGCTGCCAGAAATCTGGTCAGGACAGAAGAGTAAAACAAATATCTTTCAGAGGCTCTCTTGAATGAAGGCCCTTCGGCCAGTAGTGGCGTGAGAAACAAGGGCAAATGTACCATGCAGTGACTTAGCTCACTGTGTCGTTTGACCATTCGCACGTGCCAATAAGTGCATTCATTAATACGATTCCACGAGATACGATGACCGTCTCCTTTCGGAATTGGTAATAGATTCGAAAATGCTTACTGATTTACTGGTTATCATTTACAAATCCTATAACAGACACGTTCACACGTGTACACACAAAGGCAAAGATACCCCATAGAGCTTCAACAGGGAAAGTACTGTTAGCGAGCACCTATGAAGACCAACACAGCACATAAGGGGATAATGTGACCAGTACCACACCGGCCACCTTGGTCTCCCCAACGCTGATGTTCACGCACACCACCCATTTACTCATTCAAGGATAAGTAGACCTAGGCATACCTGTCAACCCCTTATCAGTGCCTACCTTATTACAGACTAATTCAGACCTTATGTGTCATCCCGTGGCCCTTATAAATCTCAACGTTCATCCTACAAAGTCCCATCACAAGGGAGAAACACAAACAGATAGACAAAACAAATTTGCCTGCAATGAAACGGCTGTACGCCGTATGGACCTGAAAACTCAATTTCCCTGTACAAGAATACAGTGTAAACCGTGTGGGTTGACAGGTATGCCTAGGGGAGGCCCCGGACCAGTTGAGATAATCGCCACTGATGTTAGCCATGGCCGGGAATCAATGTTAGGCTGCTTACCGGATTGTTAATGCATTGTGCCAACCACTGTGCCACCACTCCTCACATTCACACGTACTCTCACAAATACACTTTTACAAATTCACAGATATACCCACTTACTCCACACCAATCTCACTCACACACCAATTCATCAACCGATTCACGAACCATTACAGTATATATATAACTTGCTCATGAAATAACTCACGAGCTTACGAAAGAACTCACCAGCTCAAGCACTCACTCACAAACTTGCTCACGCTTTAGTCACTGACTCACCAAATCACTCCGCTAAATCAGTTAAGAACTCACCTATTCCCATACTCACCAACGAACTCACACTCTCAACAACTCATTCACTCACCAACTAAGCCATGAACTCACTCGCTCATCAAATCAATTGCTCACACTTAATTCATTTTACAACCAACTCATTCATCCTGCTTCTGTCCCCACAGTGCTATTGTTTACATACTGCAGAGTATACGCTTGAAGACTGATGAGTGTGTATGGAAGAAACAACAGCGGAAGTCACACCACTTCAGTGTGACCGAGCTGGATCTGCAGAAGCGTCAGTAACATGATTATCACCTGAGCTCAAGTCATCGCCCAAACCCCTGAACCCCAAGCCCTAATTCGAATAACCTTAACAATAATCCTAACAACCTAACTTTAATATGATCACCATAATAAAACAAACCATAACTAATAATCCTAGCCACCATAATGCAAACAACTCTAATAATTCTAACTATAATCCGAACTACCCTAGCCCTAACCTATCACTAACCACCCTAACCATAATCCTAATAACCCTAAACCGAACCTATATCTAATCCACCCTAACTCTAACCTAAGCCTAGCCAAATGCTAACCTTAACCCAACCCTTGCCCTCATCCTTTAACTATTATTAATATCCTCTTGCTGTGCTATGGCCTTCTCAATATTTTACTCTCAATCTCTTGCCACTTTAATATAATATACTAATGTCCTAATCTCATTCCGCGATATCGTTTTCTGTCAATTTGCCTTTCTCTGTCTCCCCATTGGCCTTCATTCCATTGTCAAACATTTCCACTTGATATCCGACAAGCCCTGCCAAACTCTATCAGTTTTTTCACTTTGCAATTTATATCTACCGCAGTTCACTTCATCAACCCAGTACAGCATTTAATGAATCGCATTCAATTACTTTGTGACACGTGAGCCATAACAACTTATAAACATATACTGTAAGGCACTAAATCCTTTATTTATTATGCTCATGGTGCGATACAATACAGGAGATCAATACAATGTTTTCACCGAGTATCAATGCAATGGAAGTGTAAAAAAATATAGGTGACCAAAATGAGGCAAATTGTAATGCTACAGCTTGGGATCACTTTCTGCTTGTGTCATCACCGACTCGTTGTGCTGATCGATGGTGTTGTTGTAGCGGTCACTGGTTGCTCCTTCCAAGGATCTTTAAAAAAAGGAAATAGTTGGAACAGTTTTACGTCAGTAAGCAGCTTATATCACAATTGCCTATTAACATGCACAGGGGATGTGTTTTTTGTGTCTACAATTTATTATAACAGGCCAGGGAAATATGGGAAAATAAAGCTCTTTTTTTAAAAAAAATTGCTAAAGTTTTGAAGATGTCATTTTAAAAATGGGTCACAAGTCCTACCACAGTTGGTGGGGCAAGCTGGGCAAGTGAAAACTTCCTTCTCAGTTAAAAACTAGGCCTGATTCCCATGTTTGTGAAATGCGGTTTTTGATAATACTTTGGGAGAAAATGGTAAAATGTTAAACAGTCATTCTGTGACTTTCAGAAAATGTAATTTCTGCCAACACATGAGTGAGAGGCCACTTTTCTCAAAGGGGTCATCTGGTCACATACTGAGCTTGATGGTCAGGCCCATGACAGTGCTGAGCAGCAACAGCAGCACCAGCGCCAAGGCCACCCCGAGGATGAAGGCCGTGAGTCGGTGTGTCCCTGCCCCCTGGCCTGCCGTGGCGGAGTCGGCATCGCCACGTGGCTTCCAGCACATACTGGCCTGTCCGCTCACACCTAGGCCCATGGCAACACGTGTACAAGAGCAGCCTCGTGCGGTTAAGGAAGCAGGTACGGCATTGGTATTGCGTCGATGAATTATTAACAAGTCTCACCTTGCTGAAGGCTGTGAGGTACCATCGTAGAGGGCTGCCTTTCATTCATCTCATCATTGCCGTGTCTCTCTGTCTGTACCAAGTAGAGTCATGGGTCACTTGCCTAGTGTCATTTATTTTGGCCATACGTTTATAAAATAGCAATTTCTAATTTAACTTAATTTATTCACTCTACAAATCAAACTTCTTAGTTGTTAAAAGGAAAATTCATATACATGTGTAAGCATTCTTTACAAAAAACACAAATCGTCTCTTTTAAACTACTGGAATCTAATGTTTTAATTTAAAAGATAAACCTCTCCGGGGTAAAGCAACCATAATTTAAACAAATTAAATTATATATCTTAAAACATTAAACAACCTCAGAGGGTTTTCTTATAATGAAAACAAAGCAATATCAATTATTTATTTACATGTCTTTCCTCTCAAGACAACTATTTTTTCACAATAGGTAGAGGTTATAATTGTTTTTTTACCCTTCTATCTGGCAACAAAACTGACACCTTTTTACAAGGAGTCATGTTTGCATAGACCACAATACCTGCAGTCATAATGCAAACAAAAAACATAACTCTGATAATGTGCACTGTCCTTGAAGTCTCACATAGGTTGGACCAGATGGCGCCGAAAGGCGTCATCTGGTCCAACCCATGTGAGACTAGGCTCTAAGGAAAGCTGTCTCGGGTGTGGACCAATCAACTTCAAGGACAGTGCACATTATCAGAGTTATGTTTTTTGTTTGCATTATGACTGCAGGTATTGTGGTCTATGCAAACATGACTCCTTGTAAAAAGGTGTCAGTTTTGTTGCCAGATAGAAGGGTAAAAAACCAATTATCATATTTTTACTGGCAAATGAGGTTGCCATGAGGTAGAGGTTAATTTGATAACATCACGCAGCAAGTCTCACAAGCTCAATTGCACTGTGAGACAAAGCTGCAGGCGCCACAGAACGTCACGAGGCAGAGGGATGTAGCCGCTGGTAATGTTTACCTGTGTCGCTGTCGAAGTCATCGCAGCACTCTGAGGTGTCGATGGATTTCCCATGCTCTGAAGAAACAAAATATTAACGATAAAAAAACACGCATTCCCACTACACGTCAATATTCATTACAGCTCCGTCGGGGTGGGGGTGGGGGGCTATTTAAATGTAATCTGCACGAAGTCAAGTGTCTTTCTGTAGCACTCTTGCTGTACTGCCTCCTGCAGGTGCCCGAAGATGTCTTGTAGGTTGGGTATCTCACTCGCTTACTCTATGCGCGAGCAAGCAACCCCACGCCCCGCCTTATACTCCTGTGATGCCCTGTTGTTTTATCCCATTCAGTTTCATCATACCTCATACTCTGTGTGCAGCAAGGTGGCGTGTGGTTAAAAGCACCTGACTCGCAGTTGAAAGGTTGAGAGCTCAATTCCAAATCAGGCTCAAACTGTGGCATATGAACCGTGCTTGACCTATGGAGATGCTGGCCAATACAATGGTGAATGCAGAATTTCCACCACTTAAGCCTGGCAACAGGTGAGTGTCGTCCCACCCCCCTTTAGAGTCGGGAGGCGCTGTGATTTCATGAACGTTGGAACAAACATGAATACGTGCGGCTGGGCGTGCTTCACGACAGAGAGGAGACGACCTGGATGGCCGGCGTGGGTGAAGCCATCGCGTCTGTATTCTTGCCCAGACACAGCCTGAAGAGTTGGCTCTATAACGACGACGACACGGTAAACATAGACGTTCAAACTGCTTGCCATACACGTAATGCCAGTGACATTGTCATCCGAATTATGAGAATTTATTGAACAGTTAAGGGAAAGGGGTGGATGGTGAATTATGACGTCTACTTATAAATATTCTTCATTGACAAAAGACATTATAGGTGGACATCAAACTACATATAAGCACTTTGTAATTACCGTAATATGAAATGACCATCATGTTGATCATTTGTATTACACTTGCATGCCCAAGATGGATGCTCAGGATAATCGTGTCAATGTGATGCGGTGGCACACTGAGGTCAGGTGGGGGAACACGTGACCAGAGCCAAGAGGATGGAAGGGTGACGCGTGGACGAAGAACCACAGCCAAGACTAATAATTAAGGAGGACGATAGTAACGAAGGTGCGAAAAAGGAGATAAGGGGTTGGAGGGAACTCAACGGAGAGATATTTTGGCAGGAAAAAGAGGGAAGGAGGAGGCGCTGAGAGGGACTTGTGAAAGGTTCCAGAATCTCGGGAGTGAGATGCTAGATTTCGGGTGTGGGGTCGGTAGAAGAAAAGGCTGAAAAGTGAACTTCCTGCAAGTGCGCATTGTGGATTACTGGAACTAGAAAGTTCCCTTACCAGGATGACTAGTGTGGACATAAGATGAATAAATAGCTTCATATATATCATTTAAAAAATTGCGAATATAAACAATAGGAGGCACTTTTTTTACCAGTGACAGTCGTCTTCTTGCGTTACTTTCCGTGCATTCGTTCCTTCCCAGCTCTGGTTAAGACGGCAATCAGTTTCGGACACTCGCAAAAGTGAATCCACACTTTGTTTATATCAAAATAATGCTGCACATGTTATTGTTGTTTTCCATTGGGTTCCCATTTACATCGGGAGTCAAAACCGATTAGCTCTCTGGTTCGGCTTTGGTGCACCAATAACCGTTTGGACCGGTTGTGTCAGTCGGTTCAAAAGTTGTGAAAGGTTCAATTCCAATTAGCTATGGGGTAAAATCTATTTAAAACCAGTTATTTTCTAAATTATCAAAACAAAGACCTCGTATCAGATACGTTGCAGGCACTAGGCTACACGTGAGGACTTTCTTTCTAAAAGTAAGCACATTTTAATTGGAGAAAATACATATTTTTTATTATTATTATACGGTTCAGCCGAACCTTTAAAAATAATTTTGAATCGATTGAAGCCAGTGGCACTGCCCCATGAACTCGGCAACCTGACTTCGATTCCTGGTCACAACGGACGTAAGTGCCGAGGGTTATCTGACACGTTCCTCCCCCCCCTCCTTTCACCAACTTATGGGGAGGGCCTTCATCCAGCAATAGATGCACAATTACTTCTTTTTATATCCTGCTCTTGATTGGGATACCATGTTAAATATAAATTTTACTCATCCTATTAATTTTCCAAACCAGTTTTACTCAATAAAGCACTTACTCAAGCTAACTCCCCCCCCCCAAAAAACTGAATTGGAAACCCAATGAATGTAATTGTTTGAAATAATAGTTACAGATAATGTTATACTGCAAAGCATAGAATGATAACAACTGCACCTGCGTGGCATGCATGGGATGGAGTTGTTTGATAACGAGCGACTTCTTCTGGAAAGCCGGTCCCAATTGCACTGTGCTCTGAAAAACACTGCACCCGATATTGCAGCCCAGCTTGGAACAACCACACACACGGTGCCACGCATCACTCACACTTTACACTCCAGGTGAAGTTTCAGAGTGGCATCTTTTTCCTAACAAATCCATAGCAAGGTTACCAAACATTCCTTCAAATGATGCAGTCAGTAAAAATAATATTTTAACCAAGGTTGTAAATCACAAAAGTCCAATGTCAATAAATTAGCACTGCTTCAAATCGGTGTGTTATGCTTAATACATATTCGCGAATGAGCAAGGTGCAGATACAATATTAATGTTTAGAATATAAGTTAGGGGCCGTCCATAAATGACGTCACGCGATTTTGGACGTTTTTTGACCCCCCCACCCCTTCGTCACACGGCGTCACAAAAAGTCAGACCCCCCTCAAATATGACGTCACAAAGCTCTGCCCCCCCCCCCCAAATAAAACATGCTTCAAAACTATTTTCATTGTAGTGCGTATTTAATGTGGCGCTGCACTCTGATGTTGTACGAGGATACATTTATTAAAAGGTCTATTTAATTAAGTAGAACGTGTTGTCTATATTTATTAAAAGTTGCGCATTTGGATGTGACGTCACATTTCTCAAACCCCCCCCCCCCCATCGTCACACGTCGTCACAAATGTCTGACCCCCCTCCTAGGTGCGTGACATCATTTATGGACGGCCCCTTAAATCTTGTGCTTGATTTTATGCCGTAAATTACTTCACGTAAATGTCATCACATTATGCCCAAAATAATCATCTGTTTCATAATAACAGCATGTCTAGCTATGTGTGTCAGTGGTTGGGCTGGATTAATTATCCCGAGGCCCTGCACTCTGCTGGGGTCTCCTCCCGTGTGGGTGAACCGGTGGGTGGGAGCCGAAAGGGGGCACAATGGCCTGCAGGCAATTCATCTCATGGGCTAATCATGCTCTATATATACTCTTTGGTTTTTTCCCTAAAGTCACGTAGGTAAAAAATAAATGAATTAAAATGAAAAAAAAATAGCTTCCGAAACATCGTAATTAAATTTATTAATTTTTTTACCTACGTGACTTTACCGAAAAAACCAAACCGTATGGATCCTTCCAGTCACGAAAACTTCAAATCTAGAATGAATCATGCTCTACTCAGCAGGTGGGCAGAGAAGACTTGCAGCGAACTCGCCTCCTCGGCTATAGGCTGCAGGTGATGGGGTTGCCGGTAGGAGGCGAGTTCTGGCGTGAGGATGAGCATGGCTCTCGGACGCTGCTGGCTGCCCTCCCGGATCACCAGTGCCCGAGGCCTCCCAGCCTCCTCCACCATCCGCCTCGCGAGCTTGAGAAACATTGTAGAGACACGGCAAGCCGTAACATCAACACCAACAAATGAATTGCGTGCAAAACTACGCCGTCGAAGTTGTGAAAATGTTTGTGTGTGTATCAATCTATTCTCTTTTTTTACTGGTTGTAGGCCGAAATCCAATATTTCAAGTGAAACATTTCTCAATGTTGGAACCGCCCACAGTACCGTTTTTCAATGACTACTGACCGTCTGCTGTTTGCGATGTGCGCTGTCGTGGCTTAAATTGCACACGAATCGAAGAGATAATCACGGACAGCTGGACCATGATGGGTCACAAGGACTGAAATTTGAAAAGAATACAGTTATATACCTTGATTATAGACGTTACAAAATTAGCTTTTGTGTCAGGAAACTTGGTGTCCATCAGCGTAATTATATGACCGAAACATGTAACTGTGCAAGTCTGCTCACAAAACTCGTGTGCGCGGCAGATGACAAATAAAAGGGCAACATAAAGCCGCTGCTGAGCTTTAATGGTGGAAACATTTTGTGCCGTGTCGGGTTTTGATTTTTAAAAAAATCGCATGCCCTCATATCTCCATCTGTGCCATCTGGCAGCTGCTGTAATGATACGCTGAAACGCGAGCACACCATTGTCAAGGCGAGCGTGGAGCAGTGTCATCTGGAAAGTTGCTCCATTGGACATTTATATCAATTCCACACCGGCAACGTTCATCGCATCGACACAAAACACACCCAGCCCCACCCCTCCCATTTTTGGATGCATGACGGACGGACGGACACAATAATCCCCTGTGGGCTGGTGGAACCAGGTGGTTCCTACCAGTATATGCACTTTTAGAAGGCCATGCGGCCAATGGATTGTATAAGAAATACGAATATTTCCATGTGTTGAGACGGATATATATCAAGGAGTAATTGTTTTCTTATCTATTTTGCTCTGTGGCAGTTTCGAATGGATACTTCACCTCATGACATGATGCTGACATCACAATCAGGACAAAGTTGAAAAAAAAAACATAAAAAGCAGAATGAATTAGAAACAAATGTGAAAGCTGCTTCGTGAATAAGTTGTTTTACTTATTCTCCACAACTAGTAACAATAATATAAAACACTTTAGAAGCTTATAACGTCCACAATTTTTTTAAAATTCACTCTCTGATACAAAAAGAGAAAATGATCCAGTGGCACGAGAAACCAAAGACAAGTGGCACAAAGCAGCCAGAATCGGTGCCAATATTTGCCTCGGCTCTCTTGGTCCTCCTGTGGTACTCGCCGAGCTGCATTGGTTTCCGTTTGCCGGACGCATCCATAAGGTCGCACTCATTATACACAAACTGCTTGCTACAAATGAACCACAATACATTATTGATCTCGTCAAGGAGCAAAAACCATCACGCGATCTTCCGGTAATCGCAGCAGCGGATTTTGGCTGGCCATCGAACAAAGATGGTCACTGCATCGCGCTCTTTTAGATGCGCTTCTGCGGCCAATTGGAACGCTCTTCATTCCGATATTAGAAAGCCACCGGAGCCATGCACTTTTAAATCTAGATTTGAATAAAAAAAATTCTAAACTGCTTTTAGCGTTTAGTTTGTTTTCCTTCCCCTGCACCTCCGATTAGTACGGTACTGTGCGAAAGACGTTGCAGATACATATTTGGCCAGCCCCACTAATGAGTGTGGAATGAGCTTGTGAAGTGAGGCATTCGTGCCACTCTCACCTGCATCTGTGAGTGCGAGCGGTGACCTCTCCGCTCTCCTTGCGTGGCCATTAGTGCCGGCCCCGTGGCCTGCGGTGGTGCCCACCGGCACTGCATGGATGTCAGGTGCTGCAGAAACTCACATGGCTCACACACTGTTGGGCAACAAACCCATCCACTACTACCATCGTCGTTTCTTCAACAGTGCTGTTTGTTGCTAGTTTTGGGCATGTGCTCATCACAAACTATATCGAAACCTCCTCCAGGCAACACTGATAATAATCACGCTGGTCAGAGTGGCTTGGCAAAGAATACGGGGAGCGTTGGATTTTTCTGCGCTTGGATCTGCTGATGACCACGTGGCACAGCCCCCTAAAACAATATGGCGTGTGTGGTGGTCACCCATCTGAGCAATAACCAAACACTTTCTCCCTGCTTAGTTTCCGAGATCTCATAATGACACCAGGATATTTCGTCTGATTTGTTCATAGGCATTAAAACGATAATCGTCATCTATTACTTTATGAATATGGGAGTCATACAATATGCAATATATTGTGTACAGTAATTGCCAGAGTAATCCAGCCACATGTGGCTGTAGCAAATTGCTAAGTTTAGGTTTCAACCCCGGTCAGAGGCATCTGTAGCCCATGCGCCATTTAGCTTCCATCAATTCAACAGATAATTACCCAAGGGATAGCCTGGCCCCACCCATAGTAATGTGGAATCTCCACCACTGGCTTGGGGCCACCAACGGAAAAGGTTGTCGCCCCAATCCCATTTCCGCAGCTAGACGCTTGGAATGACTTTACGAATTCGGATGAACAGTATCTAGCATCTAAATGAGACTTCATGTCAATAATCAGTACCTAAACAGTCGGCATAGTTATGTTATAGACCAGGGGTCACGGACCTGCGGCTCCAGAACCGCATGCGGCTCTTTAAGGACTGCATTGTGGCTCGTGAAATATTGCGTTTTTGTACCTAATTTTAAAAAAGGCTCTTCTTTTTATTTTGGTTGCCGACCCCTGGAACAGACAGAGGCAGTCAGTCGTGGGCAGAGGAATGCAGCTGCTTTGCATAGTCGGCTATGTGCTCGTAACAATCTCATTCAGCCATATCACACACGAGGCAAACACTACTAAAACGTGACTTAAAGCTTTCCTGACTGCAGGCATTCAAATTTATATACCTGCCGTCATATGTTTTGTTGCGATCGAAACGTCGTAGTATTTTTGATTATTTTCTTTGAACCTATCTACGTGACTTTACCGAAAGACCCAAGAATATACTACTTATACTTGCAAATACATTTTGAATTAAGGATCAAAGGTGGGAATGATGACAGCTATTTGTGGTCTCTCTGTGCTTCTGCAATTCCCATGATCAAAACGGCGGCAGCCCCAAGATGCTAAAAAATATGTTTGATCTTAGCTCCTCCTGCACATTCAAATTCACGACTTCGCGGAAATTATTTCTCTGCTGCTATTGCACCGATAAGGGGGAATGACCCAGGGTAGGTGGACGAGTGGTGGGTGCTGGCCCAGTGGGGGACCCCAAGCAAAAATAATAATTTAGAACTCCCCTCCATTTCAATTGATGCAATCCGAATAATGACAATATAAATAGACAAGAGATGTAGTGAGATAAGAGAAGTATAGACAAAATGAGAGATGTTGCAAGATAAACAAAAAGAGAAATGCAGACAAGTTCGAGATGACCAATGTAGAGATGAGAGGGATCCATTTGATTGTTTATGTTCACTACAATATTTTGCATTCATGGGGTGCTTTAATGCATCGGCATCTCAACACATCTTCCATCATCAAACTTCTTCTGAACCATTTGAAGGGCACCCGCAATGGCAACTCTGCCTCTGCGGGACAAGGCGACTGCTGGCCTGCAAGTTAAAATGTGTCTGCCAGTAGGGGGCGATTACTGCTCCATGTACCGTATTTGTAATCCACATTGAGTAATTTTGTTGAGGTTTTAATTTCAGCTGAAATTTCATACACCCCTATTATTTTCTTAAATCCTGGTATCCAATTAGCTACTTGGCTCCTAATGCATTTGCTTGGTTTGCGTGTACAGTGTTCCCTCGTTATTTACCTTGAGTAAATATGTAAATAATACAACTCATCACTGTCTTTCTATCCCTCTCGATGTAGCAATGTAGAGTTCCAGACGCGATTCGCGGACAGCCAACATCGCGCGCGGTTAGCAAGTTCGTGAATAACGAGCTGAGGAGCCGTGCCCCGCAATGGCCATGGGCGAGATCAACCTGCTCATTTCTCTCAAGCAGCAAAAGGCCTCCTGGGCTCCACGTGTCCCTCGTGTGTGGCGCAGACGCTGCCACTCGGTGCAGCCTGGGTCCCCCACACGCCACCTGGGCGGGGGGCAGCAGCACTCAGCGAGAGCTCAACCAACAACCTTCAATGCCCCGCACCTCCGATTAGCAAAAAAAGTTCCACATACATACTGCAGGTTTTTGTTCATTTGTTCATTCACGGTCAGCGCGTAAGGCGTCCACTCACTAATCGCGACATGCACATTGTAAACCTTTATTTTAAACTCCCCGTCATGCGAAAGAAGACGCCAGGGCATCGTCGCATTTACATTATGGGCCCCATTCACACAAACTGCTGGCGAATGTTGCTCTGTGCAATGTTATCAGAAACGTGCCGATGTTTCTCGCGAATTTGGGCAAATTACTTCGGTCGGTTGGTCAACATGTGAACTTGGCCCCACAAGTTTTAATTTCAGCACTGTAATTTGGTTAATGTAAGGGAGGTATTTCTTAGGTTTTTTTAGCCGATACATAGTAAAATAGTAATTTGATTGCCCTGATACAGTTCAGCGTTTATGCATACCGCTCAACTCACAATTACAAGTTTGCGAGTTTAAATTCCAATCAGGGGTTCACCCACCAGCTTTATCCCTTCAGGGTCCATAAGTGGACCGTGTTGTAGGAAATAAACCGTAAAAATTGCTGATCAACCTGTCATCCTACGAAGACAGGCTCTTGGCATAGGAATGTCCACTCGTTCATGGCTATTGACGGAGACGAGCGGGGAGAATGTTTTACACCGAAATGATGTGTGGGAGCGCAGTGGCGCAGGGATCCGCACGCTCACTATAAACCAGGCAAACCCGAGTTTGATTCCCAGCCACGGCTTTCATCAATGGCAAATATCTGAATCGATAATGGAAGCCCTCCCCTTCACCAACCCCGCACTCACCAGCATGGTCAAATATGGCCAAAACAGCCCCCATGACTAGTCATCGAATAAAGACGGTCCCTGTATCGCACGCTTTCAGATGCGCTTTTGCGGCCGTCGGGAACGCTCTTCCGATATTAGGAAGCCACTTGAACTATGCACTTTTAAATCTAGAAGGAAAACTCATTTGTTGAGAACTGATGTTTTGTGTTTAGTTTGTTGTCCTTCCCCCGCACCTCCAATTATCACGATTGGCTAAATATGGTGCGAAAGAAATTCAACATATATGGCCGCCACGACATGGGGAGGCTTTCATCTGGCAATGAATTGATGAAGGACCGTCACTTTTTTTTAAGTACACAACTGCATTTGCACGAGAGTTTGAGTCGTAAGAATGCATTCATTAAAAACATCCACTCTAATCCAGTGACGTACGGTGAGGTCAATGGCTGGGGAGGCACTGGCTCGTGTCAGAGCCAGATTCACACACTGAAGGGGCGTGGCCTCACGGAGGGGGGCGTGTTAGACACGTCCCCATCAGTGAGGCAGATGTGATAGCTGCTTCCCCTGGTGCTTTTCATTGCAGTTTCATGACGAGACCAGCGAGCCTAAATATATTTCTACACATACGTTAAATAAGTTACCTGGAGTATGGAAGGCGAGGCCATGAAATGAAGGGATCTACAAACATTACATTGGCGACATACTGAGATAGTAACAGGCACGCGCTTATTGCCCGTGCGCTATCCAGTTACTGAGGGGTTGCGCAATCAGAGGGGAGGCTGAGCTCGTCGCTGCCTCACCTCTCGTCTCTTCTTGTATTTGCAGCGGAGCTCCGAAAATTTGCGAATTTTGACTATAAAATTTATTGGAATCATACAGAAGGGACATTTATAACACAGATCAATATCTTAATATTTATTTGATTATTCTTTATTTTAGTAACAGCTATTTTAATTGGATTATGATAGGTGAGGCACTGCCTCCCCAGCCTCCCCTTACCGCACGTCCCTGCTCTAATCTCATGTTTATTTGAGGCACCATCTTTCACTGTACTATATAGAGCATATCCTGCATATACTTTCATGACTTTAACATGTGAATCCAAAGCTCATGCACTATTTAATAAAATGAACACACCATTTATTTTATCTATGGCTAAAATGTGACAGCGCTAACATCCACCAGCACTGGTTTTGCAATATTTCAGAAAAAAGCAGACAACAGATCTGTGCTTTATCCACATGCCAAATAATGTTATGTGCGGCACAACTCAAACTGAACACAATACAAGCAGCATGCAGCTCTCTGCCAAATCTAGCTCGAACAACAAGTGCATTTTAATGAACACCAGATATAAAGTTATTCACACTACGAACATACCAGACTGGTGTATGAAGCATCAGTTTGACTCTTCAGCACACATCGACTTTATGCATAAATGTTAAATTTAAAGTTCAATCGTGTAGAATAATATACTCGTACAATCTGCAACCCGACTTGCCAGGGGGTTAATTTCAGGCAGGTGTCTGGGTCAGTGACTCATAAAGTACATTGTTTCCACACACAGCACACCACATCCAATATACGCGCTCGCTACGGCTGTGGTTACTAGTCGCGCGCTTACTTCAGGTTGCCAGCGACCCGGAAAATATTCAGTTAGAAGTTACCTGGGTGGTCTGCACTGCCACGGAGAGGCCCACAGCAGGTCGCCGCTTGTTCCAGTAAGAGGAGAGCGAGTGAGTCCCTCGCAAGTCTCTCGACATGGCCATTGCCACTCACGCACAACCACCGCTTAAGCTTGGTCTTCACGTCTCCAATGCTCAAGCACCCATGCAAGCTTAAACTGTCAATCACACTCTGTGGTCAGCGATGAACTCAAGTTTTTCTCTACGCCAAATGCCTGCAAAGGACCGTCGGTGTCTAGTGTCTACAGCACAGCCATATTTGATCCTTCATTTAATCTTCCTCTGAACAATGTCACGACCGTTATGGAGGACGCAGTGCCAGCTGTAATACCTGCCGATGTGAATTTATCAGCCGTTTGGTTCATCCCACCTCGTGTCTTCTCTCCCTCCTTCTGCCCCACCCGGTGGATGCAAGCGGCTTTTGGGTTGAATCACCGCCTTGAGTGGCGACACAAGAGCCCTCGTTCCCTCTGTATTGACGGCGTCACAGCTGCGCAAGGGCTCACATCTATGGCCCCCTCGTGGTTCGTGCGGCTCATCTTCAAGAGGCCCCAGAGTTCGCCCACGCCGCCGAGATGCTGCCATAGTGATGGCCTTTTGTGTCCCTTTCTCCTCGGAATGACGACAGCAAAAAGAACTACCGCTCTTACTTTGTTTTTTTCGGTAAAGTCACGTAAGTAAAAAATGTATAAATGAAAAAACAACTAAATTAAATCACGATGTTTCGGAGGCAACACAAGCTTCCGTCCTTCAGGTGGAACCGTTACAGCCCAATTCACTATCACAGTGAACGTCGTGATTTAATTTAGTAGTTTTTTCATTTATTTATTTTTTACCTACGTGACTTGACCGAAAAAACCAAAGAGTATGAATCCTTGCAGTCACGAAAATTCAAATCTTGAATTAACTACCGCTCTGCAGCCCGGAGCGCAGCCGCCCACAGCAGAAATAGTGAAAACCAAACGGCACTTCTGTTAAAATCAGTTACCAAGCAGAGGGCACAAAGATGAAACCCATTTATAGTTGTCCTTTTTGTCCTACTGCTTCCTAAAAAATTACCGGAACAATTTTGTATCTTGGTGGTTCGAAAACAAGAATTGTGTGCATTGTATATGCAGTGTGGGCTACGTACAGCGTGAAAGAAGTTCAACATACATGTGTCCCTTTCCACTGCAGGACACCCATCAAATAGTTCCTAACAGCTCATTGGAGGCCCATCCTGCTGAAATAAAAACAATTCTACCTCATTTGTTTCCAGCCTGAATGCACTTTGCGATTTGATGAATTTATCATTCTTGGTCATGATGCACAATATTGGTAAAAATTGGTTTGTCATCCTAGTGTAGGTCTCCCGTAAGTCCATTCTCAGCACGACGTGAATTCTGCTGGCCCCAAGTGCCCTGTGTGTACCGTGCCAGCCTGAATAGGTGCTTTCAAATAGCAAGTGCCCCTTTAGTCTACAGGGGTGAGTGGTGTTTGTGGATGAGTCTGATCATAATTAAACTGTAAATGTACATCAAAGCATGTTCACTTTTATTTTGTATAACAGCAGACACCATCAAACTACTGTACTTGCAGTTTTGTTGTTATTGCATTTCTTAAACGGCTGTGGCATTTTTTTTATAATTTTATAACAAACAAAACGTAAGGTTAAGATAAGTCGGTAATTTTAATTATTGTTTCGTAAATGACATTGTTTTTATAAATGTTTAAATGAATCTCATTATGAATGGCAGTTCAATAAAGAGCACACTGCATCTTACCCCGAAGCATTTATGCCATTCTGGCAACGAGGCTAACTAAACAAAACATGTAAGCCAATCTTCCAACAGAATGAGGAACCGCAAATAAGTGCTGACCGCTTACGCTTCTTGGCTATTTACAACGTAACATAGGCAATCGATATTCTGGAACAAATTTCAACACAATAAAAAAAAATACGTATGCATAAAAGTGCAATTTACTGCAAATTACAGTAAAACCAGCAATAACGATGACAGAAAGACCGAATAAAATTATCAGAGCAAACTAAAGTGCTGCAGGGATGAATGAATGCGTGGTATGCTGCATGTGGGGTTCATTTTCTAATATGAAGCAAAGACGAGTCTTATCTAGGCAATGAAATGACATTATAAATTACTAATTACTTGCTGTTTTACTTAGACTTATAACATTACCAAGCCAGTATGCAATATTGTACAATAATATTTAGTCCTATAAATGAACAAGCTGTACATGTGGAACAGATCTTAAAAATCGTAGATCTTATCTAAATGTCGGAATATACCAATCATCAGACTTAACAGAGCGAGATAACGATGTTTAAGCAATATTAATGATAATGTAGCACCCCTAAACTTTATATATTTTGATATTTCTCAGAAATACCACAAGAACTTACAGAAGTGATACCGATGATTTCAGAATAAAAAAACCCAATAATGTCTCAACAAAAACTGCATTTGTGCGAGTTTGCTGTAAAGTACGTTCACGTGCTGTACGCTTAAGAAAACGTTGCCCAATGTCTCTTTGCAAATACATACATGTCGAATGTACGTTGTACATGTGTACTTTGTGCTCTCCCTAGTTGTGTCACCTTCATGACTGCTGCGACCAAAGGAACACTTAATTAGGCCTTAATTTCACCTTGGTCTGTCCTGGTCAGCATCCCAGACAATATTTCCACAACCGGCACTCCGCATCTAGTACACCTCTTAGTATGGCCGTGGAAACTTGTCACACATCGACACTCTGGACCAGCAGTTACCCAGAAAATATTCACTGAGAAACTAAGCCCTGTGTGTCACAAAACTGTTACTCACAGTCCCCGATCCATCACTCTCGTTGAACTCGGCCTTGATCTTGTTCTGTCGGAGGTCACTCACCTGGCTCAGTCCTCTGACACGGCGACGGCGGTACCGACGGCGCCTAAAAAAAAAAACAGTTCCCGCATCTCCATCACCCGGCCTGGTGTTGCGCAGCGCTAGGTCACACAGCGTCCTCGCTGCTGCCTGACAGCGCCAGCGAGAAGCTGCCAGAGAGCAAAGAGGCGTCAACGCAAGATGCCGCGTTGCTGGACAGTGCAGCCCAGGTGGCTGGGCGGCCCTTGCGGAGTGAGTACGGTGTCTTCACCCTCCTCTTGATGCGCTCGGCTTGAATCGGCAGCTGACCTGAGGGGTGGAGGGCAGCGGCACAAGCAACGCGTCGGCAAAGTTACATGAAACTTGTTAAGTGCTGTCATAGAGGATGGGGGGTTAGAACGTAATGAACATACCAGGGTGTCTCTCGTCGCGATTGAAAATAATATTTTATGTTCGGGCGTAAGAATGAACCCTCCCGTGATTCACGGTTATGATTAGATTCATAAACAGTTCTTTTCTGACGTCTCGCTGCTAAAGAGGTCATGTGGACTAACAACCAAGGTCAAGTATGAATCTAAAACAATGATCGTCACAATTCAATGTGTGTACCATGAGCTTTAAGAATTTACATCGCAATGGATCATCACACCCCTCATTTTAGCTCGTCAGCATTGTGGACCAATGTTTTCCAGCAGAATTTGGCTGGGCACAAATTTTCTGCGATTCCAATAAAAAAAGTTTTTCCCTGGCAATTTAATTAACATAGAGTGCATGTTTAAGAGGCAACTCCCAGTTAAGCTCCAAACCATGGACCTCCTTTTACCAGCAATATCAGTGCTCTCGACTGACGGCTTCTCTTTACAAAGTAATTAAATCCACTATTTCTGTATATCATCTGAAGATGCACTCGTATTTACACATCGATATGATTTCAAATTGTATTGTAATTACATTGTAAATGCAACTTGAATAAAATGGTGCCATAGGACTCGTGATGGATTATGTAATTTCATTTACACGTTATTTCCTACAAACCCCCTTTATTTATAGACATCGTTGTGATTCTGCTAAATGTACTCCATCATTTATGTACTTCCTGTTTATGGGAAAGGGCAGGGATTCTTTTTTAAAGTGGTTATTGTATGGATCAGACCACCTCTATAAAAACAGGTCCACCGATACAACAGGCCCAACTCGCCACATTGCCTTTCCTCAGGCACGGTAGACTGGTGTGGAGCTACTTTGTGGTAGTTTGTGCCACCACCCCTACTACAAGCTACCGCGGGAGCCGCCCAACAGCCATCTGCACTGTGGAGGGCTGCTCCTTACGGCGGCGGCTATGGGACAAATAAAAAGGTTGATTGAATGCGATGACGCCACAGTCAAGTTATTGAGTAAACTAAATGGTTACCTGCTTCCCGCGAGACGCCTCCAAACAGTGCCTTGCCCAGGTCCAGCGAGTTTGGCCTCCGCAGCCTTCGCTCGGCCAAACTCCGGCTCTGACAAGCAGCAACAATCCCCCTGGCGTTTTCCTCTGCCACTGTACCGCTGCAATCGCAGCCGCCGCCGGCGCCGCCGCCACCAACCCCACCAGCGCCACTGCCACCAACCCCACCGGTGCCACTGCCACCAACCCCATCAGCGTCGGCACCACCGCTGTTGTTGTTGCTGTTGTTACTGTTACCAGACCTCCCCCTCGAATGGTGCCTCTCACCACTCAGAAGTGGCGCGTGTTCGTCCTGGACGCTAGGTGACTGCGAGGTGGAGTCTCGAGCGGTAGACAGCCCGATGGCAGCCTCTCTTGTGGCTGACTCGCCCGGCCTGCGATCGTCCTCCACGGCTGTCTCAGCCACGGGGCGAGCAGCATTCACCGCCACGGTCGCCGCCGCCGCTTCGTGCCGGATGTTCGACTTCTCATCCCTGCCATTGCCGGCTTTCGCACGGAGGCCTCTGCCGTTGGCCGTCGTCGTCAACTGGAGTGGCAGGGTGCTAGGCCGCACCCTGGCGGCCACGTTGGGCTGCTTGGGCAAGGGCGGCCGTGGTGGCGTCTGCAGGGCCTGCGAGCGCAACAGCCGTGCGTCTGGTGGTGCCGTGCGCCTCTGCTTGTCACCAATGGCGGAGGCGGCCAGCTGCACGAGCGGGCCTAGTTTGAGCGCAGCGCCGTCGAAGCACTTCGACGAGGCCGTCTCCGTGAGGTTCTCGTCCGAGCTGTCCTTCAGGTTCTTGTCAACCTCGGTGGGGTCGAGCTTAACTGCTTGCAGGTCAGCGGCCATCATCTGGAGACGGGCAGGGGTGGGGCCGGACGCCGCCGCGACACGCGATGCTTCGGCCGCGGTGGCGTCGTCGAGCAGCAGCATGCCGGCGACGTTCCGGACCGGGACGCCAGTGGCGGTGTCGTCGCCGGTGGGGGTGGCACTGGACAGGGTGGTGAGGCTCGTCTCGGGAGACCCTGGGGGGGCCCCGTGCCACCCTCGACCCATGTTCTGGAGGTTTTTCTCGGTAGCTGCCCCCGACACGGATGTACTTGTGGAGATGGAGCTGTCGGCGCGCGCGTCGGTCGAGCGAGATGCACCATCTCCGTCGGACAATCCTGTCCTGGGGAATCTCCGGTTCTGAACGGTGTTCCTGGATAACGGAGAATGAGTGCTATTCAATAACAATTGTTCGTAACCAAAGATACAAAATGCTCATATCGTATACATATCCACCCACGCTGTTCGCTGATGCACTTTTAATGACAAAGGAGACGTTTTGCTTCACGTGCCAAGAGCTTTTCAAGAACCGAATCCAGTTCCCCGCATGGTAAGTGAAACATTGGATATCATGCGTAACAACAGGCGATATAACACAAAACCCCCCTGGAATGCTCATACAGCACAGGCACGAAAACACACAATGACATTTACGTTCGTAGCCACCAGGTCCGTCCGGCTCATGGTAATCTCTTCTCTTCCCAGCAGATCATTCTTCATTTCCTCCTATCGGGCATGAGTGCTGCTTTAACACAAACGTCGGTGGCGCAGCAGCAGAAGCAGCACTCGCCTCTCACTGTGGCCGGCTTGGTGTGCCGGCAGGCATGGTGTGGCATGCACGTTGCTGTTGCCGGTGGGGCTGAGTGGGCGGGAGCGTTCCCAGGCCATCGCGAGCTCCGCAATTCGCTCCTCAGCACAGTCGGCCGTGAGCCTCGCGTCCGCGTCCTGGTCCCAGCAGTCCTCCATCGTCTCCTTGAGTGAGCGCACAGCCTGCCACGTGCACACGGAAGTGACGCAGTGCGATGCACAAGGCTCGCGTGGCCGGTACGACACAACACCTCGCGGGGTGGCGGTGCTCATCTCTGTTGCCAGCTCTGAGCCAGTCGTGCCAAAGTCACACTACTATGGTGGGAGCCAGGCTCTTCGAAGAACATTGTCGACTTTCCACACAAGTGTACTCGTTTTGAATCTTGATTTGAAACTTTCGTGACTGCAGGAATCCATACTCTTTGGTTCTTTCGGTAAAGTCACATAGGTAGAAAAATGTATAGACCACTGACGTTTCGATCGCAACACAAGCAATCGTCATCAGTTTTTTTTTGCTGTGGTTGTCCCACCTGATGACGATTGCTTGTGTTGCAATCGAAAAGTCGTGATCTATTATTTTTCTACCTACGTGACTTTACCGGAAGAACCAAAGAGTATGTACTCGTTTTATTTACCCTGGAGTGGGGGGGGGGGGGAATCATGGGCAGAGTCGATAAATGGAAGAGATTTTAAGTTGACGCTCTTGGAGTATTCTGATATAGCGCCACAACACTGGGTAAACAACACGGCATAAACATCGACAAATGGCACGGGGATTTCGAAATAGCTCATGGTGCTTGTCATGGCGGTAATGTGAGCACTGCATGCGTCCGACCATGGCCTGCAACAAAAAGCACCGTACACGTTGCCCGGTATTATTTATTCTGGCAATGCGCCACTCCTCGACCTGGCTTACCAAAGCATCAATGCAAACCCTATACGGAAAATGGTATAATTACCAAAGGAACAGTACTCGGCCAACCAGAGGTATAACAGATCGCCTCAGTTTAAAAATCTGATTTTTTTTTGGTTCCACTACAGTGCAAGCCAACCCATTGGGACTTGTCAATCATTCCACTGATGCTCCAGTCCTCCGAGCGTTGTGCGTCTCACGTCCGTACAAGTATTCACAAACTTAAAGCAGTGCTCGCTGTACACAAGTGCAACTTAAGCGCCATTCTTTTCCTTTTTTTCCCCACATTTGAGCAAAAGCTGCCAAGTCAAGCAAAGGTTGTAAAAATGAAATGTACTCCCCGGCCTGCCTCTCTCCTCTCGTGATTGGGGCATGTGTTTTCAATATTTGCTAAATGCTGCACTGCTCGCGCTCTTTGGAAACAGAGCTAAACAAACAGCACCGTTCTGAAGCCGGCACTGTGTGTGCCCAACAAAATCTACTAAATCAAGGAACGGCATTTCACCATTTCACCCTGAGAATGTGTGCGATGATCGTTTGTTTGATTTTTATCCACGTTTGTTATCAAAGAGAATACAATTATTCTAAAATCCAGTGTCTTGTTTTTTATTCAAGAAACCATGCATACAGGGGTTGCTCATTACCATTCACGACTTGGAGCCAGTGACTGAAAGTCCACATTCCTATAGTAGGGACCTCATCAACCATAGAATGGCCAGTTTGAAGTAGACCGCTTGACTAGCAATAAAAAAGTTGCAATCCTAGTTAGGGATGGACTTGGCCCGTTATTCCTCCAGCGTTGATGATTTAAAATATATATTTGTGTTTGCATCTGTGTGTATCTACGATCCATTCTGGGTTTGACCAGGTTGGATTATGTGAGCTCACAATTCCTTGAAAAATCTGGACACAGGCCCATCGGTGAGCTCCTCTGGCAGGCAAGGCTGAGTTGGCTGGGTCATATAGCCCGCATGCCCAGCCACCGCATGCCCAAAAAGTTTTTGTTCGGCCGGATAGAGGGGGCTAAACGGGTGCGGTACAGGCTAGATAAGAGATGGAATGATGTAACAAAAAAGGATGTGGAGCTGAGTGGACTTGCCAATTACTGGTACCAGCTATCGACAACAGCACTTGCCCCAAGAGTCTATTGAGGCTATCTTTGTCTTTGTATACATACGTGTGCTTGCTTGCGTGCGTGTGTTTCCTCACCAAACTGTTTTCCTTCCACGTGTCGGGAAAGCGAGGCCGCCGCTTCTCCCGTGACACCAGCACCTGCATCTCCTCCACCGTCGGGTGGCTCCCTGCCTCCTCCTGGAAGGCCAGCTGGAAGTCTGGCACCGACTCCCCTGCAAGCGGGATCGCGCCTCTTTAGCCCCGATTTAACCATGGCCACGAGCTCCGTAAGTCAGTACACATTTGCTATTTACACAATTCTTGAGCTACCATGAAGGTGCTGTGTTTCACAGATGGATTTAGTCTGTCCGTAAGTAGGGAGCTATGTTGCTAGGTGAATACTTGTTCAGGTAATTTGGCAAATTCTAAACATTTGGACCATGACACTGGCAAACAATTGCCTACTTGTAACATGTAATGTCAGGGGATTTTTAATGTTCGCTGCAAAACAGAAAGAATTTTTATTATTATGAGTACACCCATAGCAATTAACCAGGGCAGCCTGCTGGATTCGAACCACGACCCTCTGCAGCATGCGGAGAGAATGCACTACTGCTGGGCCCTTTCGCCGTGCCAAGCGCTTGTCTGGGCATGTGATATCTTAAGTAAAAAAAACAGGTTTACGGGGTCGAAATATTGAATAATGCAGAGCCAAATACATTATTTTATACAAAACATTTACCAGTAAAAAAGCAAACGGCATAAATATAAAAATAAAATAGTAAAATAATGGTTCAGTAATTTTCAATCTACTACTGCCTGAAGACCCCCTCTATGCCATTGTTTGACCATATTTCACCACACTGATCAGTATCGGCTGGCAAAGAGGGGGGGGGGGGGGAGGTGAAGTGCCCAGCATAAGTTCAGTTGTCACTCTCGACCGATGTTCGCTGGAGCCGGGAATCGAACTCGAGTCACCGAGTTCACAGACCAGAGCGCTAACCACTGCGCCACCGCTCCATTTAAACATTTCAATGCCTGTGTATGTCCACGGTGCAAACAGTTGCAGAGCCGGGAGTGGGGGAACGGACCGGGGAAGAGGTTGGTGCAGCGCGTGAAGATCTCCCAGTAGACGAGGCCCAGTGAGTAGACGTCCACCTGCTTGAGTGCCGACTCGCAGTCGCACAGGTTCACGGCACCCTCCAGCACCTCGGGTGCCATATAGCGGATAGTGCCCACCTGAGGAGCGCAATCGCACACCGCCACCACGCCCAGGAGGCTCGCAATCCACAACAACGGCAACAGCAGTCATTCGCCGCCAAGTGATGGCGACGCCACCACCGCGCTTGTGGGCTTAGAAGCCACGAGGCTCGTCCTCCCAGCACGTCTGTCTGCACACGTCTCCTCTGAGCAAGCTCTGTTCCTCTCTCGCGACGTCTGCCGTGGGTTTGTTTCCCGGAAAGTTCAGTTTTCATCCGTGCTAGCCCAGGCGTGCCGAGTCACACGCAATGTGCACGGGTGAAATTGTCAAGTCGCGATCGAGCCCTTTCACAGGCTTACAGACAAACGTGTGTCCATTGTCACATGCTCATGGCCTTCAACACTGGACGCTTACGCTCGGCACACATGAACTCACAGCAGCACACGCGGCTGACTTCGTCTCCCCAGTGCGGATGTTTACACGATGGACCTGGTACTCATTGCAGGCGGAGTCGACATTGGGGAAGACCCAAGACTGGTTCAGATATTCGCCGCCCACGATAGCTGCGGGCTAAAACAGCAGAGCACACCAGAGACGGTCGGCAAAGAAATTGTCAGCGCACCTCACTGATGGCGGCCGCCTCCTCCTCTCCGGGCCGCACAAGCCTCTGGCCCGAGAGCCGCATGGTGAAGCCCAGGTCACTAAGCACGCAGCTGCCGTCGCCGCGCACCAGCACATTGCGGCTGTTGAGGTCGCGGTGCGCGAGCGCCGGCTTGTGCTGGTCTGATGTCCAAAGGCGAGAGGGCGAGGGGGAAACGGGTTCATAGGATAGGGCATAAATAAACGAACTAAACATCAATCAATCACGCAAATAAAATAGAATTATCTCCGTACACGCATCTTTGGACGGCGTTTCGGTTTTGAGGCGCGGTCAGAGTTGGACACTTTATGCATCGAAACTGAATTATATAAGTGCCGAGGTGAATGTTCGTGGGGTTTTTTTTTATGGGTAATGATGTTTCAATAGCGTTGTTGGCATCGAGTTATGATGGGGAAAATTCTCTCACAGCAAGCAGAAGTTCAACATACATACATACATAGTGACATCGACACATGCAGGGGAATGTCGTCGGGAAGAGGACATCACCGGACTAATTCTAATTGTAAAATGTATTGCTCATGTACCTAATTGTTAAATTTGGTCGCAAGAATTGTTTTTCAACTTATTGATGAGTTGATAATAATAATAATCGGTGCGTTAAATGCTTGAACACATAAAAATCCATTTATTTGGCTCTGTTGGGTGGTGGAGGGTTCTTAACAGTGGCGGCTCCTGCTAAATCTCTCAGGGGATAAGGTCCACCCATGCAATGGATAAATTAACAGCTTAAGCATGTAAAGGCAACTTCACTACTTTAATATTAATGAAAAATAAAGTGACTCTTACAATACATCTCCTTGTTTGTTTCTATACTCACTATTATTACAATCCACTCAGTTTTTTTATTAAAGATTCCACTAGGTGGCGACAAATAATATTGTTGACTGAAACGTGCTTACGTATGATGACGTAAGCACGTTAGTGCGAGCCCTCCCGGAAGCCATAGAGAATGCATTGGAGCGCCCGCCGTTCGAAAAAAAACATCTTTGAATGTAAGTCTATGGGAACACTGGGCGATTCTCAGCCAGAGTGAAATCGCCCAAAAAGAGGCGGTACTCCACAGAACGTGACATGACGCTGATTGGACTATATCCAGAGGCACAGTAACGGCTAGCGTGACTCTGTGGTTGAATGAGATTTTGAATGTGATTGAAAAAGTCCCTTTCACACTTTGGTGGTGCGTCGCCCAATCGCCCTAATGAAGAAACCGCCCCTGGTTCTTAACAACAAATTCGATTTGATCATTACATCGCCTAACCGAAAAAGCCATTAGGAATCAGAACTATTGCTAAAATTTTATTGATGCTCCATTATGCTCTTTACAGAGTGTTGGTCGCGTGACGCTCAAATTAAATACTCAGTTGTCGACATTACGAAAAAATCTAAAATAGTCTTCTTGTTACTGGTGAGTGGGGTGAGACTCACAACCCACGACCGCGCAGTTTAATAATGTGTGAGGTCCAAGATTTGAGCCCCAGTGCTCTGATGTGGTGGCCATTGGCCCTGTTAAAAATCTGGCAAACACTGAATTTCTATTTTTAACGACTATCCATGAGTGACCAGGAAACAATGCAGATGCGAGTCCCATTGTTCACAGTCAATGTTATCTGGATGCACAGCCTCCGAGTGGGATGTGTTTGAATCAAAACACTTGTTTACCTGGTAGGGAGGGCTTATCTACTGCAGTTAATCACCTGGCAGAGAAGCAGGGCCAACTCACAGCAGCTGCTGCAGTAGCAGCAGCAACAACAATACCCTCCAGATTATTACGAGATTCTCACACAAAGTCAATGCTCACACAGCATTCCAAAGTGTTAAAAGACTCCTTACACAAATCCATTGTTCCATGGCCAGGAGGAAATGTGCTGGCTCAGTGCTTGCACTGGGGCAACGATCCAATAACAAATATTGACCCAAATCGTACACTTAAGAGCACAGATGACCTTGACATCAGTTAACAATAACAATCAGTGTTTATGCATAAAACAAAAACTGAACACACCACTGCCAACAGAGCATCACCAAATAATTTGTATTGTAATTTTTGTATATAGTGTAATTCATACAAACTGCATCCTTCTTGCAAAGCCGCAATTCATGGAGGTGCAAACATTTCTGAATATATTTTCAGCCAAGGAATGAGTGTTTATGCATGTGGGAGGAAATCGTCGCACCCGGAGAAAACCCACGCCGTGCTGTACGTAGAACTTTTTTTCGCACCGTACTTAACCAACTCTGCTGCTGTTCCAGGGCAGCGCCTACGCTGTTTTTGGACCAGCAGAGCCTGGTTCCAATTGGCCCTAGAAACGAGGCTCCTGATGTCTACATTTGCTTAAAAAGGCCTTTGTAGTTTCAGAACTATACCCATAAAAAGACACTTGCAGATCCCTTCCCCACTCCTTTATCCTTCTCCCACAATTGCTCCACTCAACTTATTACCCCTTTAAACCTCCTCATTGCCACCCACGGCCTCCCCTCGACCCCCTCATTCCCTCCCCCACAGCTTCTCTCCAGCCATTCCAGCATGCAGTGAAGGTAGTTTTGTTGTTGGTGAAGCAATCGTCAGAAGGTACTTGTGATAAGGGCAGGCAGATATGCAGCTTACTGTTTTTTTTAGTTGCCTACTATATTTTGCGACATTTTTCAGTGTGAACGATTACAGGAAATTTGGTGTGTTCATTTAGTCTTAATTTACGATATTGCTCCATATATTTTTTTATTGGTTGTTGTTGTAACTTTATGACCCGCCCCTATTGGACATCTAGATTTCTCCAGCATGAATAAAATTCTAATTCTGACATAATAATATATTAAAATCAGTTTATTGTCAGTACCGAACATTTTGAATCTATTGTAGGTTATAACATGTTTATGACTTTCGTTCATCATTCCTGATAATTTGCACATTTTATCAGAATACTTGATGTTTTGCTTACATTCAGAGAGCAAGGGATGACCTACAAAGTGAGATGGTGGGAGACTGTAAGAGCACTTCTTAGGTTGGGTGTCAACTGTGCAACAGCTGGGATTTCGTCAAAGGAGGATTATTAATGGGAGCAGTTGTAATGACCTCTTGACCCTGCACACTGGAAATTATTTTATTCATGTGGGAAATTCCATGGTGACAAATCACGAGACGAGTCCCAGGACAATTATCCACAGCGATAAAAGAGTTCTGATTTTGTTGTTGTACCAAATACAAAATTACAAATACAATGATTACATGTTGAGATAAGTATGCACTCTGTCACGTACTATAATTTCTATTCATATAGAAGCTTTCTTTCATTCATTCCAATACAGTACGAAACAATGCTAATCTGCGCAGGTTTCGCTTCCAAAAAGGATGTGTTGTCACAATAGGCTGTCAACTGGTTATAACAGAGTCAATCTCTGTACGAGTGTTATTTATTTTTACATACCATATAAAACTAATACACAACCCCTATAATGATGTCATTAGGCAGTAAGGCATAATTGTGTCAAATAGTGGTGGGCAGCAGAAGCAGCACTGCCGGACCCAAGTGCTTTCATTCCCTCACTCGTCATCAGTCCATTAAACGCCGTACTCTCACTCCTTCAGCCACCCTCCGATCAATACTCCCGGTCCTGGAAAAGGTTAATCAGGTCTGACCATCCCGAGAGCCTTTTTCGGTCATTGAACATGAGGAAAATGAGGAAAAGGCAATCGATGCAGGTCGCCCTTCCGGCAAAGCGTGACCGTGCCCCGTTGCAAGGGAGCCAGGATTCCCCGGCTTCATGCAATAAATGACCACAGCACGAAGGCTCCTTGAGGTTCGACGCAGGAAAGCAGGTGACCTTAGTGAATTATTTACGGCATGCCATTGTGCTGTCTCACGTCTAATTGTTACAAGAAGAGGGCAACCTCAGCCGCTACACAGAAGTGAACAAGGAACATGATGAAGCGCCTGCCGAGAGGAAAACTGTTGTCTTGCGTCTGCAGGACACAGCGAGACGATCATTATTTTAGGTCGGAAATAGGAAGCGATGTGACGAGAGTAGGTTTAGAATATTTGAGACATTTGACTCTTTTGTAACCTGCAATCCAGGAATCCACACAACCATGTCTCAAAAATATACTTGCAATAACGATTCGGCACAGATTTCGATCAAATGTTTAACAGTTGATATAAATCTCATAGACCTGTGCTATGAAGACATCTATTGCAGCTTTCCTGAAGCACATTCTTTGGTTTGGCACTTGTGAGGTTTACGTTGTGAATTCCTCCATGATCCTGATAGTATCTGCTAATGATCTCCATTAACGATGGTGCTCAACTATGGCAAGTCCTAACCAGCTCCAATGCACAAGTCTGTGCCTATGTTCCTGCCCCTTCTGCCCTCATCCCCCAACTGGAGAAGACCATGGCTGAAGGGGGCTGCCCTGGCAGGGGAATCTGATGACTCAAGCTACACTTCTATGACCACTGGCAAGTGGGTCTGGCGGTGACCCAGGAACAGCCCAGAAATGGCCAAATTGTGTTCAAGGATCAACAGCATGGCATGGATCCGTACCCCCCACACTCCATGAGCCACAAGGCTCTGTGGTTTCGGCTCCATCCGCTCCATCCTCGCACCCCCCCCCTCACCTGGCCTCCCCCCCTCACCTGGCCCCTTCCCTCCCCCCCCTCTGTAACCATATCCTTAGGTTTGAGTTTAGCTAATCCAAGTAAAAAAAATATTATTTTTGTAACATCCCATAGTCTTTGAAAACAAATTCTTCAAGTTGAACTCAACGAGAGACGCCATAACTGATCTCAAGGTTGGCCCAGGTAAAAGAGAATGGCTCCATTAGTAAAGGGAGCTCCCAAGCTTCATGCCTGTGCCCAATTTGTATTGTGTCAGCCTGGCTGGGCTGCCATGGGCGCACGAGCCAAGCTGACAAGCCTATGTGAAATACACATATATATACAAACAGACATATAGAGAGACACACACAGACGAATAGGTTGCCAGGCAAATAGATGGGACAGACGGGCATTAAGCCAGCACGGTTTTCAGACATCGTGAAAATGCAACTTTATCAGATCATGCTTAACCTGTATTGCAGCGCTGGGCAAGCGATACTGAGACCTTGGGTTTCAAAGCTGGGCTCCTATTACAGATAACATCAGATTCTGATGCTCAATTAATTCGAATGGCCTCCTATAAGTGAATTCCAGCTCAAGGATAGAGAGGAGAAACACAGCTAACCATCTAAGACAGTACAGATTTGTGATTTTTGAAAGACTCACAAGAATATTAGGCCTTCAATACTTAGAAAAGTCAAACAATTTCCTTTGGAAACATCAATCCTAGAATAATTGCAGAGTATAAACGGGACGGTTCATTCCATTTAGAAAGCTTGACAACCCCAGACAGGACATCTCACTCAGTGGCATACCTATTGAGTGTGCGGGGGGTGCAACTGCAACAGCGACTACTGGCAAGAGGGGATCAGATGCTGGACTACAAAGGGGGAGGGGGGGAGTTGGGGGGAAATTAGAGAGGGGCCCCATTTCACTGCTTGCACTGGGTACACATGCCAAGCACACTATGCCACTGATTCTAGATTTGAAGCTTTCAGTGACTGCAAGTATTCATATTCTTAGGCGATTTCGGTAAAGTCACGTAGGTAAAAAATTTAAATTAATAAAAGTAAAATAAAAATCACGACGTTTCGGAGGCAACACAAGCTTCCATCTTCAGGTGGAACCGTCACAGCACGCTTGCTGTATCCCACTTTAATGTTTTTTATATATATTTGTAGTGTTCAACACGGAGGCACACACTCTGGACTGGGAGGCAACACTTTGATTTAACAACTTCCCTAGCGGGTAACACTGAACGTAACTCGGCTTCTATAGTAGGTGATGTGGCTAACTACGTGAGTAGCGAGTTAACTCGAGACGAAGACCCGGAGACGACCAGACGCGGGACCCAGGCTTGATTCCACCGACGAGCCAAGAACACGCCCGGCACCGCCCCTTGATGCTAATGGGCGTGGCCTCGCTCTGCCTTCGGTCATGCCCCCTTTGAGACCTTTCCCAAAGGATCTCGACCGAGTATCACGTGCCCCACCCAGGCTACCACGTCCTCCCTTGCCTTCTCTCTCAGGCCATCGCCAGGACTATGCCCCCTAGGGCTGGCTGACATGCCGTACTTACTCTGGTGCTATAAAAGAGGCTCCTGGACGCACAGTTGCACTCCTGTAACAGTAGCTGGCGCGAACACCCTAGTGACACCATTTACGTCACTACATATATAAACTTTCATGTATACAGTTATACACAACTGCGACGGTCACATTAATAGGTATCATAAATAAAAAATTATACTGAAGGAAAAAGCGCAATGTGTGCACAGAAATAAACTTCACTAAGTGACAGCAAGTAGAGCACTTATCCCTTAATCACTCAGGTATTGTGAAATGGGGGAATCTGAAAAAAAAGATCTGGCTCAGGGGTGGAGCGAGCAGCTCGCAATCGGAAGGGTGCAAGTTCAAATCCCGGTTGGGGGTTGATTCAGTCCATCCCTCCAGAGTCGATAACAAAATAACCATAGCGAATACAAACGTTTCTGTCCGATGGATAGCCACATCCCTCGTCAGAGAAATGTGGAATTTCTAACACTGATTCAGGACTTGTAAAACAGGAGCTGAGGACTACATAATGCTTATTCCAGCGGGAAATCATTTGACTTTTGAAAAGAAAATGAGGAAAGGAGGGGGGAGGCAGGGAAAGGGGGGGAAGGAAGGAAGATCCCACTCGTGGTTTTGGCGTCAGTAGCCCGGGGAAGGATGGGGCGTTCGTACCCCCGCGCACGAGCTCGGCGTGCAGGTAGGCGAGGCCGCGGGAGACGCTGTGTGCCAGCTTGCACGAGGCGAGCCAGTCGCTGGAGACGCGGGACAGGTAGCTCGCCAGCGAGCCCTGTGCAGCGACACAGCGGGAACACAGCGACGGCAACAACGACGTGCACCTTCTTGTGATGATCCTGAGTAATGCGCACAGCGCGGCTGTCATCTCGGCTTGACCGGGCCCCACGCTGATTCGCCGAGAGCTCTTGCCTAATAACATTGGGCAACCCTGCAGCATTTGTTTTTACAGGCCACATCTTGGAATTTCGCTGCTTAAACAGGATGCTACTGGAAAGCATTGGTTCACAAGTCCAATAGGCGGATGGAGAAATGTTATATTATTTAAAAGTCATGTGGTCAAATTGACCCTTATCTGCTAACATATGGCAGACACAAAGGTTTTCTTTGCACACTTGTCAACTCAAGAGGGGCAATGCATCCCTCCAAATCCTAGTTGATCATTTTGAACGTGTGCTATTTATTTTAAAAGCCAGGTGTATGTAATTAATCATTCTTGTAGCTGATTATTTGCCCATCTTCAAAACAAAGCAAAAACATACCTAATTATAAAGGTTTTGCCCTACCCTGACAAAGTCTTGATTCATGTGGGTTCTACTAATTTAATCTCTTTGAAAATGAAAGCAAGGGGGAAATGTTAAATATTTCATTTTGTTGTGTTATTCCATTTCCACTAGTTTAGAAGTCAATTAAGTAGTAAAATCAGATCACATCTTCGAAGCAATAAATATGCAAATGTTTTTTGAGGTGTGTTGCAATTGTGAAAATTTACGAGCTAGGCGGCTGTCTGTAAGATTCAACAAACACACACGCACGCACGCACGGTTTTATTGGGAAACCTGAGCGACCATTGTGAGGCTAATGAACAATCAAATTGGTTGTTTCGTATCTAAGCAATTACACGAGACGCTCAGGGTAATGTCAAAGAAATTAAAGAAATATAATGGAACCCAAACTTGTCTGTGCTACAAAATGTAGCCTCAGGCAGCTGTTATGAAAAACAAAAAAATAATCCTTAAGCATTCTGACGAGCATTGAAATGTAACTTCAAATTTGGCACGTCACACAAATTAAGCAATGTAGAAGATTGCTCATTATTTTTAATAAAGAACTCATTCCATAGCCTTAAAAGCATAATTTTACTACACTAAGATAGGCTTCTTGTGGGTTATATAGGTGTAGATGACGATGATGATTATTGGATCGTGATGATGATCACCATGACAGCTGCAGATACAGACCGTAGATGTCATTTGGGTGCAACTCGTGGGGCCTGGCATCACGCTGATGATGACGATGCTAATTGAGAGATGATGATGGTGAATGTTGACAATGATGATTGAATGATAACGATTACCGACACTAAATCACAGATGTCCTGTGTGTGTCACTCACGTCAGGGTAGTACTCGAGGATGATGATGTACTCGGGCCGCCCGTCCTGCCGCACTCCGCTCCTCGGCCGCGATGAATCGCGCGATATTCTCGTGCTCCATCAGAGGCTGCCGGTACATCTCTTTCTCCGTCACAAAGTTGTGGCGGCTGCCGGCTCCCAGCACCTTCACAGCCACGGGCTGCTCCTCCAGCATGCCCTTCCACACGGACTGCGTAGCGCCCCCGGCCGATCACCTGAGACACCGCGGGGAGTTGGCGACGACGCGTCGCGGAAACGTGGAGAGACGATGTTTACCTCCAACTCCGAACACTAAACCCCTGAGTAGCTCTCCGAAATATTTTCGGGTTGTACCACGTGTTGTTTCGGCACGATGTCCGACTTTTCGCTCCGCGTGCTGGGATCTTCTTCAGGAAGCCAAAATATGGAGCGAAACGTTGGATATTGCACCGAACAAAACTAGGTACACAACCCAAAGATACGTCAAAGTGCTATGCAGCACAACTGCAAAAACCTACGAATTAGTTTTACATCTTGCAGTCATTATCAATATAAATGAAGCTAAAATAAATGTTCACAACAATTCAACATCTATCCTTATAAGAATATTCGGACTGTATTCCCAAACTGGCAGCATTGAGAGATGCGTCTCCACGCTAGAAATGCGTCTCCACGCTACATGTGATCACATGACCTAATGACACCAATAATTACAGGCACTCAGGGCCTTGAGCAGATGTGCAGCAACACCATTGCAGTGACGTCACCACTGCGTGAAGAGGTTACCATCACCGTGACGACACCGTCATCAAACTACTCTATTGGGATCACACGTAGCAACATCACTCCCGACTGCCAAACTATATCCGCCTGTGCGACATAGCTCATTGGTGAAACATTGGCGTTAAATACCAAATATACAACAATATTTTTATTATTGTGATGTTGTGGGTGCATCATGTACCCATACTTCTCAGGCAATGCGCACAGATAACCCCCGGTAGGTTGAAATCAAATCTATAGTTTGCCGCTAAAGCGATGGAGGTCGTGCGTGCAGTGTTCCTCGCTGGAACCCTCACCTCGATCAGCTTCAAGCTGTCAAGCGCCAGGGAGGGCAGCGATGGGGCCTCAATCAGGTTAATGTTGTGGAAACTTCCTTTTCTCTTTACTGTAGGCAGAATGATGTTACCGTCAGATGTCAATAAAAAACACAGCTGCACGTGTCAGTTCGATTCATGTCAGAAAGCGTCGAAAACGATAGAATGAGGCAGAAATGCACGTATGTATGTTGACCTTTCATTCTCACCGTACATAGCTAACCATACTAATCGGAGGTGTGGGGGAAGGACAACAAACTAAACAAAAAAAGCAGCTCTAAAGAAATGAGCTTTCACATATCCAGCCGCACCACCTCGAGTAGCTCCCGTGCGAGGCACACACGGCGACAACGCGGGTCAGGTTAAACGAGCTTTTCGACCGCATTTGGCCCCTGTCTCACAGCAAGGACAAGCCCTCGCTCGACAGAAATGAACAAGTAAAGAATGTTGCAGGACACCGCTGCATCTCGTTGGAGTTCACACTGCGTAGCGTTGCCGCGTGGGTTTCACTGACCCGTGTAGAGGCGGAAGATGAGGAAAAGGATGATAATGATGACGGCAGCAGTGCAGACGGACGTGAATGCGATGATGACAGCCTGCTCGCGGTAGCTGCCGTTCATCGGTGGCCCTGCACACGGCGAAGCAAAAATGAAACGACGCCATCGTGTCTCGATGCCAAATAATCACCGACGACCGCAGACAACGACAGCAACACCATCGCCACACGCTGAGAAACAATGTCGGTCAAATGAATGGGCATAAGGGATAACTTATGGGATTTAAACAAAAAAGTTAATTATGTATGGAAGTGGACAATGCTAACTTTATTTAACCAATTCATAGCAACATGGCAAATATAATATTAGGGAACTGTTGCCAGTGGTGTACAACAATAACACCCAAACACCGCACCGTGTTCACCATAAACATAAACCTATACGCTCAGTTAACGGTTCAGGTTCAGATCCTTCTTCAGAGCAAAACTGTGTGTTGTTGTGCTAAAACAATGCCAGAGTTTGATTCAAATATATTTTGGCGTTTTCTTTGCATTTGTTAGGGAATTAAAATGAGCTTTTTTCTTTTCCAGTGTTGGAGTAATTCCATCACAGTTATACTGTATTATTATTTAGTGGCCAGTAAATACCTATAAAGGCCACTAACAGGGAAACTTACACACATGCCACAATTGAATATATGGACACCCCAAATGGCACCATGAAATCTTATTATCTATGCACAAGGAGGTATCCAATGATTTGCGAACTAAATAAAAACTATTGTTACGTTCACAAAAGATGGCATCGAATTATGTTCATGAGAGTGTAAATTATATGTTAATGTTACACATAGGTTAATGGAATAAATAAGACAAACAACACAAAGCAAGATGGGGAAAATGAACGAATCAATTCCCTGAATGGTGATAACTCATTAAACCTTGGGTTTGGGGATGTGAATAATGATATGCGTAATTGTGAAGCTTGCTTTGGTTGTTACGGCTCAACATTTAATTGGAACATTTGTTTCTGGTGGTGGTATAAATATTCATGAAGTGGCTGCATAAAACTGCAGTTGTGTAGCAAAAGCATTAAAGCTTTTGGACAATTGGAGACTCTATATATGGTATATCATCAGCCATGATCCCTCCACTGCTAAATGAAGGTATTCTCAAGCCATTGCCACAATCCACCCAACACCTGCAAACAGATTTCATCACTCCATCTCATTGGCGGACATTCTCTCAGATGCATTCTCTTCCTTCGTTTCCACTCCCAATATTATTCTAGACCATCGTCCATGAACAGTATATACATTGAAATAATAATGAGACTGTATTGGCAGTTTAAAAGTCGACAAACATTGGGCCATGACGGACCACATGATAAATATTGTACAAGCTTGGGAGGTTCAATGGTAATCTGTATGCTGCACTCCGTTGACTGTTTATCAGATGACAATTTTCAAACCATTAAAAAAGATTCACGGCGGGACAAGAAAACAAGTCTGAAAGCTGAAACGTCACAAAACGGGACAGAATAGCAGATTTTATTAAACGTGGTGATGGATGGGAGCGGTTTTTTCACCGGATTTGCAGCCTATTTGGCCTCAGATTGTAGCAACATTTTTTGCAGACAGCAAATCACGGTGGAAATCCACAAACAAAAATACTTGCCACCACGCTGCACACCAACAATAAACCAGGCAAATGTATTCCTTAAAGGAAACACACCAGCCCTCTGCTGGGCAATGAGACGGTGACGAACACAGGGCAAGCAATTGGAACGCAAGCCACGAACCCGAAAAAGGTGTGCATTGCTTTGGTCATTACCAGTAGAATAGGATAAATGGTAAGCGGCTCATACAAGTGGTCAGTTCGCCTGTCTGCAGATCGTGTGTAGTGGAGTAAAGTGTTGGTATTTCCACCTCTTTCAAAACGTCTGGCCAGCATGGAAGAGGGCGGCAAAATACAGAGACGAGCGCTCTAGAGCTCCCTCCAGTGGACAGGCCCTTCCGCCAACAGTGGCATGAGCCAGGAATTGCAGGGCTGCACTGCAAGTCCCATTGCAAGTAGTGATGCCGATCCTGTCTCTCCCCCCCACCACCCTCCCACCCTCCCAATGTGGAAGTGTTTGTACCGAGACCAGGAAACGAACCCGCGGAGATTATTTTGCTCTAATTGCCGTCTGGAGCCTGCATTTGGCATGGTCTGTGCTATCTGCTTCCGGCCAGACCCCAATCTCCGCGCCATGGTGAGATCCTCTATGGCGAGCGACGTGCGGCCACGTTTAGCCACCCTAATGACCGTCTGGAGACTCTCACACTGTTTGCTCGCAGGTTTCCTGAGCCACGCCAGTATTAATCAATTACGACGCATTCCTCCTCTGCTAATAAGATGCCTGCTTTGTTCGATGTTTATTACGTTAACAGCTGAGACTAGCTCTTATTTACATGTACATTTCCTGCAAGCACGAGTGGGGTCGGCGAGCCATACCCACCCATGACATAGTAATAGGTTTTTACCCTTTCAACTGGTACAAAAACTGACACCTTTATACAAGGCATCATGTTTGCAATAATCATAACACAAGCAGTCAAAATGCAAATAAAAAGAAACAACTCTGATGATGATAATGATATGCACTGTCCTTGAAGTTGACTGGTCCACACCCGAGACAGCTTTTCTTAGAGCCTAGTCTCCATTGGTGTTGGACCAGATGACGCCAAAAGGCCCATGACACTCACTGTGTAATCTCCCCTCCACACCATGCCAAGATTATTGTGTGTACTTTAAGTCTGTACCTGTAACATGGTTATTTTTTTAACGAAGGATGGCCGTCAATGGGTCCCAAGAATGTTTTTTATGACGGTTCTGCTTTTATGTAGTGTGCTTTATATATATAGGAATGTATGGAGAAAACCAATGCAAATCGAGGGGACAATAATGAAACTCTGTATAAGATATTACCTCTTGTAGCTAAATGAAGACTGTTTGGTTCCATCTCTACATGCTCCACCGACCCCTTCTTCCAAGTTGTATGGTATCCCCATAACCAAAAACTAATATTTCAATGCATATATATATACATACCTCGACACTTTGAATACTACATTGTACGTACACAGTATACTGTGCCAATATAATATGAATACATATGTTCACGGACGCTGAAAAGTTAAAGTGTCTTCTTGCTCAAATGACAGGGTGTCCATCTCCTTTGGTAGTACAAGAGTGAACTTTCCACGACAGCACTGGCAGTATATCCATACCACTGCTGATGTTCCACAAAGTGGTTTTGATTTAATTCACTCCAAAGGGATCACATTTCACCTCCACACAACCCACGAACAGGATTTGAATGCCGAATGGCCGGATACACTTGTAAATTGTACACGGAAGTTGTTGTAAAGGTTAAATCTGCACATAAGAGGACATAACAACACAACACGCGCATACATATATTTTACATGCGGCCATAAAGTTGGGAGCAGCAGTTGTTCTATTCACAGAAAGCCACCGCAGACTGCCAAAGTGCCTCGGGCGTTGCGGGGTGCATATTCAGACTCGGCGACACTATTTTTATAGGAGCCCCGTTAAACGAGCAAATCAATGCCAGCTGTCACACGGACATGGCAGCGCTGTGGCTGCCCTTCCTCCAGCCCACCATACTTCTCTCGTTCATTCTGCCTCTCTCGCACTCTCCCTGGCTCTCTCCCACTCTCCCTGCCTCGCTCTCCCGGTTTTTCGTTCGCTCTCCCTGCCTCTCTCTCACACACTCTTCCAGCCTCTCTCTCTCGCTCTCCCTACTTCTCGTTTGCCCAAATGCACCTCTCGCGGTCCACCCATGGAAAATAAAGTTAGGGAAACAATTCCTGGAACTCGTACTTATTCACATGAGCTAATGCGAATTCCCCTGCACATGGCTCCACCAGGAGTAATAATGGGGGGGGGGGGGGATATTCCTTGCAAGAGTTTCTAAGTGTGCTGTGTTATCAACAATAATGAAAAGAAAACATAGCCGATTACAACCCACACAGTGCTTTTGGCGTGAGCATTCAGATATGCTTCCTTTGACTCAAAGTGAGTCACTGATTCAGCTGCTTGGATTTAACCACATGAAGAGATTAGAAAAACATCACACCTACTGTGCTGGAAATTATTGCTTTCCTTGGATAGAAACATGATGTTTTCATTTGGTTATTGTCTTTATTATTAAACTACAGCATATTTAGTTTTCTGCCACTGCATAGTTTTTTTGGCAAAAATACAATTGGAAATTTTTATTTACACCAAAAAGACAAAAATGCCCTCCGTATAGCCTTCATCAGACCGTTAGGGCAAGTGTTGTTAGCACCCTATAAAAGCTGGCACGGTGCACGAGGGGATGGGTGGCCAACACCATACCCGAGCACCTTTGTCTCCACAGTGCTGATATTTAGCCAGTGCATCAAGTAATAATTTAAGGCCGAGTTGACCTAGATGAAGCACAGGATCGGTTCAGATATTCGTCACTGTTTTTGATCATGAGCAGGAATCGAACCTGGGTTGCTGGGTTCGTAGCACAGTGCATTAACCACTGTACTTCCGCTTCTCATTGTTTTACACGGTGCACAATGTCAAAAGTGTAACGTTCATTAGAAAGTGAAATTTCCGTTTTTGCACAATAAAAGCCAGAACTTTCAATTATGATCATGGAGCAAAGCAAATACAATACTGTCATCTCTTTAAACTGAACCCAGCTTCTGCTTTTTGTATTAAATGGCTCTGTCCACCCTCCTTCCAATCTCATGGACCCCGTGCATGTGAATCTGCGCAGTGCCTGGTACCATGTGTGATGACCACCACACAGTGTAAATCTGTGCGCTCTGCATCTTGCGATTATGACCCCTAGATTTTCATTTCATTGGCAACGATTCAGCTTCAAAGTGACTGGATTAATCTGCATGAGGATTCCGGCGTTAAGACTTTGATTCAAGAATCGATTCTATACTGTGTCATTTTTAACATCCTTTTTTCACTGTTTCTAAATTGTATTGTCATTTAATAATAGTAGGTTTTTACCCTTTTAACTGGTACAAAACTGACACCTTTATTCAAGGCATCATGTTTGCAATGACCACAACACAAGTAGTCAAAAAAGCAAACAAAAAGAAGCAACTCTGATAATGATAATAATATGCACTGTCCTTGAAGTTGATTGGTCCACACCCGAGACGGCTTTCTTTAGAGCCTTTAGACCATCGGTAAGAGGGTTATTACTCAGATTAATAAATTATCCTAAATATAATTTGTATAAATGGTAAATAATCTATTACAGCACACATGCCTCAAATAATTAAGTAAGCTGAAGAATACATTTATAATCAATCAATGCAATATTTCATGGCTGCCTTCACCGAAGATTACACACCAACCAGATGTCCCACGTCCCTATTGCCAGCATCATGAGATAGAACCGTATTTATCATCAACTGCTGGATGAATGCCTCCCATATCCGTCGCCATCTCTCACGGTCCAGCGATGCAAACTGTACGTATACAATTCGTAAATCCACGCTGCCTTGCAAAGTTTTGTACAATCTTTGCTAAAGGATGGGACTTAAAAACAAGGCCAACACCAAGTTGTTGAAATGTCTGTCTAAGCGTCTCGTTAATTGTGATTGAAACATTTTGTTCCGGCAGGAGAAAGGGCTGCAAAGAAGGAGAGGCGAAGGGAGGGAGTGCGATGGAGAAAACTCGACCCAACCAGTGGAATGCGCCACGTATTTTCTCCGCGCCGCTGTTTTGACGGCGCAGAGTGGACCCCTGCGCTTGTTTATGTTTCCCCGCTGATAGCTCCTCCACATCTTCGCTGAAGGTCTAAGCTGTGCAGCACATTATAAACGGGAAATGGTGGAGGGGAGACACGGAACTCTCTTTTTGTTTCTAAACATGAAAGGCTTCAAGTCCAGGGCTGCGGGCGTCATTAATAACAAGTGGTGGAGGATGCATGAGGGAGCTCAAGGGGAAGACTTCAAAAGTGCCTGTTGCAAAACCTTCGAGTCATTTATTATACTTATTATTGTTGGACTCAAAGCACGCATTTCTGTAATCTGCTGATGATATTTAAAAGGTTTATTTCTATGGCCAACTAGAAAATGATATATTTGTTGGGGAGGCTCTGGAGGCAATGTCTATTGGAGTGCTTTTGACAGTTTGAGTTCGAGCCTACGGGCAGACGAGGCAGATAAATGTTGAAATGCAGAAAATCTGCTCCGCATGTGATGAGGAGGTGCATTCGGGTGGAATTCCTTTGATTTCTGAGCCTAGCCAACTGCTGTAAAAATACCCGCACAGCAGCAGCAGCCTACAAATTGTTGCTTACACCGATAACACTCCGTAACACAATTTTTGTTCTGGGGTAGTAAGTGTTATTTTGTAATTGCTTATGCCTAAAAAGTATAGAAAATGGCTATTATTCCCCACAAACTTTGCAAAATAATGCATGAAACCTGAGTCCACGAGGGAAAGGAGCATGGAGGCATGAGTCACTTTACAACAGTTGTAAAAAAGTTGTAATAATCAAAAACGTTCATATTAATAACCACAATAACACACATTAAATACAATTAGGGAATGCCATGTTAAACAGCGGTGGTGCAGTGGTTAGCGCAGTGTGTTGCGGACTCGGCAGCCTTACATCAGTGGCGAGTGCTATGTGAAAAGCCAGTCCTGGGACCATCTTCATCCACCTGCACTGACCAGCGTGATGAAGTATTGTCAAAAAACCCCTATTACTGACACACTGGATGACTGTGCGAGGAAGGTTACGGTGTGGCTGTGGTTGTCAAGAACAACTTTACAAACACTTCACAGTTCTGACAAGTCCAAATGTTATTCCAGTGCAGTAGAGCACACAAATCGTTAACACAAGACGTTTGCAAGAACTGAGACTGGAAACGCAACTTACAGTGGCAAATCATACAGCACTGTGCTGTACTGTACATGCTGCAGCAAAGGCTATTATTGATATTTTCATTTAATCGCTCACTTGGGATTTATGGAATGCTGCAGCTTTTTTTTACATGCGCCAATGTACTAACATGCTAATGTGTTTATTCAGCTTAAATCAGCAATAAAAAGCTTTGCAACTATTACGAATTGATACAGTTTTCATTAATACTGCATATTATTAATGGGTACTAAAAGCTAATGTGCCACGTCACTGCCACGGTGTGTATCTCAAACAAATTATCACTCGTGCGGAGGAAGACCTCGGCAAACGATATGCAACATTAATGAAGCACACAAAAATGACCGTATAGCCTCTTCGAACAGAATGCAAATGTACAACCGCACGACTTAACCATTTGATCTGCAACACCACAATGGCCGTTGACGTTTAGACATGCACAGTAACTCCAAGGTTTGGCGGCACTGTAAATGTTGAGTTAAAAAGGAACAGATAAGACGAACAAGGGGAGGGAGGCGTCGACGCCAAAGTCAAATCGGTCCGCGAGCGCAAGCAGCAATTGTGCTGTGATCACAATCCTGAGAGACTTGCAGAAAAAAAGCTGCGTATGATGGCGTATTGTGGGACATTTAAGTGCACTTAACACAAAACGATAAAGCCATTTCAAAAAATACTACCACGTCAATACAACTAATGTACACTAAGCGACCATATCATTACATCCCCCATTATTTAACGGTGAGTCTTACTTGAAATCTAATCAACTTCATTCTTCCATTCTCGGGTGGCCATACGGAATATTAAAAAATTCAGTTTTTTTTATAATAACAATCAAAATATATATTTTACTGGAAAAATCTGCCCGACACAGTGTGGCAAGATATATTCCAGTGAAAGCTTGCGATTAAATCTTTCCGTGATGCGGAAGTGACACAAGATGAAATATGCATGCACGATCGCTCTCTCCCGTTGGGACTGCATGGGCCGCTTGCCGGTAATGGTTGTGACGAACTCAGCAATAGGCGCTGTCGCTTCGACATTCCCAACCCTGCCGCGTAATTCGCTGTGGAGGCGGCGTGCGACGATGCCTATCTGGAGCGCGAGTTGTTGTTTATGTTAAGACCCGGCTCCCAGTCTCCGTCACGCCGTGGCGTGGCGCCACCCGCTCACGTCAGTGCGGCCCTTTAGCATCTTGTGGCCCCAGGGAGGAGGACTTGGCCCAACGGCAAGAATCTGGACCGTGACCCCCGCCAGTGCCACCGCGGGTGCCAGGTTTGGCGAGAGCAGCCTGAATGGTCGCGATTTTACACAGCACAGCAGTGTTTTGTGCAGACTTTGGCACCGTTGCATTAACGCTGCATCTTAGAACACTTTGATTTATTTCACTAGGAAGTGGAAACAAACCCGGTTGAGACAAAATAAATAATGGTTTTCTTTGCAAGAGGGACCTCGATAAATAAATATGTTGAACGATTGAAATGATAAAAACAACAAGTTTTATAGCCGAAAAAATTGCACGTTGAAATGGGAAGTAAACTTTAAAATAAAATGCAACCCAAGTATTAACGTGAGTATTCTAAGCATTAATGTGAGTATTAATAATTAATAAAGCCTAAATATAAGTCATGAATAAGAAATGTAAAGGCAGGTATGAGTATGTCATTGCTGAAGTGAGCATAGTCCAGAGTTTAATTCCAGGAGCTGATCACATGGTAGAAATGCTACATTCCAATGGATCTTCTTCAGAAGAATATGCCCTGGGGGTTATCAAGAACTATATTCAATTCGTTTTTAAAACCAAAAACAACTCAAGAATCCCATTGTTGGACCCTCTTAACAAAATGTCTTGATAATCATCGCAGCTTTCTTGGACGAATAAAATAATATTTTTTGGAATGTGGTCAAGATGACAACCTTCTCATGGTCTACACTGTTTCGTGTGAAAACACAACGAATTTAACAAATCGGCGACTGAAGCTAATCGTTCTCCCGATCCCAAAAGCAACGGCAACACTGTGAGCGACCCCTACTCGGGCCAAGTCACCGCACCGACGACCATCACCGCACATCACGGAACTAAATACCCCCGAGCTGCTGAAGACTGAGAATATCGACGCAGTTGTACGACTAGAACAGTACCATCAACGTCAGGTCGCGAGCAGCCGAGGGGGTCTCCGTACCGAGAGGCAGGACGTTGGTGGGGTGAGGCGGAGTGATGTAGGTTTCCGTGAAGTTGGCATTGCACATGTTTCCCACGCAGCAGCAAAAGCGCGATCGCCCGTTGAGGATATTGGTGGGCGGCACCGACACGAGGCACTCCGACTGCCGGCAGTTGAGCTTCTCTCCGGGCTGTAGCCAGCAGCCTGTCTCGGGCATCACAGCAGCAAGCACACGCGCAAGCACACGTGTATAAGACAAAGACACACACACAGGTGCACGCATGCACTTACATGCAGCAACAACAGCTGCCATTCGCCACGAAATGGAGGTGATGTTACCACAGTGCTTGGGCCGGACTAGGTGCACTTTAAGGCCACGTAATTTGTTGAAGGCTCTGGCAGGTCAACGGGACAGACCCAGGTGTTACGGATTGACCAAGCTCAATATACCACCCACACATGGCCTAAGCGAGTCGCCTGACAAGTCAGTGATTGTCTTGAGATTTTATGGAAGTTTTGTGAAAAGTTTTGTGAACGGCTGATGTTGTTGCGGCAACGTTGCTCTCAGCAAATTCATCTGGCTCATTAACATAACGCACCAATGCGCGACCGATTTGTCGATTGGAGAGCGAGACAATGTGCATGCAGGCGAGAAAGATTTGATCGTCAAAGCATAACGAGAAATGACGGCCGTCAGTCACTCCAACGTACGATGCATTTAAGGAGAGAAAAGTACAAGAGAAAAGGCGCACGTCAAGTGCACACAGCTCGGTGCAAACAGACAGAACGGTGTTTTCTGGGCTCCCTTTGAAAATTCTCTTAATATCTGTGACGTGTGATGGTGTCACCTTTGGTTGGGTTGCATCTATTTATTTCCCTCCTACGAGTTACACTGCGATCGTGCTATTGGCTTCATGTCACAATACAAAGAAACTTCCATTCAGAACTCTTGATTGTACGTACTTAATGCACACCTTGTAATGGGGAACAGCTCTAGAAAAATGACACCACATATCTCATTGTGCAGTCTCTTTAAGAGGCACTAGAAGTCACCGTTAATATTCTCTGCAAACAGTGGTTGTTGCCTAGCAATGCATCAACATTTTACAATCTCAAAGCTGGAATAAACCACAGGCAAAAAATACCTATTTAATGTTAAGATTTGTTTTCTGCAGACACTGATGGCTGGGCTTGGATCATTAACTCGTCACAAGTTGAAAACCAAATGTAATCACTCGTGGCTGCCTGGATTCAAACCCAAGTTCAGAGCAGTGCCGACCCAACGGTCTAAAAAATATTCGTCCCCTGAGCTTCCAATAACCTCACCGATAAAGCTTATCTTAAAAACACAGCATCCTACTGCTACATATTTGCTGCTTCTACACAAGCCTACAGCAAGCGGTCGGTACAGAGCAGCAATCTGTGAGCCTTACAGCTGACCTCACCGGTAACATTTCCCGTCACGTTACATTTGTGCTCCTAATTCATCGTATGCCTTTGTGGTCTACGAAGACCGGGGTGGAAGGAGGGCGACTTAGGGCACACAGTCAAACCTGAAAGTTGAATAAGAGCAAATTATAGCTCTGCGAAAGCATACTCCAAACCGTAATGGATTGAAAGAAAAGCTTCAGAAATATTTAGAAGATTTATTTCAGGATGCGGAAAGAGGCTGGGTATAGAAGTTACTAGCGATGACAGGTGTTTGATACGAGAACGGTTTGAAGATGAAATTACAGCATGTGGAATGCACTGTATAAGCCAACCGCAAAGCGTGTCCACACTGCTACGGCGGAGGCGCTGTGTCACGGCGGAATTATAATGACATGACGCAAAATGACAGATGCCACATTTTTGCTTCCTAAAGCAGAAGGTACACACATATTCCTAAAATGTAGCTTCGACAAACACAGTTAAATGAAACGATGTGATAGATAGAGTCAAAACAAAATTAGTCGTCGAGCAAAAGGCAAAGGTCACAGGAGACCGGCAAGAGTCAGGCTCGTACAAGATGAGGTTAAAGAGGCCAATCTGCGCCCTGAATTGCCACAAGCAGTGGGTCCTGGTTCATTATTATTATTGTGCTAGTTTACCCAGGAAAACCTCACTGAATCTCAAGAATCTTTTTATGGAGGGCCCTACAATGTTTAGGCAATAGGGTGATGTGTAATCCCTACAGGTACATTTTCAGTTTTGGGAAGTTTGGCCAATCCTAGTAACATTGTGTGTTTTTGTTTATGTTGGGAGGAAACCAGAGAACCCACAGAAAACCCATTCAGAACAGGAGGTGAGCATACAACATCTCTAAGCAGAAAATAGCCTTAGTCGGCAATCGAACCAAGTCCCTTTTGGCCACGAGTCACGAGTGTGACTGCTGCACCAGCCTGCTGCTCTGGTTACAGGTACTAGATCAGGGGTTCCCGGCCTAGGTATGGACTTGCGGACCACCATCAACATTCAAAAACAAATTATGGCCCACGATGCAATAATAAACTTGGTGTTTTGCAAAAAAGATCGTTTCTACAAACAGTTGCACAGACCATTTCCTACGGCTCTGCGGAGTCTCTCCACGCAATGCTCCCCGCAAACCACACGTTGGGAACTGCCCGAGATCACGGTGCATGCGATACTGCAAATGAAGGGGCAAGTAGGTGGCTAATAGAAGGCAACATGGCAAGTAGGTTGCTGGCATTTTCAGGTTTTCTTATACAATGGGGTTTTCTGGACATTGCCTTCCACTAAAAAAACCTTAGAAAAGGAACTGCCCAAGCATAACAGTGCAGGACCGTCCAAAAAATGAGTCCTGTGACTCAGTTGAGGGTTATGATTGATACGAGTAATGCGGTAAATTTCCACACACACCGGCATGCAACCAAATCCGTGGCGAGCGCCGATAATGACATCACTGTTTGGTCTGCGTTGTACAGCATCAGCTTAATGCAGAGGGTAGCGGTTGTTATCCAATGCTCACTTGCTCACCCTCTCTCCATGCCACATCCACACATGCTCATTTTACCCTGCAGCCATTCGAGTTCTGCTAGCGGATAATTGTTTGTCACCACTGACTCCTCTAGCCAGAGCAGTGAGCAGCTAGCAGCTCTCTAAGCTCGTTACGGTAATGACTAAATTAATCTTAACGGACTGCGCCGGCTGCAGCATTCAAGCACAGCTCAACATGCATCCTTACAAGCAGCCAACGCGAGCTCATGTGAAAGAAAACGGAGAGATTAACATTCCAGCCAGTGGCCCTTCTTCCAAGTAGAAAGGGCAGAAAAGGGCAGAAACGTCTATGACGTTCAAGAGACACAAGGGCTACCACAACTGTAGGTGCTCTGTAGAAATAAAAAAACGTGCCATGGAATGCACCCTATCGTCTACAACGAAGTGACCGTGAATACACCACGTTTCCGTCCCAAGCCTAGCACACGGAAAGACCTTATGGAATGGGGAAAAGCTGTTGGTATACAAAAACAAGGACCACATTATACTGTAAAGGCTGTTTGGTCGAGTGCTGTTAGTCAGCACCTGTTAAGGCCCGCGCAGCCCACGAAATATGGCCAGCACCACAGCCAACCAACTTTGTCTACCCACTTTAAATATTAACTAGCTGTACTACCCGGCTTCGCCCGGGACTTGTATCCACCACGGCCGGCCGCCTTTGTCTCCCCAGTGGCGATGTTAATACGCTACAGCAGTTACTCGTTTGAGGCTGAGTGGACCTAGGGGAGGGCCAGGTCCGTTTCAAATAATCGTCAGCGGTGGTGGGTGTGAGTTGGAATCGAACTGGGGTCGCTCAACCAGCTTAATGACTATTTGTACAAAGAACATATAAAGAATCGATTATAATAACCAGGCTACAGTCCACATTATAGACTGCCAGTACACGCAGTCAGCTTCATAAGCAGGCTAGAGTGTACATGATAGAGTGGCAGTACGCTCACCAAGCTTAATAAGCAGGCTACAGTGTACATGATAGACTGGCAGTACGCTGACCCAGCTTAGTGTCTATTTGTACAGTGAACATTTAAGTAATCGATTGTTGGCGCGTTGGGTTTAAAAGTAATATTAATTGCACACATTGTGGTGGGGGTGGAGTGAAGAGTAGGAAAAACTTTGATGAATTTACCTCAGAGTGGCGTGGTGGGTGTCGAGGCCTAGTAGCGTGCAGAGCCTGCGGCCTCGCCTAAATTGTCCAGCCGGCAGAGGCAGGGTACGGGTGGCGTGCCTTCCCCCCCCCCTAGCGCTCCAACAATGCTGTGTAATGGCTATTATTTAATTATTTACGGAGCCTATGAAAGTGGCGAAGGCGTGGCTAGCCGTTGGCAGGGGCAACCGCCGTCCAATGAAACTGCAGCCCTTGGCGAAGGCGTCGCTAGCCGTTGCCAGGTCCAATGAAAGCGGCGAAGGCGTCGCTAGCCGTTGCCAGGGGCAACCGCCGTCCAATGACAGTGCGTATGGTCCGAAATCCACACACACACACAGACGGACAGACAGACATTCACGATTTTATATATATAGATTCCCACCAATTCTAGCTATCGGCGAGGAATTGATCTCGAGTTGCCGAGTTCATAGTGCAGTGCGCTAACCACTGCGCCACCACTCTACCACTTTGCTGGCGTGCACACGTGCGCATAAACTCGCACACGCACACACAATGCACCCACACACGCTAGCATACACACACGCACGATCACACGCGTGCTCACACACACACTCATGATCACACAAGCGATCAAAGACACATCGACGCACGCACGCACACACACGAAGACACACACAGGATGCACACCTTGCTTGATGATGCGGTAGTTGCCGCTCGGCTCCTTCTCCCACAGCCCGTAGCAGTGGCTGTTCTCAAGGCAGGGGATGGTATCATTGTGGGAACGCGCGGGCAGGCCGTGCCCGGCAGCCGAGCTGTTGCTCGCCGTGTCGTCGGACCACGCGCAGAACATCTCCCTGCTTGGCTTGGAGCCTGAGGAATAATAATAATAATTTAGTACATTCGATATTCACGCCACTCTTACCGCAAGGCTATCATCGCGAACGTGATACATTTCACGGACACAGTCTGTGGTAGTTTCGCAGTAGCGGGCTACGTTGATTTGTGTAATATGAATGATTAATTAGTGGGTAAGTTTTGAATTGTTTAGCATGCTTGGACGAGGAAGTTGCACACAGTGGCCTATTTATTTTAAATGACGTCAGGAGATCCCTAGTGTCCATCGCTAATCAGACGGTGTGTAGTATTTAATGATTATTTCACCCAGAGTATTAACTTGGGTAACCTGCCAGATTCGAACCACAAATCTCTACAACAAGCGTCAAACGCCCATACCGCTGGGCCATATCATTCACCCCTGAACATGGGCAACACGTGCACAATGCATAAACACGCACACAATAAGAATTTACACACACATTTACACACAAACAAATCATACAGAAGCATAATATTTATACTGTAGGAATACGATGAGCTATAAAGCTCTTTTTCACAGATGTCAAGTAGATACACACATACACACAATGCACACAATGCATGCAACGTGCGCGTACACAAGTATAAATCATATAGAAATATAAGACATACACCCACATACATAATTGTAAATTATTGTAAAAAAAAATTGTAAAGACCGAGGTTTAATTCTTGGCCATGAATAACATTGTACGAACATAACTAACACTAGTGAGCGACATTTTAACTGGTCCTGGGCAACATTGCCCCCATCCCAAACCCCCACGTCCCACACTGACCAGGCAACGCATGGTGCATCAACTTCTATGACCAACATGGAATTGTATTCATAATAAACGTGTTAAATGGGATTGTATTGATGATACTTCATGTTGCTCAGTGCGGGCTGGGTAAGGCACCCAAAGACCAGATCAGATATCCCTTGTCAATGACGTGGCTAACATAGCTGGTCGAGTTCCTCCTTCACCAGCACAGCAAGTGACCTTGAATCGAGAATCAGAATATTTATACAGGTAGGAACAACAGTTCTACACTGCCCACCAGGGATTATTTGTCTGTCGTGCATAGCCCCTCCCAAACATGTACGCTCCCGGATTGGTTGAAGTGCGTCACGTGACCACGAGCTTTCTGTCGTGCACGTATGCGCTGTCCAACCAAGTTCCTACCTGCCCACTCCGAAGGAGCGTGTTTTGGACTGGAGGAATCTGATGAGCTATGAAGCTCTTTTTCACAGATGTCCAGTAAAATGTAAAACATTTAACTTGAGTAACTGGGTTTCATAACACAGGGCGTTTACTATTGTACCACTGCTCTCCCAATCATCCCAATGCAGGACCATGAAAAGTAATCTTTGGCCTTAGGGAGGCTTTCCTGGGTAAATAATTGGCTTTTTTTTCAAATCCTCGAATGCTCAATATTGATGAGCGGACATCAAACCCACTCCCTTTACAACTGCTGGGCGACACACTATACACCCAACGCTGGTAACGACCCTGCCGAAATAAATTCAATAGCAGGCGAAGCCTGCGAACCAGCGGGTGCATTAAGGTTAAAAGTATGATATCCATGAAAATAAAATGCACATTTTGGTGACTTCGAATAATTAATCAGTGCCACATAGAAACATAATATGTCCACTTGCTATAAAGACTACACTGCCAGGAATCTCGGCAGCACAGTTCAGGCTCCGAGGATTGCCTCTCCGTGTTCCACAGCAAATTGGGGAGGACAATGTATTTTTATTTATTTATCGATATTGCATGCAAACAGGCACACGGTTTGCATGGTGGTGCACGCATGTGTACATTAATGGGGTGAAGAAATTTACTTCAGTGGATAACGATAAGGGGGGGGGGGGGGGGATGAGATATCTGAGAAATAAAGGTGTAACAACAAATCTAGAAAATATTAACCATCTTAGGCTTCATCCCTTTGCCAGTACCAAAATATGATCATAGGTTTTTCCCCTTTTTCTGGCAACAAAACAGGTGTCAAGATGTTAAAACACCAAAATGAAACCTTTTACAAGGAATCATGTCTGCATTAACCACAATGCTTGTGGTCAGAATGCAAACAAAAAACATCCACACGCCTTTTGGCGTCCTCTGGTCTAACACCGTTTGAGACGAGGCTCAAAAGAAAGCTGTCTCTGGTGTGGACCAATCAGTTTCAAGGACAATGCATATATTATCAGAGTATGTTTTTAGTTTTCATTCTGACCACAAGCATGGTTGTTAATGCAGACATGATTCCTTGTAAAAGGTTACATTTTGGTGTTTTAACATCTTAACACCTGTTTTGTTGCCAGAAAAAAGGGGAAAAACCTATTATCACATCTTAGGCTTTTTGATGACAGTTATTATAACTCATGCAAATGATCTCTCAAGTAATGACCGATAAGAGCAAACCAAAAGTCATGCATACTAAAAGTTCGATGCACAAAATAAAAATATGATTGGAGGGACACAGCAGATCAAGTTTTTTTGAGGGAAATTACTGAAGCTAGACTGGGATATAAAAAAGATGAAATAAATAAGGGAGCAAAATCAGGTTGAAGTGCTTTTGTAAAACTGAATTTGACAGTGAAAGCAAAATTCCATGATGCCTAAATAAGAATGTTTTCAATAAGCGTATATATGTCCTGCTATGGCATGCTTCACCACGCTGGTCAGCGCAGATTAGGTTAAGGGAGGAGGGCCCAAGACTGGTTCAGATATCACGAGCCATTGATGTTAGCCATTGCCAGAAGTTGAACTCAGCTCGCCAGGTTATCGCACAGTGGGATAAACACTGCATTACCGCTCCACCCGTGCATACAATTTGTTGTGTTAATCAGCTTTATTGTGCTTAAGACTCGGTGAGGTTTTCCTCGCTAAATAAAGGCCACCGCCATTGCCGCGTGAGTTTATTAACCTTCATGGAGGACCATTAAAATCGCAATATGCAAATATAAGACATTTAACCTTTTTTGAAAGCTCTAGTTTCACATTACAAATGCACAGAAATGATAACCACGTTGAAAAATAACAGACAGGCGAGTCTGCATACTTGGAACATCGTGTCACCAAATCTTCTGACTGCTCCACGTCCACTGTGAATTGCAATGAAGCGCACTTCATTTACACTCAACAGTACAATCCACTTCACATTTTGGACAGAATAATAAATATGGTAAATGCAAGTTTTGTTTGAACGTTTATGAAAACGGTACTGTGTTCACTAAATATTTAAAGACATTCAGGTTGTGACAAAAGAAAGTGCAATAATACAACAAGCCAAGAAGGAAGGGGCCTTCATCGGACGCTATTAAATACTGTAAATAGGCCTGCGGACAACACGCAGGTCTATTGTGCGTTTTTTTTTGTTCCTTCTCCAAACGCAATTTAATTGCCCAAAAAATTCCTAGCCTGGGGTAGCTCTGCGCTTCGGGGATCTAATGCATTGTGTCAGCCGACTGAGGCAGCTCTTTTGAAATACCGAGTAAGACAAGTCAAGGGCATGGGTGGAAAAAACCCTATTTTTCCAGCGGCAGGCATTGGGTTTTTTCTTTAATAGAATTAAACCCGATTTCGGGAATTAAAACCTGGTTTAATGAATACGAAAATCTGATAGGCTTAGGCTGCTTCCTCGTCGGTGCTGCTATCGTACTCGGGGCCATCGGGCACGGGGTAGTCGTAGAATGCGGCGGGCAGGTTGGTCGTGATGAACACGAGCTTCTCCACAATCGTGGGCGCCAGTGAGTTCCTTCGCTTGGAATGGATGAAGCCCATCTTTGAGAAGTTGGCGAAGTGCGGTTCTGCAATTAGAACCAATTAAACAGGATTTCTCCCAATCTCAGATGATCGGGTTTAATATAAAAAGACAATTAAACCCGATTGTAAAAAACCCGACTGTGCCACCCTTGGTCAAGGGCGAGTAAGGCGAGGAATTAGGGCTGGGTGAATGCTGTCTCCATGCGGCAGACTCAATAGAATCAACTCCGAGAACTGAGTGTTGCACAGCAAGCGAACGGCAGCGACGCTCGTTGCTGCTGAAACCTTTAAAATAAAAGTTCTCCTCTTAGACTAAAAATAAGCACGTATTCAACAGCAACATAAAATATCCCTCTGGTTTGAGAATTCATGTCATAGTTCTTTAATAAGATTATTATTGTCAGACCACCCTATCCCTTGAAGGTTAAATCGGGCTATACGTATTCATATGGAGCCAGTTAATTCACTCAGGATGTATGCTGCGGGTCACATTTAGATTTGGAATGTCAACTACAGCACCCCATGTAATAGTTTACTTTTGCAAATTGTGTTTAGTCTTTAACATCTAGTTTTATCGCTACCTCATCTCTGCAGTAAATGGAAATACAGTAATAGAAAAAATATAAATCTCTTATTTTTTTACAACTGATTTTCAAAGAGCATTTTTTTTTATACAATGTCTGGCAAAAGAATTCCATTTCGACGGATGTGGAAAACACTTTATTCCACAGCTCGAAGGTCAAAGGATGCGACCCGTTTTTCTCTTCTCTGCGCCGCATTAGTGCGCTAAGACGACAGGGCGAGAGAAATATGCACAAGCAACATCTGTGGCGTCACAACAGCAAAACACAAAACATCATCACAATCGCGGCTGGGCTCTCAGCCTGCCCTAATTGGAGTTTCTGTCGTCGGCAGGAATAACAGCGCTTTCCGGCCGATAACGTGTCTCCCCCGGTAACAGGAAGGCAGGCATTGCACAGAAACGGGTCTGCCAGCTATCATACCCATTTGGACTTGTTTTGTTCTCGCGCTCGATCACATGTATCCGAGCATACCTCTACAAGGGAGGCAGCCTTTCTACAACAGGATGTGGTTGTGGGTATGAGACATACGCCCTGTTCAGCAGAGCATAATCAATGTCGTGTGGTGGATGATTAGGAATTTTTTTCTTGCTCCTGAAACAAAGCAGGGAACATAATACTTATTCCAGGATCACAGTGTGAAGCGAGTTTGCAATAAGTG